TACAACATCTTTATATTTTGCACATTTTTCTTTTTAATATATACATACATATGTATGAGGAGAAAAAGTGACATTATGTATGTATGTTTATTGTACGAATATATTTTAAATTATTTATACTTTATTTTACATAGCATAATTTCTTTTACATTAATGTTAAATGTAAAAATGGGTAATAAACTTAATATGACTAAACAAAAAAAAAAAAGAGAAAAGATAAGAAAAAGAGAACTTTCCCTTGTTTTGATGATTAAGACAATGAAGATATAATGATGATTATGATGATTTATGACGTATTAGATGAAAAACAGAAATATGAAACTGTTATATTAGGCGAAAAATATTCCATTATTATTGTTATTATTATTAAAAATAATTAATATTTTATTCGCTACTAGCTATATAATATGTTAAATAAATTTAATATAAGAGAAACTAATTGCAAAAATTATAAACTTGCTAGTATGAGCGAGTGAATATTTAAATTTAATCATTTCAGAATTTTACCTATATAAGAACGTATATGTATATCTTACCTCTACGTATATGTTCTAAGAATGTTAAAAAACACAGTAGAATTATCAGAAACTCAATTATCAAAATATAATTAAAATAACTATAATTTTGTAACAATCATAGAATTCTATTAATTTGCTTAGAAATTAGGGTGTGCCAGTCTTAACTATTTCAAAATATTGCAAAATTTCTTAAGAAATTGTTAACCAGCCTCTCGAACCACTATGTCTCGATAGCATATTAATTAAATGAAACTGTATAGAATTTCCAATATAAATAATCATTTTTGAAAGTTCCTAAACTTAATTTTATTTTAATTTTTGATTTATAGCTTAGATATGATTAGTGATTAAACCGACGTGCAGACCAAAAATTGAGTTAGACAGACATAACCAAAATTATATATACATATGTATATTACATATAATAGAGTCACATATAACAGTTGCGTTCGTCATTGCCTTAACTATAGGCGGGTGACTAGATTGCTCCATATAACAGAAATAATGTGCATAAGTATGTATACATTGTAGACAAATAACAAAAATCAAATTAAATATGTGTTTATTATTGTACAACAGATCTATTGTCTGCAAATAATACTAAAATTTTGTGCAATATTTATACTGAATATTATACATTTTAAAGTTATGCGTGTACATATTGGTTTTGTTAATGTTAATTAATTATTTTCATACCTACATATTTATATATATGCACATTTTATGTGTAATTTATTAATACATTGCTTACACCGTTTAATTGTAGCAAGGTATTTTGTGTATAAACCAAAATTAAGAAATATATTTTTTTACAAATTGCAAAAAGACACACATTTCTGTAACCAAATAAAAAAAAGAAAATTAAAGATTATTGCATTTTAGTTAAAAACGAGAAAAAATAAGTTTGAAAGTGTCAGCTCTGTGATACCCGTACGAATTTGTTATCCTATGTGAAGGCAAATATGCCATAGCTGATTATAGGTCAGACTATGACTTTGTCTTATTACCACATTAATTCATGAAAAATTTCAATATTTTCTAAGACATGGCATAACTACTATTGAAGCTATTGAACTTTTAATAAATATAGCTGCCATTTTACCGTACTTTATTTTTCAAAATTTTAGTACTATAGATTGAACAGTTTTTAAGATATAACCAAATAAGTTTTCAAGTTACATATTAGCTACCAGTAGCAGGCAAGCAATTGCAACGACTTTTATCAAACACTTTGGCCCTACAACATTTTCACTTGTGTCAAATTTCAATACTACAGCTTTTATAGTTTCTGAGATATAGTCAAATAACTTTTGAAGTTGTATGGCAGCTACCCGAACCAATAGCTCGATCATAACCAATTAAGATAGGGTTCTTTCATTTACTAAATGTATATATATCATTTGTGAAAATTTGGTAAACTTAGCTCAATTAGTTTTTGAGTTAACGTTGAGACGAACGGACGGATGGACAAACAGACAGACAAAGCTAAATCGACTCAAAATTCGTCACTGATCAAAAACACATACTTGAGTCTATATCTCATGTTATTTTTTACGGTCAGGCAAATTTAGTATACCCTTCGTACATACGTTCGTACGGGTATATTAATAAGTCTAACCTTAATACAGTCTTTATATATCATTTTAAATAATTGGCTGCACAATATTTTTTAGAATAAGTTGTTTTCCTCGTTTTAAAAATTATGTAGGTATTAATTATAATATTTTGACCTTTATAACTCTTATTAATTCGGAGTTTATTTTTTTTCCACTAAGACGAGTTTTCTTTTTAATAATATAAAAAAATTTAATATGTACAAATGCAAAAAACAGAATCACCCTATATTCTAATTATAGTCTTAAATATGTAAAATGTAAATTTGTGTTTTAAAAAGAAAAATGTGATTTGTATGTATATATATATATACATACAAATGTATATATATACATACTATATATATATACATATATTTGTATGTATATAAATAATAAAAAAAAATAATTGTTTGTTTTAAATTTTAATTTATTTTATGCTAAATATACAAAATGTAAAAACATAAAACTGAAATGTATGTAAATATAAAATTTGCATAACTCTTAACATCCGTTTACTTTCCGTTTTTTTCTATTTTTTTCATTTTTTTTTATTGTAATTTATATTATAAATTCTCGAAATAACTCTTATAAATTGATAAAGAAAACCAAAGACATTTCAGATTAATTTTACAGTAAAGCTCATACATTTTACATATCATAACATATGTATGTATATGTAAAACTATGCATCTATACCTATGTATAGGCGTACTTAGTGGAAGTATATATGAATATAATTAATATTTTTATTACATAAATCGTTAAAGTTAATAGCATATTTTGTTAAACAGTTTATTGCACATATCTTCTAACTTCTATAATGATATTCAATATAAATGTAATATGTCCATACATACATACATAGTTATGTGGTACATGGCTAATTAGAATTCATCTTGCATACTTAAAATCAAAAATCGATAAGGTATATAGAAAAAGGTAAGGAAGATAGAAAAATAAAATGGTTAAACTGCCAAAAAATTAATATTCTGAATTTAAAAAAACAAAAGAAAGAAACTCTTTACGTTTTCAATGCAAAGCTGGAAATGGTTTATTTAAAGCAACACTAAAAATATTGAAAGAATTGAATAATATTAATAAATATTTGAGAAATCGCTGATTTCCTTTATGGATATTTGTATACAAAGTATAAACAGACTTTATAAAGCTACATATGTAATGTACATACATAATTGCAAATCAGTTTTTCTACAGAGTTAAAGACAAAAACTATTTAATTTTAAAATATGCTTACATATGCACAATAATATTTCATATAATATTCACGTCAAATGTATGTATGTATATATATACGTTTTAGTTTCTACATATAATTTTGGTTTCTATTCAATAAGGCAATACATTTAATTTAATGTTAAATATAGGTTATATTAAGTTTTATGGCTAAGTAATTATTTTGGAACTCTTATTTTTTTTTTAATTTATTCCAAGTTTTCTTTGTTCTTTATTCTGTAATTAGGTATACCTGTAATTAGGGAACTTTCATAACTTCCTTAATTTTATTTTATTAAGGTTTTGTTATTTTTCAAAATGTCTTTCGTAAGACATTTTGAAAATTAACAAAAACATTACTATTGAAGACATTACTTTTAAAACATTAAATTATTGAAGAAAAAAAGTCCAAGTTGATTTTTAACACTAGTTGCCATCTTTCCTTTTTGAATAAAATAATTAATTATAAAATTTACGAAAGTATTGTCTCTTGCTCTTGTAAAACATGCTTTTCAAATTCTATCAGTTCTCGGATGTCATGTATGCTTGTACAATTTTAGTTTGATTTCTATATAATTTCACTGATAGCCAATTGATGTTTAGATGGTAAAATGATTTAATTATATAAAAGTTGTGAAATTCGACACGTTTTTTAACAGAAGACTTTTTAAAAGAAGTTCTCAAACTTATTAAAATTCTATCGAGTTCAAATAGAAACATTATCAAATTGAAAATTGCTACATAATTCGCGCGTATGATATGAAACAAGTTTTTAAAATTACTTATAATATTTTAACATAATTTTTTTATTTAATTTTTAATTTACAAAGAATTTATGGTACAATGAATGAATTTTTCATTGAATATTTTCAAATAATCAAAACAGAGTTAGTAACTATGTTAAATTTATTTATAAATTTCACTTTCAATTTATAAATATTAATATAAAAATTATAATTATTATAATATATGAACATAAAATAATGTATGAGTACATACATACATGTATTAACATTTTTATTAATTATCGCATTCTGATACTTAAAAAAAATATTAATCGTTTTAATACAAATGCATCAATTTCAGGTTCTCTGATACAAAATTATTGATTATTAATAACAACATAGTAAAACAATGTTAATATATTCACAAAAAAAGTAGAAAATATTATGTGTGTGCACATTAATTGTGATTTTATGTGGAATTGTCATTAGTACCTTTTGAACTGTTTAAATTAAATGATTCATTGTGTCACACTGTTGGATTAAATTAAACTATTGTTCAGGAGTTAAAACAACATATTCTCGTATTTGTACAATTGGACACACATTATGGAAATAAATATTTTACTTATTTTATTATATTCTTGTAGTAGATTACTCCAAATAATTTCAGTCAATTAATTTATAAAAACTAATTATTAATTTTTTAATCAATACTTTGCAAGAATTTCTCATAATTGTTAAAGATTTTCTTTAAATATTTTGTACGAATCTCTAAATATATTAAACAATTTCAGAATATTTGTTAAAACTAATAATTAAAATTTTTTTTAATTTTTTTAATTTTGAATCTAATAAATTATTAAAATTCATTAAAATTTTATTGAATCAACTATGTATTTTTCTTTTTTGTTATTGTCTTCTAATTTTAGATTGCATATTTAGCTGCATTTTCTTGTGAAGTTTCATGGTTACTAGAAGCGAAAGGTGATTTACCATTTTCTTCATATATGCTATGTGCAGGATTTTTTATAATGTTTGTTGCAACAACAATATTAATTCATGGTCTGGTAACTGGTTTGTCATGGGGTCTTTTTAGCTGGTCAATAATTATTGGTATATTATCAATACCAGAACTGGCATTTGTAATGATAATGACAACACAATATTGGGTAAGTAAAATTATATATAAAAATAAAATATAAAATGTAAAAATAGAAATCGTCTCACCTGGATCACTTTGTTTCAATTGTTTTTGTTTAGTTTCAATTTATTTTAAGTGAATTCATTTTTACCATCAATTCATGTTCTAATTTAGTAATAATGTGCACATTTTCATTTTTTGCATTCTAAAAGTTTTATAATTTCAATTTATAGAGAATTAAACTTTGGTTTATTTCACTGCACACTTTATTTCAAACAATTTTTCAATTTTACATACATATATGTACATATAACAAAAAATTCAATTAAAACTATAATTTTCCAAATATATTGTATTTTTATTTAATTTCATTCTTCAATTGTCAACTTAATTTAAAGGCAAACATTTACAAAAACTCTCAAGTAATAATTTGTACACAATATATATATATGTACATTGGTATATGTTTTAATATAATAAAATAATACCCATGTATATACAAGCTTGTTACACTTGTTGATGATTTAAAAAAAATACCTTTTGAAAATGCATTTTTTATTAAAGGAATTTTTCGTTAATTACAAACTAAGATGGGAAATTTTTTCTATAACAGTTAAGGGTATTTTTTCTTTTTAATTCATTTCAATAAAAAACCTTATAAAAAAATATGTAATAAAGTGAAATTTTTATATGTATGGAAGTATATGAAATTTCTCACTTGATTTAATTTATAATTCTATAAATATACACACATACTCGTATATGTATACACACCTAGCTTGACAGATTGAAATGTAGAAACTTACATATAAAACAATATCTAAAAGGTAATTAACTCCTTTGTTATGAATTTCATCACATATTTCTAGATTTTCATTTTGAAAAACTAACAAATATTATGAATGTAATTCATAATCCTAATTTTTTTATAGTTTGATTTAAAACCAGTAGATATTTATTTCTTTTTCTTCATTTGTGCACATTTTGGAGGAATTATAAAGTTTATATAAATGCACAAGCCGTACATATGTATGTATGTATATATATTAACATATGTATAGCGTATGTATAACGTAATTTATGGTCTCAATTGAGAATATGAGAATAATATAAAAAATATATATTTAATTTCTTTATAAAAAATAAGTATTAAGATTAAATATTTTTATAGAATAATTATTAAAAATTGCTCCGATAATAAAAATATCGAAAAATAAGATATCCTAATATAAAAATTTAACGAAAAATTTTGTACGAGCTCTAACCATAATAATTTTTTTCACTATAATTATTTTTTATGCCATAATTATTTTTATTTTTATCCATATTTTTAAAAATTTAATCAACTTGATAATATACTTACATATACATGTGTAATTCTATTGTAACTCTAATTTTACTCATAAAATGAAAAATATTTATGTGACACCTATCAAGTTATACAGCTGAATAAAAATATTGTTATCTCAATTTGAAAATTTTAAAAAATTATTGTTATTATATTAATAAGAGAGCATTTATATAGTAGTATGAATGTTAATTAATAAACAAATAATAAAATTTTGTTTATAATAAATGTCAGAATTATAAACAAAATTTTATATTATGCCAGAATTATAAATAAAATTAATAAACAACATTTTAGAGATTTCAGTAAGAAACATATCAAAAATAAAGTTAAACAAAATTAAATGGTCAAAAAGTAGAAAGTCGACGGACTCGAAAAAAAAACTTCTTATGTTTAGCTTATAAAATAACTTGTGAGCTATTTTAATAAAATAGTTACTCATCACTGTGTATACCCGTAAAACAACTATTGAACGATTATTACGATTATCTTTTTTATAATATTGATCTTGAAATTTTTGCTTACTCATAAATGTATGAACATAAGTATGTACATAAAAATAGGAGCTTTGAGATGAAGAATAAAAACTTGATTTATTCACAATTATTTTTTTCCTGATTAGTTAAAAAAAACTTGTTGTCTTTTATTATCTTCAAATAAGCTTTAATGATACTTCGTATATTTCGTAGCTTTTATTTTTAATCTGTTAACATAATTTTTAAGTATGCGTACTCTAAATATCTAATCCATTACATTAAAATCAATAAGTGAAAAAATAAATTTTCATTCCTAAATCCTCATATCATTCTAATGTAAATAATGAACATACTTACATATATATAAATATGTGGTAATATTTGGTAATTTAAACCAAAATAATGAAAGTCCTTTTACCTACTCCGCTAAACATAACTTTTTTTGTAAATACTTTGCGGTACAAACAAATTTTTTATTATTGTATTAATGTCTTTATATCTAACAAGTCCCAATACTCAATTTTTTTTACGAAATGTTACGAATTTTTGGCCTCGTTGTTGGTTTTTTCTTTAAATGCCACTGATCGTGTCATATTTTTTATTATTTTTTTCTTTTTTTTTACGTAAAAAAGAGATTAATATTTTAAAAAATCTCAGGATATTATACACATTTTTTAAAAAGCTTCCCATTTAAATTCTATTGCACGAAAAAGAAAGAAAGGTAGGAGGAAAGAAAAAATGAAAAAAAATTTCAAATTCATATTTCAGTATGGTTTCAAATGTTAATGAGGAAGGATGTATGATTTTTTATGCACATTTTGTATTTCCCAATAAGGTAAGTTGAGTAGTGTCGGCTAACAGAAATGTTATTAAAAGTAATATAGGTTGACACATTTCAACAATTTGAATTATCTCATTTCGATTATTCATACGTTACTTATAAAATTGTTTCAAATAATTTCAGTTAGTTATTAAAAATAAATATGTACCTACTTCCAATAATTTTTTTTTTAAATAATTATTTTAAAAATATTTCAAACATGTTATATTGAGTGCTTCAAAAATTTTGCTGTGCTCTTTTTTCATTTTTTATTAGCAGGTAAACAAGAGCAATCTATTTATAAAATGTCCCTGCATGTGTATGTATGACCTATCTTAATTCTAAACGGAAAGATTTTTAAAATACCTGAACAAAAATTTTAAAATACCTGTTATTTTACAGTCGGAATTTTCGAGTCATTTGGTAAAATACCATTTATTTCAAAAATAGAAAAATATTCAAATCCGGTCATAAAAATATATGATTGTTTTTTCCAAACATTTTAAATATTTTTTTTTCTTAGGTAATTGATATAAATGATAGTAAGTTTTTAATATTTTTTCAAATAAAAATAGAGGTAAAATTTTGAAGTTTATATAAAATTTGTATTTAACAAATAATATTTGATTGTATTTTGGATATTATTTTCTAATTCCCTCTTCAAATTTTTTCTTTACTATGTATTTATATCAATATTTAAGAATTATCTTTCATTAATTATATTTTCAACTTGACACCACAGGTACTTCCCATATCTTGCGTTAACTTACCCTATGAGAAAAAAAAGCTGTTCACTTAAAAATAATGAAATGCTTTCAGTAACAAATAAAACGTTGAAGGCGAAGGTTGTGTTTGTTGTTTTTCCGCTTTTTTTTTAAATTTTAAAATAATTATCAATGAAAATATTAATATATTTTTTTGATTTTTCAAATATATGTTCTAAATTTTACCTGCTTTATAATAAGTGTGAATTTATTTTAATATTTCTTCTCAAAAAATAGCCACTTCGATTTAAAAAAGGCCATATAAAATAAGGTGTGCTTTCAAGTTTCTCTCTGAGCATTGGGACTTGTTAGATATAAAGACATTAATTGTATCATTAGAACATAACTTTGAAAGCTTTTAACTAAAAACCTTTAAACTTTTTTATTTTTAATATAATTAATTATTTGTTTATTTTTTTAAAAGGGGTTGCAATCAACACATGGTCTCACGGAGCTTATATCATATTTAATACGCTTAGTTATAAACAGTGTGGCTCTGATTTGTGTTATTCCAACGGGACTTAAGTAAATATCAATATTATTCTTTTATGTAAAAATAAACATTTTTTTAAATATAATTTTTTTGATGTCAGATGGCGCCGTGAAAGGCAGGTTTTAATGCAATTACAGACGTTAGCTGCACGCTTGCAACTACAAACACCACCACCAACAGTTCCTTCATTTAATAAATCCGAATCGCAACGAAGTAGTGTACGTAGAAGTAGGCGGAGTCGCAGGAATAGTTCTGCATTTGATAATCCTGGTTATCTAGTCACTGAAACCAATCAACAAATTACGAATAATAATTTATTAGTACCATCAACTTATTATAATAGTTCAATATATGGATCACAAAATGAATTTAATGCTAGTTGCTATAATAATAAAATAATTTCGGGCCAATTTGGGCACTATAACGGTGTTGGAAATTCAAATGGTAATCCTTGAGATCTTACAATCGTTTTAATTTGCTTGCATTCAAAAACAAATTTTTATTTATTGAAATATATTATATTAAAGTTTTTTTTCTTTTTTATTGGCTATGTTCTATAGTTGGTAAACGTTCTCATTCACTTATGGATTTAAGATGTACACTTCCGGGCTTATATAATCCAAAATATGCTTTAGATGAAGTTGATAGTCAAAAATTCATACCAAATAATTTAAGACCCTTAAAACCAAATCCCGTACAATTGCAATACAATGATGAAAAACATAGAAGCCGAGAAGACTTATCAATATTAGGGATCAATGGCAATGTTGTAAGAGGTGATTTCAATGGTGCTAGTGGTAGTGCTTCAATTATAGATCCAATTTATTCGACAATCAATGAACCAAAAACAAATCAGAAGTTATCACGAAACTGTATCTCATTAGAAAATCTTGGAGGTATCGATAAAGTTAAAAATGATTTAAGTTACGGTAACAATTTATTGCAAAATTATCAACATTATCAGTGGTCAATTGCTGTAGCTGGCTTTCCAACATCATCTTCAGCAGTTAACTATCATCCATATCAACACCTTCCACAATCAAATGGACAATTACCGCCATTAACACCATTTTTTCTTTATAATCAAATCCCAAGAGTTGCATTACATTGTGGTGGTATAGGCTATGGTGGATACACGAATCCTTTTGTTAACGGCAGTAGTGGAACCAATAGCAAACAATCCTTGGGGCAGGAGTCTGATGATTATCGAAAATACAGAGATGTTGCGCTCTAGTAACTAATAAATAGTTTAAATTTAGAAAAATTCCATTTAAAATTAAAATTTTTGTTTTATTTATTTTACTTCATATAGACGTGTATTTTAATATTGTAGAATAAATATTATGTAGGTTTAATAAATCAGAATTTAAAAAAATTTTTTTAAAAAGGCAATGTAGTGCAATAAAGTACCATAGAAAAAATTTTCTTAGAAAAAAAATCGCACAAAGAAACCAAATTGAAATACAATGGTGCATAATTTTCAAAGAATTAAAAAATATTTTACCAATAATATTACTAGTCTAAAATTTTTTTTTTTGTATTATACGCAGGTAATTATGTAAATTGTTTCGAATTTTAAGTTTAATTTACTGTTAAATAATACTTATTTTAAAGATGTTTTATTTTCATATAATAATGTTATTGTTTTAAAATATAACTAATTAAATAAAATTTACTGTTGTAATATGTACTTTATTCCAAATAAAAATCAATCATTTTTAATTAAAAAACTTGAATTCTTTTTGGGGAAATTTTAATTTTTTTTTTAATTTCCTTGAAACCCTCAACGATGATTATTTTGTATCATGCAGTTCATCCATACAAATATGTTTAAGGCTGAAAATATACTATGTATATTATTCCTAAAAGAAATTTTTTAAGACGAAAGATAATTACATAGTTTGCTTTAGATATTAATGAAATTTTTCAAAAATTTTAGAAATTTCTAGTTTCATCCAATATTGGATTACTTTAAATTTAAGAAATTTAATTGTCTGTTTCCAGTTTTGCAATTTGTTTATTATTAAAATAAAAAAGCCTTCCTGGCTTTGATCATTTTTGGAATCATTAGCAATTTTTTTTTGTATTGAAAAATTTAAAAAAAATGCTCAAGAAAAACTAACAATAACCGCAAATTCTTTAACGTCAAAATTTTGTTTTCAGTCTGCAAACTGTCTGACGTATAAAACTTTTACGGACAGAAATGTAGTAAACTTTTTACCCGTAATTGACTTTGAATTTTGATCATCCGTAAACGTCAAAACAAAAAAAAAATTTTTTTTAGATTTAAAATAATTTTATACTTACATATTAAAAATTAACCAAGAAAAAATTTTTTTATATTATTTTTAACGTAATGATAGTCAAATTTATTTACTGAATTACTACGTCAGACTGTCTGCATATAAAAGAAATCTACAATTTTGACGCTTAATTGACTTTTTTTAAACGTTTAAGAATTTAAACTTTGACTGAAAGTAAAAACGCAGTAGAGTATTCGTAAACTCAGACAACTCAGATTTTGTAAAATTTGACGTTTAAGAATTTACCATAACTTATATGTTTAGCATTCATTTTCATCTTTAAAATTCAAAAATTAAACGTTTAAAAAAGACTCAAACTTAATTGCAAAACGGAATCATATACCAGACATAAAAAACAAATTTGTTTCCAAGTATATGTAAATTGGTAAGAAATACAGTAAAAAAAGAAAAAATCAGTAATTTAAATAACATTTTCAAAATTGAATATTTAATTTTTATATTACAATAAAAAATACATTTTTTGATAATACATTTTATCTAAGTAATTGTAATTTTTTTTTGTAATTTAAGGCTATTACAATTTTTAATAAACATTGAACAAATCATAACAAAAAATTTTATACACAAAAGAATATTATAAATAAACAAATAGCCAAAAAAAATATGGAATTCTTTGAAAGAGTAAATAATACGTACTTGTATTCGAATAGAAATAATTATTTTAATAATTTAAATGAAGATCAATTTTAATTTTGCTTTCGAAAACTTATTTTTATTGAGAAGTATTTTCCCGTATATTATTTTTTACTATATGAACTTATACTTTCATATTGTAATTTGTAATTTTATATTTTGATATAAAAATAAAAATTTGTTCTTTTAAATACAAGAAAAAAATGTTTGTATAGTATTTTGAACTTAAAAATATTACTAAATATTTCATTAATATTTGATCATTTTGGAAATGTTTTTAAAAATTATAAAAAAAAAATATGTAGTATTTATAATAACCCCCAAAAATCACAGGACAAATTAATGTTTATTGATACCACAAATAATTTGTAAAGATTTTCTTTTCAATTGTTTCCAACCAACATCGCCACTTTAATTAATAGATATTTTCAATCAAGTAAATCCGCCAGCGGATTGTTAGTATCTTCAATTTTTGTAACTTTCTTTTCAACGAATCGTTTAGGGACTGCACCACGATTTGGTTGAGATTTGTTTAATATTTTAGATGTTCCAGCTATATACACAAAAAAAAAATTTACATTTGTAAAAATATTTTTATATTAATTGTGTTATAAAATTCTATATTAAAAGACTAGGAAAAACCTACCTTTAGCAATTTTATTAGTTCCAAACAAATCATCATCTTCATCGTCTTCAATGTCATCAAAAAGACTTTGCTTTATTCTATGTTCTTTCATGTTTTTTGTTTGTTTTAACACGGTTTTAGGTTTTGTTTGAGTGTTATAATCATAATTATTGTTCTTTTTTGAGCTAATGGTAACACTATTACCGCCAAATAATGAATCGTCTTCTTCATCATCACTAGAAAATAAACCTTTCGATTTGTTATTGGATAATTTCTTTGAACTGGAAACACTCAAAACATCATTTTGTTGATGTGGTTCCAGAATGTCGGATACAGGCTTAGATATGCTTATTTTTTTAAATATTTCGCTACTGCTTTGATCATAAGATTGTTTGTCGTTTTGTTGGTTTTGACTTAAATTTTTTCCAATGCTAGAAGAATTTGTTGTTTGAGAAGAAATCACTTTAACAAATGGAGACGAAAACAAATCATCGTCATCGTTTTCAGGATTACTACTCAAACCTCCACTTTTAATCATATTTTGATTCGGTGGACTAGCACAAAAATTGGCATCTGAACTAGAGGTTTTTTTATTAAAATTTAATGTAGGCACTTGTTTGCAATCGTTGTCAAAATCTGATTTAGGCTTATTTTTAGGCGATTCAATATTACTAAAAATTTCATCACTAATACTTTGTGTTTGACGATCTGGAATAGCTGTTTTAGGATCCCAAAATTCATTAACGTTTTTAAAATAATTATTTTGATTAATTAAAGACTTTATACATTCGTTATGTTGAACTTGATGAGATGAATCCTTTTTTATGAAAGACAATTGCTTGGTCTGATTTGGCGCTTTCAAATCTTCATCACTATCGTCAAATAATGAATTATTACGTTTCAAATTCTTTTCACTTGTTATATTTTTAATTTTAACTTCTGTGCTGGTGTCCAAATTTGAAAAAAATGATTGATGCTCTTCTGTATTTTGAATGGATTTACGTTTCGTATTTCGGGGTTCTTCACATCGCGATATTTGTTTGTTCATTGACTTGAAATCTTTTTCTGAGTCAGAAAAATTGTCATTATCAATAATAGATTTGCGATAGCTTTCTTGGCGAGCTTTTCTTGTTGATGGTCTTCGTTTAACTAAAATTTTGGCTCTACTTTTGTTCAAACCAATTAATTTCCCCTCTGTTGTTATATCACTGGGTTCTGACTTAGTTACTTTACTAATTTCTTTAGAGTTTATATCCTCGTTAAATTCTGTTTTAACATTTGAGAAAGATTCCTTGTTTTTCACAGGTCGTTTCGCACCAGGAAGTAAAGCCGATACATTAATATTTAGCTCATTTGCAAGTTTTAGCACAGATTCCGATTCATTAATTGATTTATGTATTTCCGTACTTTTACCCTCCTGTTGTAGCGTTTTTGACGGCTTTTGAGCAATTTTTTCAGGTGCAACAAAAACTTTTTCTGATTGTGGTACTTCATCATGTGTTGATACGGGTGCACTAAGCGATTTGCTTAAATTAACATACTTTTCATCTAATTTTGTTTTAACATCATCAACTTTTAACTTTACATTTACCAATGCAGAACCTAAATCGATATCATTTGAAGCAAATGTATTTGTATTAGACTTAGTTAAATGAGAATCATTATTTACGTTACATGAATTTTCTTTGAAATAATCATCTGGCGGTGGTTCTTCGCTTATCATATAATTTGATTTTATATCTTTCTCGAATTTTACTTCGGCGGGATTATCAAAGTCTTCGTTAAACAAATTCTCCGAATTTTTTTTGTTGTCGTCCACATAATCGTCTGGAGGGATATCATCAAATAATCCAATATGATTATCATTATAAGATTTGAAATTTACATGCGTCTTAGTTGCATCTTTTGCGTGCACCATAACATCTTCTGAAGTTATATTTTGATTAAATATTTCTTCATCTTCGGGTGGGATATCAGAAAATAAAAGGGAATATACTTCATTTTTCATCTGAACAGAACTACCCTCACTAGTTTCCACTATATTATTAACTTTATTTTCCGTGTTCAAAACTTTATCAAATTCTTCAAAAGTATTGTGCATCAGTATTTCACTACCTTCATCTTGGCTAGTTACAATTTTTCTAGTTTCATCTAGAACTTCATCGTTAACATGTTGATAAGAAGACTGTGATAAATCTTTTGTTAATTCTGTAGAAATATTTGCTATAAAATCTTGTTTGTTGCCAACATGTATTTTTTCTTTTACTTCTGTTTTATCTAAACTACCAGAGTCTTTTGTATTTTGATTATTTACATTTGACGATGAAACGTGATTTGCTTCTGTATTATTTTCCAAAGTATTTTTAGTAATTGCACTAGTTTTTTCACTAGATAATTTCAAATTCACGTTCAAGTTCGATTGAACCTCATCTGTTAATAGAGGTAAGCGTTTTTGAATGACCTCTGGACTCTTTTCAGAGTTTGTTGGAAAATTTATATCCATTGGTGGAATTGGAGGAGGCGATTTGACAGATACTTTTTCACTATTTCCGCTTTGTTTTTTGAGAATAGATTCAATGCTTTTATTTGTAATGTCTTTTTCTTCAGCCCCTGCAAAATCGGAACTCAGTTTTTTTTGTGCTTTTTTTGTGCTAAATAAGCTATCATCATCGTCAGACCAGTCACTTGAAAATAAAGTTCCAGTTTGTTCAGTACTAACACCTTTCTTCTCACAAGGCGTTTTTAATTTATCTTGAGTTAAAGTTGAGTTTCTCAAACCAGAATCTATTTTATTGTTTGATGTTTCAGACTTTTCTTCCGAATCTTGTAAAACACTTTCATCAATCTTTTTTATTTGCGATTCAGAGCACTGAACTTTTATTTCTTGTTCTAGATTACCTTCAATAAAAGTATTGTCGTCTGTTTTATTGCCATAAATTTTTGAGTCCTTAACTCTTGAAGCTTGGAAGAGATTATCAAAATCGTCTTCAGGCGGCTCATCGTCAAAGAGATTTGCAATTTTTGTTTTATATAGAAGAGCAGAGCTTAATGAGCCTGATATCTTATCTTCAGTTTTAATAGGAAGAAATAAATCCACTTCATCTTCAAAATCATCGAATAGATTACGTGCATTATTTGGATATAAAAGTAAATCTCTGCCTTTCTTATTATTATTTTCATTTTCATTATTTTCCTGTGTAATCTTGCTTAAAATGTCAATCTTAGTCTTACTTGAATTGTTGATTGTTGAAGAAAAACTCTCAGAATTAACATCCGCTTTTCTATTCTCCGACTCAGGTTCACTGTCTGAATAAAATAAATTTACTTTTTTAGATATACTAGTTTGCATAGTTTTACTGGCCGATTTTTCATTAATTTCCCTAACAAGAGAATCGAAGTCATTTTCGCTAAACAACGCATCATTTGTTTTTGCCAGACTGTCATTTTGAATTAAATAATTTTCTTTCGAAGTTTGCCTATCAGATTTCCTATAGTTAGATTTTCCATCAGTGAAGAGGGCTTTTGATTGCGTATCTAAACGTTCACTAACAAAATTTTGGTTGGATTCCTTTAAAGTTTCGTCTAAATCTAAATCGGGAGGTTCATCAGAAAATATGTTGGATACTTTAGGAAGTATTTCACGTTTCATACTTTGCTCCGATTTCAAAGTCTGGTGTTTTTTAACCGAGTTGATCCTGCTCTTATCCTTGTTATTTTCACGCTCTGAATCCGAACTTTCAGATAAACGCTTTTCTTTTGGTTTATGGACGTAGTATTTTTCTTCAGTAATCCGTTCTACTTTTTTGCTCTTAGTTTTTCGAGTATCCTCAGATGAAGTTTTAGATAAAAATGTATTAGATGATATCGCTTCTTCATCAGATGATGGATCGAACTTATTATTAAGCTTTCTTGTTTGATGTGATAAAACTCGACTGATACTCCAAACAGAACTTCCGGATTCAGATATTGTCGGCCCAATGCTTGGTAAAGATATGTTTTCGGCAGAATCATCTGAAAACTCCTCTGGCGCATTCCCTTTTTCAGAAGCACTCTCGTCATCTGAATCCAGCAGCCCAATATGCCACTTCTCGTTCCACTCTTCTGATCCAATTAAAGCTGGTAAACGTTTTGCATATAAATTTTTTGGCCGATATATTATAGTACTAAAAGTTTTATAAATTATCTTATTTTACATTTATAAATTTGGTTGATTACCTTTTCGCTTGTTCATCCTCTTCATCTGAATCATCCAAATTTAATAAAACTTTTTCATAACAATTTTCTAACATCTTCAGATTGTTGTCCAAAATTATTTTTAATGTTTCATTGGGGTTATAAACTTTCTGGAAAAAAGCAGATTAAAGGAAAACATATTTTTGTGTCTTTTGCAAAAAATTAACCATTTCGTTTTCTATAGAAACTTGTTTGGGTTTAGTTTCATCATCATCAAAAACACGGCTTTCAACAAATTGAGTCTTAGACAATGCTGACAGTTTATTTGATGCATTTTCAAAGGCAATACAAGATTTTTCGAGATTAATGTCCATTTTATTTAAATTAGCTTTTGTAGTATTTGCTCGAGTTGATAAATTCTAAAAATACATAAACTTATTATGTTGGTAGGTAAATATATTTAGAAAGCCAACATTCTGCTAAATTGGATCACATTAAAATTTCTGTAATAATTTGAAAAATAAACTTACATTGGAAATACTTTTCATAAGTTCCAACAATTGTGAATCACCTGCAATTTTTTTTTAATTATCGATAAAATACATATGTTAATAATGTTGGTACAACAATGATTATCAAAAACTTGCCTTCGAGATTCCAATTTGAAGCATTTTTCTTTACATCTTCGAAAGTCCAATGCACCGGTGCCTAATTTTTAAGAATTCAAAATATTTTAATATTTCTTTAATATTAAAAATTATATCTTACCATTGAGTAACATTTAAAAGTTTAAACTAAATATAATAATTGTAAAAATAAAAGTTTTTACTATACTTGTAATTCGTATTATCAAAACTGCATATGTAAAATGTCAATACCAGCTGAAAACTGAATTGGACTTCTTTGCCCTGTCGCTATAATAATTTTTGTAGCCACACAGATGGGATACGCGACACATGAAAACAATGATAGAACATAACTTGAAAAATGTATCATGCGTGTAAAAATGTTTTTATGAAAATAAATTGCATTTATTTCAATAAATCATATAAAGAATTTACGTAAAACCAAAAATATATCTACCAGAGTAAATATATATACCTACCCACATATGTATGTATATTGATTCCAAGTACACTACTAATAATTTCACAAAGTCATTTTCAAATTTGCAACATTAAATTTAATTTTTTTTTACAACATTAAAATTAATTTAATGAGCGGTTCAGAATTTTTCAAGCTAATAAACCATAATTAATTCTCAAACTTAATTTTATGTTGAAATTACATTTAATATCGATAGTTTTTATTCATATTTTTGAAAGAAACACTTTGAAAATACATATATGTATGTATGTACGTACTTATGTTATACTTTATCACCCCGTACTAATAAAGTGAGTCTCCAAAACTTATTTTTAAAAATTCGTCTGCGTGTAGTGTTTTCGTAATGTTCATACATTTATCAATGTTTAGTTTCTAATAAATAAAGTAATTTCGTTCAAATTATATTCTAAAATTTATAAATTTAAATTACATTATATACATATGTACATTACAATACCTACTTAAATTTTATTTATGTTTTAGGTGTTGTCTATAATAACTAGGGAGCCCACCAAAACTTAGTGGGAAAAATATGCCTGAAATAATCAGTTGTTTTAAATATCAGTTAAATGGCACAAGATAAAATTAAAAATACGTATCTTCATACGCATCACAGCAGAAGTATTTCCAGCAAAACTAATGATATATCCTCTACACAAAAAAATGTTCACTTTGCCAAAGAAAACTTCTCATCTGTCGTTAATGTTTCAAAAAATAAACAAGAACGCAATAGGAAAAAAGCAATTATCATTAAAAGTAAAATGAAAAATATAAACATGAATACTAATTTTAATGACGGAAATGAATTAAGTAGCCCAAATAAAAATCTATTACATATAAGGAGAAACATTGATAACAATAATATTAAAACTTTTCAAAATCAAAATATTCATTCATATAAATATCCACAAAAATCATGTGGTAGCAGTGCGAATATAAATACGTCTACAGAATCATTGCGATCTATAGAATCAATCGGAAACTGCTTTACGAGTGTATCTGCACCTTCGCTAACTAAGAATTTAGTTGACGAAAAAAATAATTTTCTTGCTCCCACTCATATACAAATAACAAATAACCGTGGCCTGCATCAAACATTTTTATCAAATCAACCAATTTTGAATTTCAATTCTAAACTATGTTCCCAACAAGAAAATTCTGAAAATTGGAGCCCTCGCAATGCTCAATTCAGTCAATATGCAAAAAATATTAATGAAGTGCACTCCAATGAAGCTAAAAACTCAATTCCAACGAAAAGTGTTTCCTTAGCGAATACTAACAAATCAAGTTCTAATTTTAAGCAGCAAAATATTTTGAAAAATAATTTTTCTACATATGCGAAAGGAATAAACAACAATTGTTATGTTAACCAGGATGTAAATGGTCCCTCTTCAAATTCATCAGTAAATCAACACTGCAATCGAGTCAAGACCCATCAAAATTATAATAATTTGACGTATGTTGTTACTGAAAAAGAAAATGTGAGGAGTTCATGTAATGAAAAACAAAAATCAGAAATGTCAAATTTAAAAACAGAAAATAACTGTTCTGAAAACTTTAATGCTTCTTGTATTTCATTGTCAAAAAGTAAACCAAGTGATATAGAAGCTAATTCATTAAAAACCTTTGATTTATTCGATACTGAACAATCAAACAATGTCTTTCTTCCAACTAAAAATAATACCATTTACGCTAAAAATACGTTGGAGCCACCAATATATACTAATCAAGAATATCGCACCGTAGCTCAAATTTTTCCAAACTATGCTTCAACAGCTCCACCCGAGTACGAAAACTTACACAAAATCCATAATTACAATTTTTTACAGCAAAACTTGACATATTTTGACACAAAACCGAACTTCAATGTGATAAATGTACATAGTCCGCATAGAACTTTTCATCAGCCGGAGTCATCAACAATTTACATGAATAATCAATCAACATTATCTCGATCGCCAAAAAGAATAGAAAAAAGAAATACTCATGGGAAAAAAACTTGGTTTCCAACTTTAAAATCATTCCACACAACTGGAAATACACCGCCCGATAGATTTTTAGCGAAGTCTTACTTAATGGAAGTTAAACTTACTCCGAAACAAATGTTGAACAATTCAGAATGGGATAAACTGTCTTCTGAAATTTGGCAGAAATTTTCATTACACCAGCAAAAAGAACTAACATATCGGAAAAAAATATACCTCTGGAAATATCTTTACTTATCAATAAAGAGAAATTTCCCTCGCTATGGTCTTTATTTAGTTGGATCAACAATAACTGGATTTGGAACTAATAGTTCAGATGTTGATATGTGTCTTGTACACAGAGCGTCATTTGCCTTAGATTCGAGATTTGAAGCAATTTCACATTTAAATAATATTCAAGAATATTTAAAAACTTTGGAAATTTTTGAACAATTTCATTTGATTGAAGCCAAAGTTCCAATTTTAAGATTTTCTGATTTAAACAACTCGATTGAGGTTGATTTAAATTTTAATAACAGTGTTGGGATCCGAAATACCCATTTGTTATATTGTTATTCACAACTCGACTGGAGATTACGACCTCTTGCTTTAACTGTAAAACTTTGGGCCCGGTATCACAATATAAATAATGCAAAAACTATGACTATATCAAGTTATTCCCTGGTCCTGATGGTAATACATTTTTTGCAATTTGGTGTCAATCCACCAGTTCTTCCATGTTTACATGAAATGTATCCAGAAAAATTTAATATTATACTTACTTCAAATGAGTTTGGATTTGTTGATATGATTGAAGAAATTAAGCCATATAAGTCGGAAAACAACAAAACTTTGGGAGAATTATTTTTACTATTTCTTGAATATTATAGCTATTTTAATTATTCTAAATATGCGATATCCATTCGCACTGGAAAATTATTACTAATAGATGAATGCCGCAAAGTTCAAAGCGTAAAAAATGATATTCACCAATGGAGAGAATTATGCATAGAAGAGCCATTTGATTTAACTAATACAGCCAGGTCTGTTTATGATAGTGAAACTTTCGATAAAATTAAAAATATATTTTTAACATCATGGCAAATTTTAAAAAATACAATGGAACTGAACAATATTTTTGCACCGTTATATATTTTCCAAGAGACAAAAGTTCCAAAAAATTAAATTAATTTCATAAATTTCTATAACAGTTAAAAAATTAAAAAAAAAAAAATTTGCATAGGTATAAAAAATCAAAAAGCAAAAAAAAATACAAAAATATAAAAAATAAAAAAAAGCTCAAATTATATTAGTCATATTTCATGAAATATTTGAAAATATGTTCTTGTAGAAATGGAGAAAATTTAAATCTATGTATTGTCAATATCAAATAAGTTGTCAGAATTAGTATTGTATCTATTATTGAATTCCGAAAATTTAAAGTGTTAGGAGTGAATATGTGGCTAACAGAAGCTGATCATATTTTGAATGCATACCTATACAAATTTTTTAATTTAATTTACAATCGTTTAAAAACTTTAATGCGTAGACAACAGTGCAAACCTTTAATTTTGTTTCAAGTAATCCAAAAAGGATGTCTACTACATACATAATTGTAATGCTATTGCATGAAAATTTGTAAATTTTAAAATAGGTCCGGTTTATATGTACTTACATACACTTCATAATATGAAAAATGCTTAAACCACATATTACAATAGATACATACATATATGTACATATTTATATATTAAACATAGTTAAGTGTATTAAATTTGATTAATTACTTAAATATTCATTATATTATAACTATAAAGTTCTATGTGTATTATATATCTTTATATATTCTGTCTAAGTTAAATATTTTGCAAGTTGTACATTAAGTTTGGAAAATTCATTTATTTATCTCTTGCTAATATTATGTGGTGAAATTTTACTTAAATCGTAAATTATACATACATACATACATTCCTTGCCGTATTCCAGTAAGCAAGCATCCCGCATGATATTGTATTAATTGTTATAATCAAAGTTGATTTTCAAATAATTTAATATAAAATAAATTCAGAGAGCGAAAAATCAAAAATTTGGTCATGTTTTCTCTTTCATTAAATCAATATGTAAAAAATATTGCGTTATTGTAGATGGGTTTAAAGTCCTTTTTAGTAAATATTTAACATTTGAATTTTAAATGATTGAATCACAGTACCTGCAATTTTTTTGTGCTATGCATACATATGTAATATAAAATCATAATGATAGTGTAATATAAAATTTTTGTATATCTCTTAATTTTGTCAACCTAAAAATTATACTTTATGGTATTATCTGCAATCATAAATTAAGCTCCAATTTTTGATTTTCACTTACCGTAATTAAGTACACATCCTTATTATATATATATGTATGTATGAATGTATATGCAAATGAGTGTTCCCACTTGCATTATGTGCAAACAAAATTTCCACATTAATACAAAATAATAAATAAAAGTGTTAAATGTATTTTTTTTTTTAATTATTTTTTGGTAAAGGTAATGAAATTATAAAGATAATAAAATTATTTTATCAGAACATACGTGTAGCTTCTAGCTGATTTGGAGCTCATATAATAAACGCTACTTGAAATTTTCAAATCAAGTCGATTGATTGCATTATTAGCTTGACTTGAAAATTAACGGTACATACGCGCGTTCAAAGATTGAAAATGACAAGTTAATATGAACAGCTAATGTCAAACTAAAGTCGATTTCTGCTTTAAACACAATGAGGCAGCATTTCAAACTGTTGTTGCGTATCATATTTTGCTAATTTAGATGACATTTAGATATTATTTTTTTTTATTATTGTATGTTACTGTATTTTGTTTTTATTATTGTATTATTTATTATATGTTATTTTATTATTGTGTTTTATAACGCGTTGAAGCAAAATTTTTGCAGTTTTCAAGTATTCCATTTTTGAATTGCGGCCCCACTGTGTTTAGGGCATTCAATTAAATTATTTCAATCTTTACAGTATATACACAGATTAAAATCTCAAGTCAAAAATTAGTCCATTATATAAACGAAGTAATGGTTTAAAAAATCTTGTTTCGAAATCGCCATTCTTTTGTCGGCTGAGAAATGAAACAGCGAATAAAGAAATTAGTATTGATTTTGAGTAATTTATTATTAACGTTATTTTCATATTTCTGGTTCCAAGTTTGAGCTGCAGTCGCATCGCCCCTCGCAATTTGTTTTCGTTACTGTAATACGAAAGCGGTTCATTTTATGACTTTCTTCGATAGATTAATAAGAAATGTTTTGATAAGGTACATTATAAAAAAATTGGTTTAATTTTTCTAATGTAGTCTATATGTAATATAGTATTCGAAAATGATGCAGTCAATTTTTGTTGTGTTTCTTACAACTATATTGACGGACCATATCGGTACGATATTAGATTTCCCTGTAAATTTCATACACATAAATATTCCTAGTTTTTTTAATTTTGACGTTTTGTTTTGAACGCTTTTCTTTGTTGATTTGCCATATCGTTACTTCCTTAAAATTCTTTCATTGAAATCTTCGAAACATTAACTTGTAATCACTGCACAACTGCACGATTGCAACAATATCGTTGATCAATAACTTTCCGTTGAAAATTTTTTGAAGCTTCATGAGAGTATTGAATGGAAAATTGAGCATCTATATGTGCTCTAACTCAAAATCTCTACGAAAATTTTAATAAATTTAATTATAAAACGAAACAGCGAAATCTACATGAAATAACAATTATACATCCTAAACCGATTCTAAATTTTCAGTTAGTTAAATAATATCTTAAATTTAAAATATTTTAATTATTTTAAGACATGTTAAATGATATTGGTGCAAGTGTCAAATACATATGTAATTAGATACACAAAAAAGACTCTGCCAAAGTAACAAATAATTAAAAAACCTTATTCAAAATAAAGTGATTACTTATAGTAATTACTATCATGTAGTAATTATTGACAAATCATTTTATAATTTATATGTATTTTTCTATCATTTTCAGACTATAGTGAGTTGTGTTGTTTGCTCCAACACAAATTATCATTCAAGCTACATAATACATAGTGTTTAGTATCTCAAATTCTTTACTATTTTAAAAAAAATATAAAAAAGTACAAATAGTTAAAATGTCGATTCAAGTAGAAAAACTAAGAGAAGATATTACCAAAGCATTGGAGGACAAAAACAAGCCATGGTATAATGCTTTTGATTACGTCGAGAAAAATACTGGTGTGCCTAAATTATACGCGTTCTTAGGTAAGAAAAAAATATATTTTTACTTGAAAAAATAAAAGTTGAATCATTTATTCGTATTGTAGTAGAAAAAGGCATAATAAATTTTTTAACTGTGTTTAACACTATTTGTATAAAATTTGATTTTATTAGTGTTGTTGCTAAGGGTTGTTTAATGTGATGGACGAAAACGCATCGTGGCTTTATTATTAGTTTTTATTTGTTAAATATTGTATATACATACGTATACATATATTTACGTCCATAGATACTTATGCAAGATTTGCAGACCTCTGAGTACATACTAATAAGAACTGCCCGGTTTATGTTATTGAAGTTCAAGGTTTTCTGTTTATGGATATATGCATTAATAAAAAAATCATAATCTTCTATTTGCTTAATTGTAATAGTCAGGTTAATTATATAACTTATTTGACTACTAAAATAAGTATTGCATAAAATTTGATTTGTACTAACATACATATTTAGTTATACATATGTACGTACATATATGGCCATATTTTTAATTGAACTCGTTTTAGTTCCATTCTATAGTACTGTGTCTATCCCACGTTTTCGAAAATAATATCTACATATAATATTTATAGCGAGTACATACATACGTATATTAGATTTAAATTCCATTTACTTTTAAAATTCTTATCAAATGTACACGTTGTTGCAAATCTTTACATAATTTTGTAGGTAATAACACAAAGTATTGAGTAGCCTGAGATAAGAATTTTTGTCTACCTTACTTTGTTTTTAATTTAGTATATGCTCTCAGGAAAAATTAGCATATATTTTTGCCGTTTATGTATTTATTTATGTTATCAATCAAATAACCCCAAGGAAAAAGTTAATATATATTCATTTGTGGGTAATGCACCGATTTGAAAGATTTTCAAAAAATTTTCAAAAAATAAATGAGTATGTACGTAAATCCAATTCATTATTAATAAAAAATTATTCAAATGATTTCATTTCGGAAACAAAAAAATGATTTTTAGCATCCAAATTAAATTTTTAGAGGCACTTCTTTACCAACTTGACTTTGAAAAAATTTTCAAAAACCAATAATAAAATACCTTCAGTACTATCTCAAATAATTTTAATCTTTATTTTTATAATGGTTTAAAAAATCAATGTCAGTGATGCATCTCATATTTAAGAAGATAAAAGTATAAAGCAAAATGTATACATGTAAGAACATATACACATTTACCTACTTAATCAGAAAGTAATTTTAGATAATCTTCTATTTTTTTCCATGCTTTTTCCTAAAATTTTTTTTTGTATCTAAGAATAGATCTTAGTGAAATGATCAAAATCTATTCAAATAAGTATGTATATTATTTTAATGTAGACTTTTTATAAATATTTCTGGGGTACAATAAAAATACACTGACGTTTTCTTTTAATCGATCATATTTAGTTTTGTTATTATTTTTTTGTCAACAAAACAAATATAGAAAACTTTTTTCACTAATTTTGAGATTTTTAGCTATATAAGAACTACGAGTATTATGATCTAAGAAAAACAATTTATTCATTATTCGGTTTGTTAATTTTAATGATTGAGTTTTTGTGAATTTAATTATATTAATTAAAAACTATATTTTTACAAAACAGTTTGATTTTCAGTTTAAAACGAATAATCTATTCAACGAATTTTTAAAGGGATATGTATGTATGCCATTATAGTCAAAAAAATCTTTATTTTATGCTTTCCTGGATTATGATTCGCCTTTTTTCAGCTATTTTTTTTTTTTAATAAAAATTTTGTTTTCTGATTTAATACTTATACTTTTTTCTTTTGTTTTTGAATTTTAACAAAAAAATATACCTAACAAGTATACGAGTCCATTTTTCAATAGCTTTAAAACACTAAAATAAAAATTTTAAATAATAATTTTTTTTTCTTTTTTGAATAATTATGAACAAAATTATGAAAAGCTGAAGTAAACACCTCTTATTTATGTTCTTGATTAATCCACTGATAGAAATAATTTGTTTTACATTTAGCGGATTTCCTTATTGTGCCAATGCTCAATTAAAACAGAAAAATTAATAACGAAATGGTAAGACTCGTGAACTTGTTTTTACCCGGTAAAAGGACTAAAATTATTTTTAGAAATTCTTTTGAGTATTTTTCCCTTTTTTTCTAGGTAAGAAAATAGGAGAAAACATTAAAAATCATGCCAAAATTTATTCAGGAATTAGTATTTTATTTAGGCAAATAGCAAATAGAAAAATTTTATAAAAAAAGTAATTATTATGTATGTAGATCCATAATTAATATTTTTACATCAAACTCCTTTGTTTTGGATTGAATAATTTTATGAAAAAATAACAAAGAAATGGTTTGTAATATTAATTTAAAATTTGCTCGTTACGCAAGGTATTTGTAATAATTTTATTTTTTTCGAACCACAAAAAAACATTTGAAAAAATTTCAAAATGCGATTCTATCTTCAGTTAGTATAGAATAATGTTATTAAGTGGCAAGTCTTTTCAAATTGTTTTAATATAGCCAGATATGTACATTAATTATAAAATACAAGTTTTTATATAATTAGCTTCATCATTTCATTACTTATATAGATTAAGTAAGTTGAGTTTGTAAGTACACTCATAAAGTACATTTATTTTATAATTATATATAAAAAAATTTCGTACTTAAAAAATGGCATATATTTCCTGTTATTGAACATTTTTACTTTACTTAAATTTTTATACTTTTAAATGTTATTTTGGAAAAAGTTATTTTTATTAACAGAAATATCTCATTGCAGCATATAGACGTGTAATGCAAAAGCATACCTATATACCCCCATAGTATTAATTTTCTTTCTCCAATATCAAATTTCTTATTTATACTCTATATGCTTGAATTACAAAATATTTTTCTTAACAAAAATAAAATGCTCGATATTAATAAAATTTGGAATTAAACGTACTTTTATTGAATAAATCTTTATTCTGCAAATATATTTCTATAATATGAAATAATATTGGCTATTTGCTTATTTCTTAAATATAATTTTTTAATAAGAACATTACAAATTAGTAAATTTTATAAGAATGTTCACCTTGCAATACAAACCAAATTAATTGAGAAAAAGTATTTATGCTTTAGTTTATGTACTCTCTTTAAATGTATGTACTTAATGTGATTTTAAATTTAATTGAGGAAACCTATGTTAATTTAGAAAAATTTTTATATATGTAAATAAAAAGATTCATTCTGATCAAGGGTACACACGGTTGAGGAATACCTTCTTATAATTACATATATTGAAAATTCGAAAATAATTTTTTTTAATAGTTAATAATTTGTAATAATGCTAAGACAGATGGATCTTTCTGATATTTATACTCAAATAAATGAAAATAAATTTTTAAAATATGGTGAGTCCAAAATAATTTTTAGAGTTATATGTATTATATCTATGAATAGGATTAATTTAAATTTTAAAATAGAAATTTCAATTGATAATCAATAATCAGTTTGCAAAATGTGAATTAAATTACAAATTTTGATACATATAGTGGATTAATATACATACAAAGCTTAGAACGGTTACATTCTTTTCAGACTGCGTCTTTCAAAGTGTTTTAAAATTCGAAAATTCTTTTAATTTGCATGCATACTAATTTAAAAGATATTGGAGATTATTGTAAAAACTCTTAGAATAGGTTGAATTAATAAAAGTATAAAAATTTGAACAGCGGCAAGTTATATATTTTACATATTTGTTAAAAAAATGTTTAGCTGTTTTATACCCATACTGGTTTCTTTTTTTTATTTATTTTACCGCATACTATTACCCACATACATACATACATATGTGTGTACATACGTTTACTGTTCACGTTTTCAATGCCTTTATTGACAATTTAAAAATTCCAAATGTGTACGTACACACAAATCAGTTTTTTATTCTTCTATAAGCTTTCACATGAAATTGAAGTTTAAGCTCGCATTTGTAGTTTGATAACTTATAATAGTTTTATACTAGGTGCTCTAAAGTAATGGGGAAAAAGTATTCAAAATATAAGAAAGACAAATCACATAAAATTGATTCGGTTGATTTAAATTACAATATTTTATTAAAAGGTACATCTTAAATATAAACTAAAATAGAATTAAGACTTTTTGTAAATATGTACATAAATTCATTTACAAAACAAATGTGAATAATTGTTCATTACTGTCTATCCGCTATGACAAAGAAAATAGATACATATGTAACAGTCATATTCATATAACATGAACATATATATGTATGGCAGATTGTAAAAAAAAAGCTTTCAAACTCAATATTAAAAAACCAACATGGTAATATGTACATATGTAAATTCACTCGCAAAGAAACATAATTAATTATATATGTACATACATTATAAGTTAAAACTTTTAGAAAAAAATATTAAAAAAACTTTATTTACAGGAGCACTTGGATTAACCGCATTATACTTGGTATTTGGTTATGGAGCTGAACTGCTATGTAATATTATTGGAGTTGCGTATCCGGCTTATATTTCAATTCACGCCATCGAAACAGCCACAAAAATTGATGATACTCAATGGTTAACTTACTGGGTTACTTACGCCGTCCTTTCGTTAATAGAATATTTTTCTGTTTTTATTACCTCAATAATTCCACTATATTGGCTTTTAAAAGTAATATCAACTTTTCTTAAAATGCATTTAAACATTTTTTAATTTTCCTTCATTATCTAGTGCATATTTTTAGTATGGTGCATGTTGCCCATCAAAAACAACGGATCAGTTGTTCTTTATAACAAGGTTATTCGGCCGTATTTCTTAAAACATCACAAAGGTAATATAAAATAATTTTACTTTCGTTCAATTATTGTGTAGATATATTAGTAAAATATTATTATTTTTTCTTTTAGCTGCAGACAAAATTCTTGAAAATATTGCCGAAAAAACCAAAGACACTATAAGTGGTGTTTTTGATAAAAACAATTAGGTTTTACAATCAAATTTTTGATTAGTAAATAAAGACATCTGAAGGAAGTAGCATTTATAAAACACAAAGGAAAAAATAAGTTTAAATTAGGTGATTGGCAATACAATCTTAGTTTATCAGACTAGCATAAAATCCTTTTATTACTTTTTTTAAATTAAAATTTTGTGAATTGAGATTTTAAATTTAGAACCATTTGTGCTTTGACGATCTTAAAACAAAACAAAATTTTGTAAAAATTTCTTTTTCCATAACAAAATGTTGAATATTGTTGCGCACTGATTATTAAATTTTATGAAATGGGAACGAAATAATAGTATGTACTTCATTTTTAAACATTCTATAGAATGTTACTTTATATTATAAAATAGTAATTTTGACTTTTAAAATTAAAGATCTTAGATATTTTTATCGTGTAAAAAGAAATTTAAGTGGCTTGAATTATTTATCTTTGAAATAAATATTTAAAGTATTGATAAAAAACCTGCCTTTTTATTTTAATTTTTTTTTATTTAAAACCTAGCTAATTTTATTATTTTCATACACTTTTGACTTCTGTTGTTTCTTCTTTACTTATATTTTGTGATTCCTGGTTTAATTTTTGCCTATTTCTCCAAGCTTGCATGTATGTTCGTGGATGTATAGGTAAGAATCCGGACAAGCCCAATAGTTCAGCAACGGGTTGTGACAAATGCGCTCCTTTACCAATCCAAAATCGTATTCTCTCAAAATTCAAAGAAACTAATTTTTCACTGGAAAAATATACTATTACACTTAATTTGTGTAAGAAAATTTTACTTTAATCATACTTGAATTGATTAGGTAACGGATCATAAGTTCCCACTTGTTCTATTACAGGCTGGTATTGATCTTTTTTTCTCTTAAAAAAAATAAAAAAATATTATATGTATATAAATTTCAAGTTGGATTTCTAACCTCCATAACTACTACATGGAAAAATGGACGATTAGTGCAGCCATGTTTGGCAAAACGTATAATTTTAGCAGATTTTTTATAAAATTTGCCAATTCCACTTGCAGGAGAAAGAGACATTTTTGATTTTATTTTTGTTTTTTGCCTAATATTTGATTTTATAAAAAAAATCCGTATGACAATATGCCCTCAAAATTTTCTACTGACATTTGATAAAAGAAACGAGACTCGAATTAATAGATTCTTGCCACTTATGCTCTAGAAAGCTTGATAATTAAACATTAAATTCTATTTTTCCCCCTTTCTATTGTTCCACTTTAAAATTTTTTTGTTTATGGTGATGTTTATGAAATTTTCAAATTGATTATAACAGTTTTTGGAACAAAAAAAATTTATTAAAACTTTAAGTTATGAAAAATAAAATTTATCGTACACCCTATGTCGTATAACAAAAGCAAAATTTGTATTTTAAATAATACATTATTATTCTTGTTCTTATAACAAAAAAAAATTACTACGTAGGAAATTTTTTCTAATTTCTTTAAACCCATCATTGATCGATCGTATTTTCTCAAAATGTGTTATGGGGTTTTAAAATATGAAATCGCTTGTTAAACTCTATGAAAAGACATTTAAAGCTCAAGTTAATATTATAATGTCTTTAAACGAGCTCTTAAAAAATTTGACCTCACTCCCGAATATGACAGAATATTTCGAAAATCAACTTTTTTTACAACTTACATCCACATCAAATGTCTTTTATGAAAATCTGGTAAATTTGCAAACAGCGTTAAAATTTTCAGAATTATTATATACAGATTTTGTTATGAATAACATGCATAAAGGTCTTATACAAACAAATCTAAAATCAATCCAAGACATCTTCTAGTATAACATCTTATGAAATAACATGGTATGCATATTTAGTAAATAGCAACTTATTCGTTTCTTAACAATATTTTAACTCAAGTATCTTACTAGAAAGTAGTTAGGTTTTTCTGGTGAATGTGCTTTTTTTCACAGAATTATTATTTAATTTTTTAACAATTCATATTAATTTTAATATATTATTTGACTTTGTCAAAAAATAAATAAGTTTATTTCCTATCGATTTATTTTAAACTACCCTCGAGGCACGTTATTTATTAGGATTGAGTTGAGTTATTTTTTTAATTTTTTCTGGCGAAGGGACCAACAAAGTCTCCAAACGGATTTTACAAGTAGTAAGATATCATATTTAACTGCTGATACATCATAAAGCAATCACAAATTTAGCCAAGAGAAAATTATAACCTGGCAAGGACACATCAACTCAATGCGCGGGATTTACTGAGTTGACAAATTATTTATCCACTAGGTTATAAAATCAAAACAAAAGTTTTTGAATTTTTTTATGTTTATAAAAATTTTGTATACACTTTTCTTCATGCAAGAATTTGAAATTGAAATTTGTAATAATTCAATAAATAATGACTGATGTAGGTAAATTTCAAAAAATAGAAAAAATAGGAGAAGGTACCTATGGTATCGTGTATAAGGCAAAAGATAAAAAGACGGGAAAAGATGTTGCTCTGAAGAAAATACGTTTGAAAGGGTAAGATTTAAATATACATATGTAGTTAAAAATTTTTTTTAAAAATCTAATACTGTGAAATATTTACGCATTTATTGCATACTTTGATAAAGAAGAAGGATTATGGGATAGTAAGTATAAGCTCTCAATATTTAATCAAATTTTTATTCCTAGACTTAAATATTTAAATCAAGTTTTGGATATTTTATTTTTTTAATATGTACTTTATTATAAGTGTAATTCAAATGGGAAAATTATATGCAGTTCAAGGTTTTAAGTTAATGTGTATTTGAGTTAAAAATGGTATAGATAAAATATAAAGGATGTCCTTGACGAATGTCAAGGATATTGTACCATTAAAATACAAAAAGAAAAAAAAACAAGCAGAAACATGAAGCCTTGTCATTTTGGTGCTGCGTTGAAAATAAAGAAATTCGTAGCACCACATGATTCGGCTTTGTTTTTCTTTGTAAATATCATCCAAGAGAAGTGGTACATCCAAGCGTTTGTTTATGTATATTTTAGCTTTATAAAATGTGTTTTATTATCAAAAATTTTATTTTAGGGAATCTGAAGGCGTTCCCTCAACAGCAATAAGAGAAATATCCCTTTTAAAGGATCTCAAGCATAATTGTATTGTACAGCTTTTAGATATCGTTATAGCCGATTCAAATTTGTATATGGTATTTGAATATTTGAATATGGATTTAAAAAAACTTATGGACAAAAAAAAAGAAATTCTTGTACCGGAATTGGTTAAGGTAATACACATAAATGTACACTTACATTGTGGGTAATTTAAATGTTTTTAGAGTTATATGTATCAGTTATTAGATGCTTTATGCTTTTGTCATACAAACAGAATATTGCATAGGGATTTAAAACCACAAAATTTATTAGTAGATAACGCAGGTCATATTAAGGTAATGCTTAACATTAAAATAATATACCTACATATGTATGTACATATATAAATACATAATTTTTAATTTTATGTTTCAAAAAATATTTTAGTTAGCTGATTTTGGATTAGCACGGTGTTTTAACGTGCCGATGCGTGCTTATACCCATGAAGTTGTAACGTTATGGTATCGATCACCCGAAATCCTCTTAGGTACGAAATTCTATGCAACAGGCGTCGATATCTGGAGTTTGGGATGTATTTTTTCGGAAATGGTGACAAAGCGGCCTTTATTTCCGGGTGATAGTGAAATCGATCAATTGTATAGAATTTTTCGAACTTTGGGAACTCCAGATGAAAGTACATGGCCAGGAGTAACCCAATTAGCGGATTATACTTCAAGATTTCCAAAGTGGTGTTCAATAAATTTACCTAATGACTTTGACAGTCAAGAAGGATTGGACTTACTTAAAGTAAATTAAGTGCCGAAAGTAAAAACGATTTTCTTTTAATAAAATTAATTTTTAGCAAATGATTGTTTACGATCCCAACGCCAGGATAACCGCAAAAAATGCTATGTTACATCGATATTTTGAGAAAATGCAACAAATAACACAAGTTACTCTGCCGATAGATAATTTATAAATTTAAAAAACATTTTTATAAGCAAAATTGTTAATAGCTTAATATTTAATTGTAATTAAATTATTATTTTGAATAATTTTTGGACATAATAACGAAATAAATTTATTAAAGAAAGATTAGTACATTAATAAATATTTTTTATTATGTGAGATCTAAAACGTTAAATCTTGGATTAACTTGAATTCTTTAGAAAATAAAATAGAAAAATATTTCATATACAGAAGGGCTCGTTTTTGTTCAACAATACCAATCTAAACAATAATTCAATTATCCTATTGGATTCTTGGTTTTAATTAATAAAAATCATGAAATGTATATTTTCTTTCTATATTTCAAATATTATTTTATTTATTTTTTTTCTTTTTGATAATACTCTTACATAAAAAAAGAAAAATCAGAATATGTATAGTAAACAATCATATATGTATATATAGATATATTTAAAAAGAAAACAGAAAAATTGCAATTGAATAAATATGTGAACAAAATTAATTAAAAATAATTTGATCCGTCTTTTAATAATTTTTATAATAATAATTAGGTCTTATGATAAAAATAAAAAAAGTTTTAAAAGTATAATTCTACCAATTTTAACAAATTTTTATTATATTTTTATTATTACATTCTTCAATTATCATAATTTTATATTATAAAAAAAAATTATAATAAATATTTTAATTATAATAAAATGACTTTATAAATGGTTTAAAATGAACGTGTGCGGTTCATACCATTGTTACATTTAAAAATCAAAACAAAATAGACGAAATCAATATTTTTCTAACAATATTCTTGAAATCCAAAGTAAAAGTAAGGAATTCGAAATGTTTTGATTTTTACTTTTTTTGTTAATTTGATTTCTTTTTTTATTTTATAACTACATATTAGAATCAATTACAAATATGTATATCAATTCCGCGAAACACATATTTCAATTAATATATTTATACATACATACATATGTATATACTAGAGTTTTTTTGGTGAAATTCATTTCACAAGTTAGCACATTTATTTTAAAATTTTTCTTGCTTCTAAAAACTATATGGTGCTTCATGAAATGAACTTCCTTTATTAAAGTATTGTTTGTTTTAACGCATCATTAATTTTAAATACATTTTTTTTTATGGTCAAGAAAATAAATAGGTTTTAACTATTACTTAAGTATTCTAGGTTATGTGAAATAAAAAAAAATTTATCTTAATTGAGTAAATTGAGTTTAGGAATAAGTAAACAATAAAAAATACGTATAAAATTCATGGTAAAAGGATTCATATTTTATTTTGTTAATTTGTATTAATAAAATACTGCTTTTAAAACATTTTTTAAAAAAAGTTAATCTCAAATTGAACTTGTTTTGCAATTATTTTTACAGTATTTAGTTTTAACTAATTAATTTATATTAAAAATTTCTAAAATATTCGTCATTTAAAAATTTGGAACTGCTCATCTAACTATTTAATCATGACCATATAACATTTTTAAAATTTTTCATAAATGTATTTAAAAATATATTTTTGCTTTTGTGATATTAAAATTACATTAATTACCATTTGCCTAATAATAAATAATCAATTAAATACTTTTTGCATTTTTCATTAAGCATACACTATAAGCCAAAACCTCAGTTACAAATAAAGAACAACTTAATAGTTTGGATGAGATTTTGTAAATAGAAGATAATTTAAACTTAGGAATATGGTAATCAATATGATGTTTTTTTAAATAATTAATTTAGAGAAAAATTAAAAATGCACAAAAATATCTTTTATCAAGTCATTCATTAATTATTTATAATTCCCAAAAAATTTGATCGTTGTTTTGAAATTAAAGTTTTTAATATACTAAACTAAAAAGCAATCATAAAAATATTGAATGATATTACATTTATACAATATGTATAATCAAATAAAAAATTACGCTTGAACATTAAATCGTAAATCAGAATTTAGATTCTAATTGAAAAACTTTTTTTTATATAAAAATATTGAGCAAGATCTAAAAAATATTTTTGTACATTTTTTTTTTCAGTTTTTAATTTTTCAATAAATTTTTTAGAATTTTTATAAAATTTATTCAAAATATTTTTGTCGAGTTCCTTTCAATTTTTATTTGAAAATAAAATAAAAGCATAATGTTTATATTACTGGTTTCATTTTATTTTATTTGGCCTTATTTAAAAAAGAGAAAATTAGAAATTGGACCAAATTAAATAAATTACATTCATAAAAATTTGGTTTTTGTTATATAATTTCATATTTAATATTTTTAATAGCAATTTTGCGACATCTGTACATATACATAATGCTTTTAATAAATAAACTTTTATTTAATTTGGTCCATTACCTTTAATTAATTACATTTTATGAATTTCATGGATATTAAATTGTTCAAAAGTATTTACAGTCAAACAAAAAACCTATATACATATGTCATTAAAATAAATAATGTACAATTTAATACCCTTTTTAATGTTTGTTTTTGCCTTATAATAATTTTCATATGCAGATATTATAAAATGTTATGCGAAAAAAAATAAATACTCTATTTACTTGATTTTTTTAGTTTCTAATTTTTTGAAATTAACGAACTTTGAAATAATTAAATACAAGTCTTAGTGAAATTGAAAGAACTGTAGTGGAACCGTTTGTGAGCTTCATTTTGTGTAAACAACTGGCCATTGCATCACATTTCAGAGAAATACAAAATGATTATGTATTGTTTCCCTTGGGTTGGTGAGGTGAAATAGTAGTATATAAATACAATGTCTTGGTCAAATGTTATTTAAAAGAAGTTCAAAAAGCCTATTTAAACACAGTTATATATTTTGCTTATTTTAACGACCCAAGAATTTTTAAAATAAATCCGTTGAATGTCTTGCCGAAACTGAAAAAACCGGAAATCATAAAAAATGTTGTTGCTGATAATATTATTGATAATGTAAGAATATTTTGGTAAGAAAATAAAAAAGTGTAATCTAATCGAAATGTAAAACTAGTATTGGGGAATATAAATATGCCATATAAATGAAACATTTTGTATGTATTTGTAAATAGCAGAAGTTTTTTTTTAAAGATTATAAAACCGATTCTGTTGGTGGGATTATAATAAAAGAATTTTTGTTATTTTTAACCGTATTTTTGATTCGGATGAGAATAAAATTCTATTTTAGAAACATTATAAAAATGAAAATATTAATATTAAGAATGATGATGAAAATTTATTAAAACTCATTAATGAATAATGAACAAAATCTGAAAATGAATATTCCGAATTTATGCACTGAGCTGGCTGAATTTAAAACATCTTTTAATTTTAATTAAATTTTCTTAAACTTTTTCTATGAAATTTTGTATATTTTCGCTTGTAGTTTTTAATATTATTTCATGTGTGATATTGCAAAAAGTGAATGTAATAACTCTCTATAAGATGTACGTGCACCTTAATTAAACAATATTGTATTCACTATATTGTATTCGCATGACATTTTAAAATATCGTGTTAATCATTATGAAATAATTTCTTAAATAAAAAAGAAAAATAAATAATAAATTACTTGAAAACATAATATTAATTAATATTAGAAAAAAAAAATATTAAAATAAAATAATTTTCCTAGAAAACAATTTATCTTTTAGTTAACATCAATTTCGAGTATATTTCGAAAATAATAATTATAATAATAAAGATTTTTATTTTTTTTTTATTAATTTACAATAAAAATTTTAATATTGTAAAATAGCTAGTTTTGAAGTCAAGTTTATTGCATTTTAATAATTAATTCTTAGGATTTTTTTTACAGATTTCTGTAATACTTTCAAGATTTTTGAGAAATCAACTTAAAATTTTAATTAATTTTGTAAAATACAAATAAATATATTATAAATATGTATATATAAATTAATTTTTTAAATTTATCTTTTATTTTAAAAATTTCTTGGCAAAAATACTTCTTTTTGTTCATTGTTACAACATTTAGTTATTTTCACCTTCTTTTTTTGAATTCGGTTTTTTTTCATCCGAAATATTATTGTTACTAGATTGTATTTTTTTTGGTTTAACATTATCTAAGCCTAATTTACTTAACATTTCCAGTGCCGCCAAAGCAGCGTTATCTTGTGATGCATCTGAATTTTCTCCAGCTCCATGACATAATTGCGGAGGATCTGTGAACAAAGCTATAATCGTTAAAAACTCTCCGTGATTTCCTTTTGGATAATCAGTAAAATTAGCCTATAATACAACGTTTATTAGAATTAAATATAGAAAGGTATTTTGCATGTAGGTACAATATATTTTGCAAACGATACAAAAAAAAATACGATCTTACTTCGAAATCTAAAATTTGGGCCAAGTAGAGCAATTGGTCTTTAGGTCTCACTCCAAATTCAGTAGATTTTCTTTCTGAACCTTTAGGTTTTTCGACTGATTCACTTTTGTTAGAGACTTCATCATTGGTTGAAGCTTTTTGACTCGGTTCATTTTCACCAGAATTTTGTTGAGATTGTTTGGTAGTATTTACAGAATTTGTATTGTGATGTGTTTCACTATCTTTAATTGATGAAAAAAAAAAATAAAACAGTTTTTCAATTATGAATAAAAATAATAAAACAATATTCATTATTACTTTTCGGCAAATGAATTAAACCAGGAACAATCTGTCGACTAGAACTTCCACTTTGTGCCTGAGGGGTTGTTTTTGCATTACTCGTACTATTACTTCGAGATAAATCGTTTTCACTTGTTTTAATTTTGTTACTGTTATTGTCGGCAGTGTTAACAACATTTGAATTATTTTCTTTATTATTTTGATTCGGTTCATATCCCAAAATTACAAGCAAATCTTGGAAATTAAAAAAAAAAAAATAAAATAATTAATCGACAGGTTAAATTTATTTTAAAAATATTATATACTTTTCGCAGCATTTCTTTTAGCAATTTTTTTGTTAGATCCGCTGCCTCTGGCACTTTGACCATTGGCTGTAACTTCAATAGTGAATTCGCGCCTTCTTGCAGCACCTTTTTCTTCAACTACCGTGTAAGCTGGTTCTCGTTCTTTTAAAGCTTGTTGTATTTGAATTAATCTAGAAATTGGATTCATTTCTTCTGGATTTTCAGGTTCAGGTTTTTCTTTTATAACATTTTTAATCCGCTTTTTTGGCGCAGTTTGCTGAGTTGCCCCTTGTTGGGATGCACCAGCAGCGGAATTACGTTTATGTGCCCGACTTCCTTTACTCGTCTTATTACTATTCTGGTACGTATTTGCGGGTGGTGGTTTTTCTGGACTCACTGGTGGCAATTTGTTAAGCTCTTCCAGCATTTTTTTTGCTGCTCTCTTTTTTGATATTTTTTTGCCGTTTCCTTCACCTTCCGTCTTAAATGCAACAAAATTGATATTTTTTTGCTAAATAAAATAAAAAAACTTACTGTTATATCTCCAACTTTACAAATAGTTATAAAATTTTTCAAATGCGGTGGCCCAACTTCACTTTTAACTTCAAATGTTACTAATAAATTTCTTTTTAAACCTATTTCATAAACCAATGAAATTGGAGACTTAATTTCGGTTCCAGATTCCCCTGAAGATGTATTCAAATTTTCAACATCTTCGCTAGCTTCAGCAATTGGTTTTAATACTTCCAAAGCTCGGGATGCAGCATCGTGTTTAGCAGCTTGAACTGTTGGGCCAACACCAGTAAATTTTTCTTTTCCTACTAACAAAGTTATTTTACATGCATCTCTGTTATAATTAGGATGAATGCCATTTAATGGTGCCATCATTCGCTGAAATACATAAAAAAACTTTTTCAAAACAAGTTACTTTTAACTTTGTATTGGACAAAATTACGTTACGAAATTTCATATAACCACCCCGAGCATACGGTCTTCTAGTTACATTTGGGAAACGCATTCCATTTCCATTCAAATAAATATTAACTAAATTATTTCTTGAGTTAAACTGTCCATACTGATAATTACTCTCACAATAATAATTTGGCATATGTGGTAATGATGGTGGTGGTGGTGGCGGTGGTTGTGGGCCATTAGTTAATGTTACTGGCGACATGGAAGTTTGTGTACCATTTGATATAATTTGCTGGGTTGAATTTATTGCTAATGCTGTTGGTACACTTTGTTGATTTACCGGCGGCATTGATTGTATTTGATTAACAGTTCCACAAGTTTGTGCCGTTCCCGACGAGTCGAAAACATATACTGCTCTTTCCCCTAATTTCATAGCCAGGGCGTTTAATTCAACTGTTGGGGTAATATTTCCAATTCCAAACCTGCTAGAGCCATTTTTGTGGCGTACTTTCTTAGGAGGTGGATGTTCGTATTTAGTTTTAGTTATTGCTTCTGCAGCTGCTGTATGTTGCGCCTTTTTTATACTTAAACCTTCAGCAGTATATTCTTCATCCCCTAGATTTAATATTACAGTAAATCTTTTACTATGTGCTGGTCCTTGTTCTCCAGTTAATCTGTACTGATGCTGTATCTAAAATATATGATAAATGCTTTATTTCTCAAGAAATATTTCCAACCTTTTTGAATTAATACATATTTTAAATTATAAAATTTTGTAATTTTTATTGAATTATATTATTTATGTAAGTATATAAGTTTTTACTTGATTGTATCTCGCTAATTCATTGACCAAGCACATTGGTGTTTTTTCCTTTCCACTTGAAATATTTTCAGTAGACGGAACACTAACAGGTTCATTTGAAATTGGTTGTGAAACAGTGTTTTCTGGATGTTCAATATTTTCTGGTGACTCTTCAACTGCATTAACAGAATTTTGTTTTTTGCTTACTTTTTGATTTTGTACGTGTTCCACATTTTGGTTAACATTAGACGATGCTTTTAATAAAAGTACAAAATTAATCTTGAATTACATATACATATGTATAATGAAATTAAAAAAATCTTACAATTTTTTGAAGTTTTTGATTTTGTTGATAAATTTACTATAGGAATATTTTGATTAATCTGCGATTGACTATTATTTGAAGTTGTAGAATTTAATAAAGAGGGAGAGTTATTTGACAAATTTTGCGTTGCATTCACAGTTGAACAAGTAGAAGTAGTCGCCGAACTAACTAATGTTTGTGAGTTTAAAACTTTGTTTGAATTTTGAATAATTTTATGTTGGCTGATTTGTGTTTGATTGATTACTTGAACCGTTTGCTGTGAGTTACACTGATTTATATGTTGAGGTTGATTCGCATGCTGCTGTGATGGAGGTTGTGTTTGGGATTGGGCTTGTTGTGTTGGCTGTGTTTTAACCACATTTGAAATAATTTGAGGTTGATGAGATTGCTGCAACTGAGGCTGCTGCTGATGATGGGGTTGAAGTGGAGATTGCAAATGCTGTTGGGAATGCTTTACTTGATTAATTTTAGAATGTCCAACCCCTGCAGTTGTATTTGCATTATACTTGTGGGTTGGATGATTGACTATTTTGTTAGTGTGGTTTTGTTTTTGATTATAATTATTGTTATTATTATGCTGTTGAATTGGTATTTGTTGTAGTTGATGTTGCTGCTGTTGTTGTTGATGTGGAGGAGGTATTTGCTGGTGATGGGATTGATGCGGAAGTGGGTGATTACTTAAGTTTGTTGCAGCAGGTGGTGGCGGTGGTTGTAGTTGTGGATGTTGCTGCTGCAATTGATTCACATTTACACCACCAATATTGCTGTTATTGATGTTTGGCGGTCGACTTTTCATATAATGCGGTTGATGCATTTGTGGGCTTATACGTTGTGGTGGCTGAGATAATGGCGGTTGTTGTAAAGTTAATTGAGAAGGTTGTTGCTGTTGTGGCTGCGGTTGCGACTGCTGTTGCTGTTGTTGAGAAGCAGGTGGTGGTAGATGATGTCCTAATCTGTAATTTTCAATTTATTTTGTATTAATTTTTATAAATTGCAATATTAATTATAATTAGCTTTCAAATCTTATTTGGAAAACATACTAAGTATAAAGTGAAATACATAAATGAAAGCTGTAATACCAAATAAACCGTATCATTGCCTATAATTAAAAACATTGCATTAAATAAGTAACCTTATTTCATTGATAATAACTTTACATTAAAGAAATTAGTTGTCGACAATTCAACAAATTTTCGGTAATATTTCATATTGTATTCCATATTGTTCATAGTATTCAGAAACTTGATCTTTGTTATATATATTGAGTTAATAAAAAAAAATTAAAGAAATAAGGATAGAATTCAAGGAAATAAGAAGTGAAAAACTTTCTGTTCTATTAACAGCATGTGTAAGCAATATCTAACATCGAAAAGTTACAATCAACGAGTACAATCATTGTCAATATTTGTGGGAAAGCAATAGTGTTCGATGTTAAAAATTTACGAAGCAATGGTGAACCTTGAATGAACAAACGAGTCATTTTAAATTCAATTTTGGTTTTTTCATTTTTTAAAATAAAATATACTAAATTACAATTTTTTTTGAAAATAAACAATCACATACTTGCATAGATTCAACTGAGAAAAGAAAACAATCATAAAATGATATTGTATGTATGTATGTACATATTTTATCTTATAAGTAAAGTTTATAGAATAAAATACAGGTGTTTGAAAAAACTTAAAAAAAAAAATTTTATGGAAACTAGAAGAAGAAAGCAAATAAACTCTACTCATCATAAAGCAATATCGTAGTTACAATAACAGCTGACAAACTCACGAAAATACTTCTTGATTCATATATTCGAAAATTCTAAGTTTCGAATCATCAAAATATTCTTAACACGTATTTGTTTTACAATATACAAAATAAATAACATTTAAATTGATTTTGTTGTATCTGTTTGAAATGAATTAAGTAATATTTCAATGTTAAATATTAAGCACGAATTTACTTTAATGTTGTTACTATTTCTCCTTATTTTAATTTGAATAATTGATTCAAAAATATTATTTATTATGTGAAAAGGTATCGGAACGCGCTAAGTCAAGACCAAAAGTGGTTTATTTAAAAAAGAAACAAACGTGAAAAAATTCAATAGAAAATCATAATAAACCATATACAGATTCTCACAGAATTTCACCAAAAATTACAAAAAAGTAAAAAGAAACAATAAATAAAAGGAAAAATGAATAAAATTTTTGTTTTATTTTTTTTTTCAGGATTTACTTGTATTTTTTAAATTATTATTTTCTATCTTAGAATTAGAAAAATCAGCTGTTTTGTGTTTTAATGGACAAAAAAATTAAAAGTAAAGAACTCATAAAAACTTTTAATGTACATATGTGATTCCTTCAAAACTGCAAAAAAAAATGTATAGAAGCTTTGCTCTCCCGTTGCGTTTTTATATTTCTTTTATTTCATTTATTTTTCCTATGTTTTTTATAACTATTATTGTTATTTTTATTATCATTATTTGAATTTTATATAAATTCAACAACATTAAAAAATACAAAAAAACAATCTTGTCTTTAACTTAATATTTGATATTTCCATTTTATTGTTATTATTTTTTTATTTATACTCAACGAAACAATATAACCAAGACGTCATGAGTTCAATTCAACGAAAAAGAGTCACCGATGAGTTGTCTTTTATATTCATATATACATACATTTATACGCACATAAAGGGCATATATATATATATTATATGTATATACATATATAATTTTTTAAAGACTTGGTGATTTATTTAAATAAATGCCACTGTATATAATAATAATAAAAATAATAATAATAACAATAATAATAATAATAAGTTTGAAGAAGAGATAGCAGGGTGCCCTCACTTAAAACAACCAGATTTATATTATATACACATATTAATAAATGTCTATATCTACATGCAGATTGGTATACAACTGTATTTGTTAGTATATATCTATGTAAAAAACTCTATAAATATCGTTATAAATTTGTTTTCCCCCTTAAAAATATAGTACTTAAGTACAAAAATTATTTTGTCGAAGTAAAGAACCTTACTTAGAATTGAAACAGAAGTAATTTTAGTAAAATTGAAAAATATAAAAAGGAAATATTGTTGTAGTAAGAAAGAGAAAGGGTAGTTTCCAAATAAAAAAAAACCTTAACTCAGAAAAAAATAAAAGACTTTATTTTATAACGTTCATATACACTAAATCATATAGGGTTAAACTAAATCATTATAAAGGTAGCCAAGCGATAAAATTAATTAGAAAATCATATTTTGTTTTTTTTAGAAAAACTTTTTATGTAAAGAGATTACTATCGCACATTTAATTTAATATTAGGCTATCGAAGATCAAGGGTTAAATATTCTAAAAATTACCAAAACTGAAAATTAGTTTCACAGCCCCCTCTTAAATGTAGATATATATATATATATGTATATGTATATAGATACTATAGTATTTTTGGTTTAATATAACGTCAGTATAAATGCTGTACATATATTTGCATTTTCATGTTACGAAAAAATAAAGTTAATATCTTAAAATTGACAAATTTTTCAATAACACTTTTCAGAACTTTTCTTGAGTATTTAATAAAATAATGAACAAATTTTGCTTATATAAATTGCAATTGCACAAATATAAACTTATAAAAATATAACAAAATACATGAGATACATACACACATATATTAAAATTAAAAATTAGCACTAAGAAAAAAGAATTAAGTAGGTATACATATATAAACCTTAATTTTGAAAATTTTTTACTCTAAGTATAGGTTTGTTAGCATTGAAATAAATAGCAATTAAATGTTTAAAAAATTATTATGGAAAATCAATAAAGAAGTCTGATTTAGATTCACTGTTGTAACTAATTTAACAGTTAATTATTTTAAAGTGAATTTCCGTAAAAAAACATAAATTTAATTAAGTACGCCCAAAAGTATGCACTTTTTTTTATAAAACACTAATTTCTTCTACAGTAACAATGCAAAAAAAAAAATAAGATAAGAAAGAAAAAAAAATCAGCACATCACATTTGAGTATAAACATTAAAAGACACAAATCTTTTGAAATTCTTCAGAAAATACAGCAACCCTAAGCATATATGAATATTACAAAAAAAAAATTATATAAATTGACATTTATCTAACTTTTTTATATAATTCTTCTTCTTTTAGATTTTTTCATTTTTATTGAATCTCTCAAGACTCCCTGTTTTCCTAAACCTTTTGTTATCCAAGTCTTTCTTTTTTTCTTTACTTTTCTTTTTTTTCCTTTAATTCAACTGGTGAATGGGAATAAATCTATAAACAAAAGATAAGCGTGAATGGTTAAGCAATATAAAGATTGTTTTATATTTCCACATGGTTATAATAGTGAATATAAAAAATAAAAAAAGAGAAAAAGAAAAATTTTATAACATTGGTATATAAAAATATTAATAAAAAAAAAGGGTTAGTTGATCTTGTCGGATCTTGCTGCCATTACTCTTTTTTTTTTTTTTTTTGGTCTTTATGTTCTTGTATAACAAACTCCTTATGATGATGATGATGATGATAAAAATAGTGATTGAGTAATAGCAATAATAATAGTGATGATGATGGTTTTTATTACTTTGGCAAAAAAATATTTTATAATACATTTATGTGTATACATACATACATACATATTTTTATAATATAAAGCTTTATAATCTGAGAGAATATCATAAACCACAAGCTGGTGTAAATGTAATATTCAAGAAATAAAATTTTTTTCTTTCTGTTTTTGATCATTTTGAATTTTCTTTCTTGCCAAAAATTTTATTATCTGAATATAGTTTTTGTTTTTCTTATTTTTGATCATCATAACATTATCTTCTAACGCTTAACGCTTAAGGGTCAAAAAGGTTTCTCTCTTGCACAAAATTAATTCACTTAAAAAAGAAAGAAATGGTTCCTTTTTTTACCGATACTTAAATTTTGTTTTATATCCGCTTTGTTTTATTGTTATTACCATTAATATTTTGTTTTTTTTTTTTTTTTGGTGGAATAATATTAGAAATATTTGTTGCTTTAAAAAACTTTTGTTTTTTTTTTTTTTTATTTTTTTATTTTATCCTTTTTGCTTTTGAGGTTTAAAAGAACAGTGAAAATAAGTAAAAAGTAACAAGGAGTAAAATAAAAATAAACACAAAAACAAAATTATGAAAATAATAATAAAACAGTGAATAAATATGACATGTCACTTAAAAATTTGACAAAAATTATGAAGTGAAAAGAATAGGATTTTAGAAAATTTATGCTTTTTAAGGATTTATAATAATAATGATAGCAAATATAATAATAAGACTTTTATTTAATTTTATTTAATTCTATTTTTTATTTTTTAAATAATTTGATAATTAAATGTTATCGGAAGATTTTTCCATGATAATCTTTTTATATTGCTTTTTCGTACTTTATTTTCCCATTTTATGTGTGAGTAATGATATTATAAAAATTAAATTTTTATTTTTAGATTTGAAATTTTGAAAAATATCTGTGAAAAAAACATGTACAAATTTTGTATACCTCAAAAAATGTACATGCCGATAAACTCTTTATAGTCAATCGAATAAATCATATCAGAAAATCAAATAAATCACTAAACAGTTTTAACATTCAACATACTTTAGTGATTTATGTAGTATGATTCCATAGAGTTTTGGTACATTTTATTGATAACAATTGAAAATCGTCAAATATAATTCTATGGGATAATAGTGAAACCTTCGACCACAATAGTGAAATGGAAATATTCTATAGCATAATAGTGAAACAACTGTCAGGCACTTTCTAAAATATCGATTTTTTAAGGTTTTAGATGCCGTAAAATTTCTCGAGCACGACTATGGTGACGGAACATTCCTTTTTGTTCGAATATTTTTTTGTTCGAGATATCTTAAAAAATGTCTGCAGCTTAAAATCCTGAGAAGTATTTCTTTTCTAAATTAAAAATAAATACATAATATAAATTTTTTTGCCAATTATTTATTTGATCCCTGGTTGTATTGTTAAAGATTCAAAACCTCTGTTTAAGCTATTTCATATTACGTTAGTGTTATAATTGTTTCCAAATTGCAGTGCAAAGTTTTTTTTTAAGTAGTCGTCTTGTTATCGAAGCAAATTAATTGTTTAATTTTAAACCGATACTCAGTTTAGTCTGAATACTTTTTAAGATATGACGAAATTGATTTTTCGTTGTTAAAAGGGCTAATACAATTGAAAATAATTCTAATACAAATAAAAATAATTTCGCCTTATTTTCATTTTTTTTTTAAATTTCAGTACGTAGGACCAAATTTGCATGAGATGGCGTTTTGGTTTTCCTGGATTTTCGAATTGAAACTCTTGTAGTAGGTCTTTTATAAAAAATGAAAATATTTGAATAGGGAATTATTTTATTAATAAGCCTTTGCTACATTGTTATAACAATGTAATGCAAGCAGTTTTCATAAAATTTTGTTAAATTATAAATCAATTTAAATAAGTATTCAAAAAAATTTTAAAGTTTTTATAAAATATGGATACCACTATGAACATTAATACGGATAACACTAAAATTATTTTAAAGTTATTAGAATAATTTTATTTTGTTTGAAAGAAGTAAACAATATGCAAAAACCATAAACGTTTGTAAAAAAATATGTAATAAAAGGAATATGTACATATATACATATGAATATATTCCAATAAAAAACAAATAGAAAGGAAATCAGTCATCCACTGATTAATTAATATTAAAAATGTTTAGTTGGTATTGTGATATGAAGTGTTATTACATTGGACATAGCTGAATAACAAAAACCATGACATTAGTCGAAGTACTAAATTGCATGACAAGGGCAATAAGGAAAAATCATATTTATCTAATGACCGTTTAATCAAAATATTATCATGGTTGCATAAATTATCATGCAATTCAATTTATTTTTTAGAATTAATTAGTTGCAATAAGAATTTTTATAATTTTCAAAAATTTTTCCTTCACTTACTTATTACCTTTATTTATTATCACTAAATAACCATGAACTTTAAGTTATAAATTAATTAATATTCAATTTCAACAGATTTGCGATATTAACAAAACTTATAGAAATAAATTTGAATATGTAAATTAAATAAAAAAAAATTATATCCGTACACATAACGAAATTTAACAAAAAATTAGTTAAATGCGCCGGAAAAATCCATTTTTTATCGCAATCGCAATTAATTCGAATTTTATCTGCTTTAAGAAAAAAGGTAAATGACGGATTATAAAATTTAAATATAATTGCAACAATTGCATGTATAAGTAAATTAATCATACTTTTTATTATTTTTATAACAATGCCCTATTAAATTCAGGTGTTATTTATTATTCTAATCTGAAAACTATTTTATTTTAATCCGAAACTTCAATGGTAAATATTTATATAAAATAGCCTATGGTAAGTTTGTGAACAAATTTTTCGTCATATCCTTTCATTTTTTGTTTATTTTGTCAAAATACCAAAATAACACTTTATTAAAATAAATAAAGTGCTTCAAATTCTTGAACAAAAATTTCTATTCAAGTTAAAAAAAATTATATGTATGTGTAAATGTAAACTTTGAAAAAAAAAGAAAAGGTCAACTATAATGAAACGTTGGACGCAGTTTCGTCAATAAGTTGTCAATTGTTTTGATTTTTATTTTTTATTTTCTTAATTGTTTCTTTTCATTTTTTTGGTCAAAAAATTCATTTGGACTGTAATAAACAAAAAAGAAAAGAGAAAAAATACAATATAGGGACTTTAAAAATTAAAAAGTAACTATGATGTTATGAAAAAGGAAAACACACGAAGCAGTAAGAAGAAAAAAAATTGAAAATAATATTAAAGGAACGTAACTAAAATAAATAAGAGGACTTGATTCAGCGAATAAACTTTTTTGTCTTATACATACAATCTAGCAACGGCACCCGGACAATTTACAATTACAACAATATAATTTAAAGGGTGTTGAAAAAAGGATATTATTGTCCTTGCTCCTCAAATTTCAAATATAACTATACTAATTTTCATATATACATATATAAACATCTACATTTGTAATAAATTTGAATGGAAAAAAAATCAGAAGAGTAAGTATATTGTTTCCTTTTCTATTTTTAATGTAGGATAAAGGTTCAGAATATTTTTTCAAGGGGAGTTATGCCTAAAAACCGATTTATTAAACTAGTTTTAAATAAAAAATTTATATATATGTATATATATATATAATATATCAGTATTTTTTTTTCTATAATTTATAAACCCAGAAAAATGTTATCTTTTTCACCTATTATTAATTCTGATTTTCTTTATTTGCAACAATGTAATTATTTCATTCCTTGAAATAAATATAAAACCATTACACTACATTCTGTTTTAATAAGTCTAAAAAATATTTTGTAATTTTTAAAGGTTTTACTTAAATAAAGTCCAATATTTTGTGTAACAACTAAAACATGCATTATTAGATAATATTTCGTTATTAGTTCATTTAGTTATTTAATTTTATACAAAAAAAGGCCTGCCTGTAAAATGATTTTCGCAACATAGACATTAAAATACGTTTTCATAATATGATAAGTTAAGGTGCGTGCGATATTCCATGCACAAATTTTAATTACACTTTTTCCATGTTTAAAAACATTTTTTTCTTCACTGATTAAATTAAAAAAAAAAAAATATTTGTACCTAAAATTGAATTTTTTTGATATTAGAGGATTAAAAACCATAGTAGTTCATATACAGTCGAAGTAAAATATTATTTTTGTTACTTTAAAAATGTTACAATTATTATAAGACATATGTCAAATATAGACTAATATATGTATATACATACATATATGAATTTATGTTTAAGGATATAACCATTTATTACTTCCGACAAGTATTTACATAATAACATAATGTAACCTAAATTTTTATTTGTATAATTTTTTCGTTATAAAAAGTAAAGTTAATTGATAAATATAAAGATAAAATGGAAACATAAAAATGTTATGAAAACAATTCGTAATGATTTGAAATAAAGTTTTTTTTTTTAAATTATAAAATCACATATGTACATAATGATGTACTTATGCATTTAGTAATATCTAAGACACACTTTTTGTAGTGAATACGTTAATAAACAAATAAAGCAAAATTTCTTAAATAGTCGCTCTACGGTAACAAGAATGTACTTCATTCTTTATTAACATAAAAAATTTTAAATTTCTACAAAACTAAAAATTTTAAAACATAGGTATTATTTTTAACATTTATTTTATTGTATAAAAATATTCTTCATTTAAGAAAAAAAAAACTTCACAAAAACAACACAATTTTATTCACTTTTAGGATAAAAGATTTTACTTAATTCCATTATTTTTTATAAAATTATTATTTTCGTATAATTCACCTGATTAATAGGTGTAAAAAGCACACACAAAATATTTGTAAAATCTGGTAACTTAAAGACGAATACATTAAAAATTCTAACCATATTATATTTTCGTTGTGAAAAAATTATTGATTGCTTCAAGTTTTAAAAAAATATGTCAAAATTAATATTGGTTTTACGTTTTTTAATTCAAAAAACTATACTTATGCATTGAGAATTAGAGTAAATTCTAAACACGAAAATTTTATTGGTCGCGAAATAAATATTTTTTAATTTTGCGATTTTCTTTTCGTAACGATGGTCGAAACGGAACTAAAATTGTCTCTGAATATTTCAATAGTCAAAGTGGTCATCTTTTTATTCATTATATGAAAAATAAATTTTATTAATGAATAAGATAGGTATCACAGCCAAAGTTTTTTTTTTACATTATGAGCTAAATAAAAAATTAAAGTCAGAATTTTCAAGATTCAAGTCTAAAAAACACATACGTGCACCAGTTTTGTAAACTATTTGCTTTTGTAAACTTTATAGGGGAATTTTTATAATGTGATTGTTATTAAAACCAGTAAATTTTTTATTTAAGAGTATAATTATAAGAACACCGCTCCTATATTTAAAGGTTTATTGAAAGTATTTACATAAATGATGTGATGTTGAAAGGAAAAAAAATTATACATATTTCAGTTTAGAGTCTTGTTAACTTATTTTTAAGAGAAAAAATAACAAATTCTATAAATTTAGCAATTTCATTTCATTTTAATGGAAGGTAACAAAATTTATCAGAATTTATAAATGGGAAACAGTATGTATTTTAATATTCAAATACTGTTTCCAATTTATATTGAGGTCTATTATATAATTTATTACTATTTTTGAATATCACTATGTTTAATTAATTTTCATATTCTACATTTATGTATTTACATATGTGCTAGTGTATAATTAATTTTTTATTTCATATTAACTTGGCCTAATAATAATGTTTATATACATGTATTATTTTTCGAGACCCTCTAAAATGTCCATGTTTGACAATAAAGTGGCGAAATACTGTTATACATATGTTCCTACCTATAATATTTCAGTATTTTTTCCCTACAATCAAACAAATAAAGAAAAAATTTTTTTTCCATTTCCTGACCAGTTTTTCTCTTGAATAAAAGAATTAAAAAAATCTTATAAAGGAATAATGTAAAAGAGAATATAGAAATATTAATTGTGACAGGATAAAGTATTTCTTAAAGGTCATAAACCTTTTTGAGTAAAAAGAATTAACTACAAAGAGCTACACTTATTATAGTATCTTTAGACAAAAAATATTACATAAAATCTAAAACTCTTAAAAGATTTTAACTAAATCACACATTTTAAAATACCTATTCGGATCTCCTCGCTGATGAGGTGTAGGTATATATTGTGGCATTATTTGCGGTCCTGTCCCTATTGGTATATTTGTATGCTGTGTATGTGGCTGAGCTTGTTGAGTTGGTGGCTGCTGTGTTGTAAGTTGTGGTGGCGGTTGTTGAATATTTACCTGTTGAGGATGTGGGGCTATACTCACGTTCATTTGAGATGGAATGTGAGGAGGCCGCATCATAGGAGCCTGATGTATGCTATGTCGTATATTGTGTCTTTGATGCATTATTATTACTTTGGTTATTAAACTGTGCTACCTAAAATAAATTTTTATTAATGTTAATATTTAAAAAATAAGCAAAAATAATTTTATTCTTTATATATTTGGCTATATTTTTTTTCAAATCATAATTCCATACTTCATACAAATTACGGTTTATGTAGGTATACTCAATGCATGATGAAAACGTATGTACATGCATATACATACATGCATACATATTAGAACTTATACGCATTTTATATTTTATGTGAAATAACTTATAATGACATACATATATTAAATTAATTCGATCTTTTCTTGTAATTTGTAAAATAATTAAGTGTATTTTTTATTATAAAACGTAAATTAGTATTGAAAGTATTTAATATTACACACAGAGCAGTTTATTGTGAACCAAATTTATTGCACTATTCACAAACGTATTTACATACGTATCTACCTACCATAATTTACAATGAATTTCAAAATTGTACCCGAATTACACAAAAAAATTCGTGAATATCTAAAAATCGAAAATCTCAAAAAAATAAACTTACTTCCAAATTAGATTTCTCTTCAAAAATTGCAGTTATTCTTATATTTTGTGCACCTTAAAATCAAATTTTTTCTTATTCTATAGCCAAGATTCAAACATTATAAAACCTTTCACTTCCACATTTATTTCCTTTAATTTTTTCACAAATCAATATATAGCTTAATTATTACTATTTTATACTACAACTTTTTATAAATGAACTAGACTCTTTTAATTATGTATTATAAATTTCTCTGCATTTAAATTGCGGCCATTGAAATGATTTCGACAAAAAAATTTTTTCCTAAACTTTATCCCAAGTTGCTAAATTGGTTTGTATTACAATATTTGTTAGTGAAAATAAGTATTAATAATTTGTCTCGAGTAATATTTATTTGCACATTTTGTTTACTGGGATTTATTCGTTGAAGAGGAATTTTTGACATATTAATTTTCTTTGAGTTCACAATAGCAATTTTGTTATATTACAATAAAAGAAAAAAGATCCATTAGGAAAACTAAATTAGGAAAAAAAAAACTTAAAAGTTTTAGAAACGAATTCTTTCTTTAATTTTTTTATTAAAAATTCTCACGAGACAAAAAATAAAAAGTACCTTGTTGAAATTTTAATTTTTAACAACTCGCTTATTATTCACTCTTTTAGCTAGGCTAAAATAATTCAATTAAAAAATAACTGCGTCTAAGTACACGTTAAAATTAATACAAGTTCTTAGAAAGAGTCGACATTTTAACTTCTATTAGGTTTATTTTATTACTTTTGATATTTATTAATCTTAGTGTGTTGCTATTGAAACACACAAACATTTTTCAAAATCGTTACAAACCCAAAGCATAATATCATTCTCAATTTACATGTTAGCTATTGAATTCACGTCACATTCAGGCAATTTTACTTTCTTTGGCTTCTTGTGATATTTATGTTTTATGTGATAAGAAACATTTATTAATATGCGTCAAGAGTATTTGCTTTGCCATTTTTAAATTGTACTAAAATTGTTTAAATATAATTATAACAAAATTTAACAGAAATGATTATATAATAATAAATAAACTAAAGAACTTCAATAACGTTAAGAGTTTTAGAAAACTGCAAACATTTATAATTCAACGCAATCATATGAAATACCCACTGTGCGAGTTGTATGCAATGTTTCTAATCACATAAAATATAAATATCACAACAAGCGAAAGAAAGTAAAATTGCCTATGATAAAATAGAATGGAGATGTTTTATTCAAAAACAAATTAAGAAAAGCATTTTTTGTTTATTCTGTGTTGGACTATTGTAAAAAATTTCTTTTTTCTTATCCAATGTTGTAAGAGTTTCAAATTCCAAATTTTTGATTGCTAAGTGGGTTTGCTTTTTTTAGTCTGTAAAATGTTGTATTAAAAAGTGTGTCAATTCAAAATTGTACTTAAAATCATAAAGTATACAACTCTATTGTGAATTGATATAAAATAACATGATTGCTTTTGACATTCCAGCCGTTTTTGACATTGACTTATTAAAGTTTATTGATCATTATTAAAGTTTATAATTGGTTGTTTGGGTTCTTTTTGATTAAAATAAAGTACTTTTTTTAAGAAATTTATATGTTAGCGACTGTAATTTAATTGAGAAAATACGTTAAAATGTCTATTGAAATTGAATCTGCCGAGTAGGTTTCAATACTAAATTGGATAAAAATTGGAAAATAATATTTTGTCTTAATCATTAAATATGTTATTTTCTAACCAATTTTTATATTTGAATTTCATTTATATGTCTTTCCAGTGTAATACGTCTTATTCAACAATATTTAAAGGAGTCGAATTTAATGAAATCCTTACAAGTTTTGCAGGTAAAATTTCTGAGTTTTAACTCCCTATCGTTGTATTTTTAAATATTCTTAGGAAGAAACTGGTGTTTCTCTCAACACAGTTGATAGTATTGATGGATTTGTTCAAGATATTCATAATGGGCACTGGGATACAGTCTTAAAAGTCATACAGTCCCTGAAACTGCCTGATAAAAAACTAATAAATTTATATGAACAAGTGAGTTATAAAGTTCAAATATAAATTTTTAAAATAGTAATATATTAACATATCAAAAAGATTGTTTTAGAGTTAATTGAACTTCGTGAATTGGGTGCTGCCAGATCTTTACTGCGTCAAACCGATCCAATGATTATGTTAAAACAACAAGAGCCAGAGCGCTATATACACTTAGGTAAATAAAAATTTGTATTAATGAAAAACATTTTGGTAATTTTATAATTTTTGTATTTATAGAAAATATGCTTCAACGGGTGTACTTTGATCCACGTGAAGCTTATCCGGAGGGCAGTAGTAAAGAAAAACGCCGAACAATCATAGCTCAAGAATTGAGTGGAGAAGTTCATGTCGTCCCATCATCTCGTTTATTAGCGTTGTTAGGTCAAGCTTTGAAGTGGCAACAACATCAAGGTTTATTACCACCAGGAACAACTATTGATCTGTTCCGTGGCAAGGCAGCAATACGTGATCAAGAAGAAGAAATGTTCCCAACACAAATGGTACGACAAATTAAGTTCGGACAAAAATCTCATGTTGAATGTGCTCAATTTTCTCCTGACGGTCAATATTTAATAACGGGTAGTGTTGATGGTTTCATTGAAGTGTGGAATTTTACTACTGGTAAAATTAGAAAAGATTTGAAATACCAGGCCCAAGATCAATTTATGATGATGGAGCAAGCTGTTCTTGCTTTAGCGTATTCGAGAGATTCAGAAATGTTGGCTTCAGGCGCTCAAGATGGACAAATAAAAGTGTGGCGCATAATGACAGGACAATGTTTGAGAAGATTTGAAAAGGCTCATATTAAGGGTGTTACTTGCTTGCAGTTTTCAAGAGACAATACACAAGTTTTAAGTGCAAGTTTTGACCATTCAATAAGAATACACGGATTGAAGTCAGGAAAAATGTTAAAAGAGTTTAAGGGCCATCATTCTTTTGTAAATGAAGCAGTTTTCACCCCTGATGGACACAGTCTCCTAAGGTATGATTTCATTTCTTATTTTAATTTAGTCTTACCAGAACTAATTTTAGTGCTTCATCAGATGGAACAGTTAAAATTTGGTCTCTAAAGACAACAGAGTGCTTATCGACATTTCAGCCACTTGGAAATGAGTTGGCTGTTAACACAGTTTTGCTTTTACCGAAAAATCCGGAGCACTTTATTGTTTGTAATCGTTCGAATACCGTTGTCATAATGAATATGCAAGGACAAATTGTAAGATCATTTTCTTCTGGTAAAAGAGAAGGTGGCGCTTTTATTTCAGCTACACTTTCGCCTAGGGGTGAATTCATATATTGCGCTGGAGAAGATCAAGTGTTGTACTGCTTTTCAGTGTCATCCGGAAAATTAGAAAGAACACTAAACGTACCGTTTATTTTTTTAATTTTGGCACATGTCTTTATAAAAAATTTTTTTAGGTGCACGAAAAAGATGTGATAGGTTTATGTCATCACCCGCATCAAAATTTGTTAGCAACGTATAGCGAAGATGGATTAGTAAAATTATGGAAGCCATAATTGGGAAAATGTATTCATTATATTACTCCAATTGAACTCATTACTTTTTTTAAGGTATATTTTACATATGTTAAGGTATAATTAACGGATTTCTGATTTTTATGTTTGAATTTAAAAAACTTATCCTTGTATAATACCTATATTTTAACTGTGCTTCAAAATACCAAAACAAGCAAAATACAATGTTTTTTAACCATGATTTCTTAATAAAAATATTGTTCTATAGTAAAATAAATGAATGTAAAGTATATATATATTCTTGTTCTTGCATAAGGCCTTTTTAGGATAAATAGCTTTCGTCATTGCATTTAAATGGAGCATCCAATAGCTACGCTTAAAAAATCTTCAAATCCAATGGTTATTGTACCATTTTGTTGAGTATCTCTCACTCTAAATGCCTCAGTGAATCTTTGTATTTGTACACATAAAACAATAAACTGATCAACAGATATTTGTTTGTGGTTTTGCAAATCTGATTTCCTTATTAAAAATGTTATAAATTCTGGAGAAAATCTAAATCCCATTTGGGCGAAAGCTGAAACATTTGATTTTCTAGTATGTCTGAATACTCTCGAGAATAATTATATTACCTTGCGATAATTCTTGCTCTTCAATATGACCAGATTGATCACGATCGTAGGTTTTGAAAACTTGCAACCACTGATTAATATAGTTGAACAATTTTTCGAATTCTTGTACATCTATAGTTCCACTTGCGTCAGTATCGAACATACTAATCATTAATTTGCAAGCATTATCAGAAAAATTTTCCCCTTTTCCATTTATAAGTGCAGCTTTAAGTTCTGTTGCGCTTATTTTTCCAGAACGATCTCTATCTACAACATCGAACCATCTTTGAACATCAGGTGACACATTCGCATTTTGCGGTGCAAACGCTCCTGGTGGAGGGGCATATCCTAAATATACATAAAAAGTTAATAAAAATATGTATACATTTCAATTTTAACATTTTTATTTCACCTGCTGGTTGTTGGTATCCTCCGGGTGGTGGTTGACCATAGCCTCCCTAAAACGGAATTCCATTTTGATATGTACATAAGTAGTATTATTAGTTTTTGATAAAGCAATGTTTTATTTTAGTTTTTTATTTGATATTGTTATATCTTACCTGGTATGCCATAATATTTTTCAAATTTTTAAAGGCTTTGTTGAGAAATAATTAGAACGAGTTAAATTAAATATTCGTTGGTTTTTTTAATTAAATATCCTGTTTGTTATTAAAAGTATTAATATGATTTGACATATGACTCAGTTTTTAATTTTTATAACTATGTAACTGTCATACTAGTAAACAAAAAAACACTTTGTCTAATATAGTACAAGGTTGCCAGCATATACGAATTTGCAAGTATTCTTGTAAATTTTTAAGGTGCCGTGCAAATATTTTTTTTTTATTTATATTTTGTATATTATATTTAAGCCTATTCTCATAAATTATTACTATAAATATCATAGGACAATTTTTAACATAAGAGCAAAAATAGGCCACATTCAGGTAATTTAGGAGCTACCAGCGCACCCTGAAAACTTGTTCTACCCAAGATCTTACAGTTTAAAGATGATTTTTCAGTTTGTTAGATTATGTGGCCTCAGCCTTTGCAGTCTACTCCTACCCGCAGCTCCCAGCAGTTTTAATGCTTCTATGTTGCTATGCGTACATAATCTTTTCTCATGATTTCTCGCGAGATCTTTACTGTTTCATCAATGCTTTTAATATTTAAATCATTTTGTAAGTCTTCATTTGTGACATATTTGTGTACATTTGTAGCATATCCGAGGTATTTGTTTTGAATTCTTTGAATCACCATTCAAACGTCAAATTTTAAAGTATTTATCAAACATAAGCAAATATTTTTTGTTATATTAATACCCGAAAATTTTGATTTTGGACAATAGTAGTGTGAAACTTAGAAAAACCCGTTTGTGAACCCATTTTGGTTATTTTATTTTTAATTGAAAAGTTTTGAAAAAAAAATGTTGATGAAAGATGAAAATTTTTTTTTTTTTTTAAATAAAACCATCTGACATAACCAAGAAAAACATATGCTTCGACAGCTGTAAGATTTTTAAAGTTTTTAAAACATTAAATTTTACTTTACAAAACTTGAAAAAACTTTAAACATTGAGAAAACGAAGACGTCATCATTTTATCTCATTTTTGTTCAAAAATTGTTATCCCAGATGTTTTGCATGCAAAAACTTTGTAAAGTTTGTAAAGTTTTTATAAACTTTCTTATATCAGACAGACCTAGTAATAAGCATGTATTAAAATTTAATTAACTGTTTCCCAAAATATGATAAAAATTTTGCAAAAATTATATTTACTTTCCGGGTACCTCTGATATTTATGGTTATTTTCAAAATATAACGCAAATAATAAGCTTTTATTATACTGACATACAGATGTAAGTATGTGATGATCGCATTACCTCAAGTTAAACTTTGATTCACTCGATTGATCTCATAACTGTAATTTGGTGTACATATTAAGTTAAACGATTTACATAATATAAGTATGTATGTATGCATTTTAAAGTTACTGCATTCACTTCTACTTAACTTTATTGCTGAAAAATTTATACACAAAAATTTCATTTATTAAAATGATTTCAAAAAAGTCAAGTATTTTCGCAGTTATTTTTATTTTTCAAATTTTGAATGTAAATTCAAAATTTAGTTGTAAGTTTTTAAATATTTATTAAATGTAAAATTAGATTATTAACATACCTTTTCTATTATTAACGTATCCTCTAGCGTCATTTTATGTGGAATCTCCACCAATTTATGAAGTAGAAAATTTTTGGGAGTGTCTATACGGAAATAAACTACTACCGTCAGCCTATTGTTTAGTTTTTTCGCAAATAATTCCCAAAGAAAATTCCTCCCTTTGGAAACAAATTCAAGTAAAATTTTTATTTTATATTTTAAATTTAGAACTTTATGTCTATTAAAAATTTTTAAATGCACGTGAATGCACTTTACCAATATTTCAGGAATATTCGACTGATTTCAAGCATAATTTTCGTCATGATTTTTTAACCTTTGGAGTTTGCGTCCAAGCATGCAAAAAATTGTTAAAAGAAAAAGAGGATGAAAATGAGGATGAATTTATTACTTCGGAAACAAATATTGACAACTTAGCAGTATAAAAGATTTTTTCTTTAGAAATTTATAAATTTTTAGAACATATTACAATTTATAATAAATAATTTTTTGAATTTATATTTAAACATTTCAGATAAAAAAACATTTGCAAATTCTTAATGATCCAGATACCAAATTTAAAAGCTATGATTTAACAATAAAAAAGTGTTTAAATTTTCGTTTCATGAAGAAATATGCTCTGGAATTGAAAAGTATAACAGCTACATGTACTGCAGGCTCCGAAATGGTTTACATGCGTAAGAAATTATAAAAATTTTAATTTAATTGTTTAAATTTAACATATTTTTAAATAGCTAATTGAAAATCACTTTTCATTTTAGGTTTTTGGGATATAACATTTATTCTTTTACTTTTAACTATTATAATTTTTATTGTTGCTTCTTCTTTATATGACTTTCAGTTGAAATCGAAACATTCATGTAATTTAAATTCAAACTTGCATTATAAAGCGGAAATAGAATCTCAAAGTAGTAAGAAAATTTATTTAGAAAACATTTTATTTGAGCTTTTTTCCTGTTTTTAGAAAATCAAATATTATTATCATTTTCTCTTTGTCGCAACTATTACAAACTAATAAATATTCAGAATGTAACACATAGATATAAAAAAAATTTTGGATTCATTGAAGGCCTTCGATTTTTTTTGATGGTCAGCGTAATTTTGAGTCACACCTTAATTGTAATGTTATTAGTTGGCCCTAGTAATACCCAATATATTGAGGAATTTCATCACCATTTTGAAAAAAATTTATTGTTAAATGGCACAATAATACTACAGACATATTTTGTTATAGGAGGGCTTCTTTTAACTTTAGGATTCAATATAGAAATTAACAAAAACAAAAATAAAAATTATGTAAAATTATTTTTAAAATTTATTCTATTGCGCTATGTACGATTAGTACCAATTTACGCATTTGGGATATTATTCAATATTAGTTTCTTTACAAAAATGATGCATGGTCCGTTCTGGAAATATGTAACGCAGAGTGAAAAAGTTTGTTGTCAACGTTATTGGTGGGCTAATATGTTGTTCATTAATAATTATGTTTCACTTGATGAGCAAGTATGCAATTTTTGAATATTATTGTAATATTTTTTATAAATACATACATATATTTAAAATATTTATTTTAAAGTGTCTCCCTCAAACATGGTACCTAGCTGCTGATTTTCAAATGAATATGGTACTTTTGGTGTTTCTAATTTTAATCGAAAAGTATAAATCTATTATGTTTTACTTCTAAAATAATAAATTTGTTATTATTCTAGAATACCATGTATGAAATACTGGATATTGCTGTTTTGGAGCGGTCTTGCTATTTTATTACCGGCAATAACAGTTTATTTGAATAAATTTGAGGGAGTTTTTTTAATAGCTCCAGAGTAAAAATTTACATTCATTTTAGTGTTTTATAGTTGTTTTTGGTTTTCTGTTATAATTTTAAATTTTTTTTTTTCATTTTTATCGTTTAAACAATTTTATTCAAATATTTTTTAATTAATTTTTTAGAAGTTATCGATACGGCATTTGGTTTGATGAACATTTCAAATATTATTTTATTCCTACACATAATAATATGGGGGGTTATCTGGTTGGTTATATATTAGGAAAAGTATTATTAAAATTTGAGGAAACTCATATTCAATTAGAAAAAAATTTTAAATTCAAATTGTTATGGTATATCAACATACCATTTGCATTATTTGTAGTATTCAGTGGACTCATATTTTATGAGATTGACTTTCCAAAACCATCAATATTTGCAGCTATTTATGCAGGAATAATAAGAAATTTGTGGGCCGTAATGTCTGGCATCCTAATTTTAGGAATGGCTTATAAAATTGGATGTAAGTTTAAAATAAACGACATTATATGCATAAATTCATGCGTTTACAATTCACATATATAATTTAATATCAAGAGAATTATTACGTTATATTCATTACAGGGATCATTTATGAAATCTGTTCCATACCAATATTTCGCGTTTTTGGAAGATTATCCTTAAGTTGCTTAATATTTCACACGCACGTTATACGAATATTTTGTGGAATTTTGCATAGTCCACCGTACTTATCAAATTTTATAATGGTATGTTCTTTGCAACAAATATTATGTACAAATTTTATAAATTTTTGTAAATAACTATGTGCATAATTTTAATTTTTTCAATACGTTATTAAATATTTTAATACAAATTTACGTTTAGCTTATTATAAATTTACGTTTAGCTTAATACAAATAATATTTACGTTTAGCTTATTATTATTCTGGGGGTTGTGTGTGCATCGTATGTTTCTTCATTTCTATTAACAATTTTGATAGAATATCCAATAGCAAATTTAGTTAAAACACTGTTGGTAAAAGGTAAAATTTCAGTACTTTTAATACAAACAATCTTTAATAATTATATAAATGCATATGTAAATTTTTTTAGCAATCAAATCAAACATTTAACCATTGGATTAAAAGTTTTACAACGCCTAAGAATTTGAATACATACATATTTGGGTGTACGTATGTATGTATGTACATACATAGCGAAGTTAATATTTTGAATATATTTTGTTAATACCTTGAGAGTGTAACTTGAGTCTTATTAATAAATAGTGCTTAAAAAAGCATTTAAAAGCCAGCATTTTTAAGTAATTTATACTTTTTTTTTGCGATTTTATCATATTTTTTTGTTTAAAGGAAAGCTTTTTTAAGCTAGAAAATTAAAATGCTTTTACACAAAGTTGCGAGTTGTAATGTAACCTCAAACTGAACTCAGAAATTTTCTAAAATCTGTTCACAATAGTATTTGAAAATTTTCAAAAAACTATTTTGAATTAATTTTTCCGAATTGATAGGTCTCATTCAGAGCTGTCAATTTGGCATTCTGTTCGCAAAAAGAAAAAAATATATAAAAAAGCAAAAAATAAACAAGTGTCACTTGAATTAGAGTGAAAATAGAGAAATTATTTTAATTTTACTTTCTTCCGGCAAAAAACAAAAAGAATTTCATTCTCTTACTAAATTAAATGTAGTTTAAAATTTAATTATTGTTAAAAGAAATTAAATATACCGTATTTTCAAAAATTAAAATAAAATGTACATATATAAGATAAGTTGAAAATTTAGATATTGTTTGGGAAAGAAGAAAAAAAAAATATAAAACGAAATTTGTATGTCTACATTTTTTTAAAATTTTTATTATAGTTAATTTAAGAAAAAAATTTTATGAATAAAAAAAAAGATATCGAATTTGATATAAAAACTTCAAAGACAGAAAAAATCAAACACGGATTCGATAATATCTACTGTATCTGAAGTATTAGGTGGGGGGATAAATTTAAGTGAGAAGTGGAGGACATGTAAAGAAACTTTCAGGAAGTGGGGGTGAGTCGAAATATGTGAACTAATTAATTATCTATATAAGTAAAACTTGAAAAATTTATTTGTTGCCATAGCCTATAACGTAAAATATGATATCATATTATATTAAACAATTGTATATGGATATAAGTACGTAGTAAGGCTTGCTATGCAGTAATTGTATATTCTGTGTATCTATAAAATCGTATCAAAATATTAAATATGTACACAAATAGTTTTGCATAAATATAAAAATATTTAGCAATATTTATATGAAAAAATTTTGAAATAAAACTTATATACATATGTATGTATGTAGGTATACGCTTCATAATGATTTAAAATAATATAAATCATGAAAATGAAAATATTTTTTAAAAATTTAGTATTAGTATTATTGTAATGTTGATCATTTTTATCATTTAAAAATTAGTATTTTGAGTAAAATAAGTGAGCACAGACATGTATATACGTATGTGAACATGTAATCAGAAAAATCTTTTATTGATCATATTCCCCGAAAATCCAAAATCTTCGCGAAATCGCATACAAATGTTGGTACACATTTAAAAACACTAACCTATCTATTTACATTTATATAAGTACATTATAGACATTCCAATTTCCAAATGTGACACACGTAACCTACCTACATATATAATATATTAAACAATAATATGGGAACCTCATTAACTATTATTTAGTTACTTAAATTATGCATTATTTAATATATTAATAGAATAATATATTACACTAAATACATATTTATTTTGCTTTTGAATTTCGCTTTTTGTTTGGAAGAATTTCAATTGAAGATTTCAATTAATTGTGGTATATTATTTATTTATTATTCATATCACAAATTAACGTGGTCAGATATAAAAGTAGGTATTAAATATTTTAAATAGGTATCTAGGTTTACCTACCTTATTTAAGTTATTATGTTCAATTTCTTAGTAGCAAGATAATAGATAAAAATTGCACAAATGTTGTAATTGCGAAGCACAAGATATAGATATTTGCGAATGTAATTTATTAGAAAGGGTTGTCCTACAAAAATTAAATATAATTTATTTCTTATCGATAATCTGAAAAATCAACTATTCTCATTAAATAATAAGCAATAAAATTTTTTAAATAATTTTTGATATTTCAGTTTACTTTTTCAAAAATTTCAATAATAAAAAAAATAAAGTACGAGTATCCATAACTTTTAATTTATCTTTCAAAGCTCGTTTCCGGTTCTCCGTTACTCAGTTATTTCTGTTGTTTTCTTTTTATTTTTATCCAGCAAATAAAAACATAAATAAAAAAAAAAAAGAAAACTAAGAATTAAAAATTGTGATAACGTTTTCTTTATTATTCAATAATATTATTGTAATTTTTATAATTGTTTTAGAACAACGTTTGTTTTAATATTGAAAAAAAGAATATGTAGGTATCTATTAAAATATTTACCTAACTATACTGAATTTAAATAAAATATAACTATTTTACCAATTTCGGTTTTATATTGATACGAATGATATGAATAACTAAAATAGAATTTATTTATTCACTTTTCTCTATAGCTTTTCTGCTTGATCTAATTGTCTTTTATGTTTATAAAATTTTCATAAAAACGCACTTGTACATATATGTACATACCTTAGAACTTGTAAATATACTTATTTCCCTACATTGATGGTCTTCATTGTCAAGTGAGTTTTTTTTTAGAGGGCATTCTAAGGCTTCATATATCAATTAAAAAAAGCCTTGATAATACGATATCTATAGTATTTTTACGGATCAGAAAAAAAAATCGAAAATCGATTATACTCTAAATTTAATTGTTAAGTGCTCACATATAAAAAAAATTGTGAAACATTGATGTTTGTTTTTCAAGAACTCTGATAATAATATGATTATTTTGCATTTGCTGAAAAACATTCTATGATATAATTAATTAAACATAGAAATTTATAAAATGCTTGCGTATGTTTTTATTTACAGAAATTTATGGATTTTTTTTAAGTCAAATAATTTTGTATTTACTAAATAATTAATTTTCAAACTGTGAGATATATATATATATATATATATATATATATATATATATATATATATATATATATATATATATATATATGTATATGTGAAGTGCATATTTAAAATATATCAAACTTGTTAAATCAGAAAACTAGAATTATCTTAAACTATGATAAAATTTTTCATGAATATTTTTGAAATTTATTTTCTATATAGTAGGTAGAAAAGCACATTATTTCATTAAAAATATTTTAAAAATCTACCTAAATGAGTGCGTAACATACGTAGAATTAACAACACCACGTAGATGGACATTTAACATATGTAAATTGACAATCATTTACTACGCGCTAAACACCCATTTAGGTAGATTTCTTACTACTAAATTGAATAACAGAAATCTCTCTACATATACTTATATAAATAATTAATATGCAAAGTGAGCTCTTATAGCATTTAGTCAAATTTTAATATTAATTCTAATGAACAACAACTAAAAATTGATATTTTCACATAAAAAACACATATAGCACTTACACAATGCTAAACCTTTTCATAATTCAATAGAAATAAAAAATAATATGAAAATACAAGACTTTAAAATAAATAGGTATTGTGCTTATGTAATAGGTATTGTAATTATGTAATTAAAAGGTTTGTGAAGAACCTTAACAATTTAGTAATTAGTAATTTTATAGTTATTCCTTTTTTATTTAAACTAACACCTCAATCAAGAAACTATCAAGAAACTATACGAGGAGCATCTTATTAAATAAATTTTTATGACATTTACTTATATGGTAAAATTTTTTTTTTTCAGACTTACAAATGGGAATGGGATACCTTATGATTTTTGCTTATAAGAATTTAAATTTCTCTTTAAGTTTTTGTTTTTTTAAACATATGTATATACTTAGATCAAATTATGTACATATATGTATACATAATGTACATATTATGTACATTATGTATACATATACATATATTCCCTTTTCTTCGTATTTATGTATACGGTAAAAAACAAAAATCTTTTTGTTTTTTCAGTTCTCCTTATTTATGTTCGTTTTGTTTTATCATCACTGTTAATTTTTTGCTTGTTTAATAGTATATCGTTTCTCAATGAAAATTTATTTATTTTTTTTTTCTTTATAATAAGAAGGGAAAAATAAATATAATATTAAAATATCTTAAAAGTATAGGTATTCTCCATACAGGGTGTCTAATTTAAACTTAAATTATCTTTTATGTACATTAAAAAAATTTTTTTGCAGTATTCTTTTTAGAATTTTAAATTCCAATGTGAATAGTTTTCTTAATAAAACAATTTCCAAAAGAAATGAAATTTTAATTATTTTTAAATAAATAAATTATGTTATTCAATATTATTAATAAGATGAAATACGTCAATAATTATTCGATGTTTTAAGAGAAACTATTCCTAAGATATAAATTGTTAAAATAAAAATGACATAAGAAAAGAGATCGAGAGAAAAAATCGACTTTTTAATTTTTGAAGAAGACACTCTATAATGTATGTGCCTACACATATATTTTATAAGACCAGACGAACAAATTATTAAGTTTTTGTATTCTATATTTTTTGTCTTACAATTTATTGTAATATGTACATTTTAGCAGTATAGTATAGTCCGCGTAACTTCATCGTTCATTTTTTTATTAAATATCTACATATTTTGTACTTTATGGAATAGTAAAAAGATATTTATGTGTTTATATGTACCGTAGCATTTTTTATAAATGTACAATCAAAATTTTTTTTTTCTACAAAAAATACGTGACCAGATTTTTTAGGGAAAATTACTCGTCACAATTATTTTGTCGTTAATTTCACAAAATAAAAAGTTCAATATTCATAAATAGCTGTCTTTACAAATAGCTACTTAAAGTGTGGAAAAAAAATGTGTTATTACTGTTATATTTATAGGCTCATTGATATAATATATATGTACATGTAGGTGTTCATAAGTGTATTTATGAGAATGCTGAATATTAAAATTTAATGTTTCTTTGATTGAGTTTTCTTCATCGGTGCTCCTCTGTATTTTTTTGTGTTTTCAAATAAAGGTACATTTATTATTTTTTTGTGTTACTCTTGTGCAAAAAATTTAGTGTGTGCACACTACATATAATATAAAATTGAATCATAATATAAATAAAATGAAAGTGATGTTAGAGAGTGAGAGAACTTTGATTATTAAGCAACTCAATTTTAAGATGAAAAGACACACATAATATATTATTGCTAGCTATACTAAACAAATCACAAGATATTTTGTATATATGCATTGTTATTGTTTTTATTTTTATTTTGTTTGATAATTGTTTGATATAGGAAGAAGTAGAGTGAGGAGAAAAACAAAAAAAAAATTAGAAAAGAAAAGTTGCGAGATGTAGGTTGATTTTTTGAATATTTTAATAAAAAAAAATTTTCTATTGAAATAAATAAAAAAAATACAATTTTAAACAAAAAATAATATTAACAGACATTTTATGATGTGAATGAAATATAAAATTTAAACTCCAAAAAAAAAAGAAAAATAAAAAAAAAAATGGAAAAAATTACCAAAGAAAAAGTGTCAATGCACCGGTGAAAAAATTTTTTTTTATGTTATTTTTTTTTTGGAAAAAAAAATTTATTAGGAAAAATCTTCGAAGTTTTAGTTTTTAGTGAAATTAAGTGAAAAATTATTTTTTAAAAAATATTTTGGAAAAATTTATTAAAATTTTCAATATAGAAAAAAAAGTAAAAGAACTAATAAAATTCTTTAAATAGAACTAAAATTATATTGGAACGGTACAATATTCATACACACTTATGTAGATACATATAGCTACTTAAATATATGTATATAATAATATTTAATTTACAGCTGTTTTAGGTTAAATAATAATATTCAAAATTTATAAAAATAATTACGTGTATGTTTTCTAAATTTTTTCAATTTTGGATTGAAGCCAAAAGAAAGAAAAAGAAAAAAATCTAAAAAATCACCAAAATATTGTATCTACTAGTAGATCTTACTTAATTACATAAAATTGAACAAAAAAAGAAGAAAAAATATTATAATATAGATTAAAACAATTTTGTTTTATCAAAAATTAAAACATTTCTTATCTTTCGTAAGATTTATTTTTTTTCTGTATGAAATATTTATTATGATAATTATGATTTTTAATTTACTGAAAAGATTATAAGAAAAAATGTATAACAGAAATAATATGTAGTACAGTTGATGATTGCCGAAATAAAAATAGAAGAAGAAATTCAATAAAACTTTTACAAAAAAAATAATATTTATGGAAGATTTTAATTCATATTGATATTTTAAAAATTTAATTAATTACGGTATTTATTTATAAAAAAAAAATGAGACCTGGGAGGTAAGATATGTAGTCATTTTTGTAATAATATCTGTTATATATGCTTACATATTATGTATGTAAATAAGAACAATATGAATTTAATAACAAATTTAGTTTTTTTATTTATAGTTTTGATTTAATTTTCATATAATGAGAGTTTACTAAAATAAATTTTATTCTTGTTATAATTAATTAATAAAATTGATATAATCAATCAAATTTTGGATGACGGCAGTTAATATAAAACTTATATGAAATGCAAAAATATGTAACGCAAAAAAAATCCAGCAATCATTTAGTCTTCAGTCCTAAATTAACGCTTACTCTTCTAATTCAAAGTTTTACTTTTTAGGAGAAACACATGTCGAAATTTCGCTGTTTCTTCCAAATTTTTTTTTAAGATTTTTCTATTTCCGAAACTACTGAGTCTTTACAAGAAACCTACTTTTAAACGCAAGCATTTTCGGTTTTCTAAACGAGGGTATAAAATATTTTACTTCTTGCAGAATCACCCTATACAAATTATTACAATATTATAAATTTACATAATATTTTCAATTTTAAATATTACAACGATTTTTCATATTCAAATGATACTTAGAATTTTTTGCATAATTTTAAGTAAGACCTAGTTTAAAAAACATTGACTTTACTATCATAAGTAGTGTACTCTAAAAACATGTAATTTAGAAAAAAGGTTTTTATTTTAAAATTTTTTTAAAACTATTCTATATACAATTATAGAAAAAAAAGTTTAATTTTTTTAAAAATACTTTTTTATTTTTTTAAATTAATTAGTCCTTATTAAAAACATTAAAACAATAATTTTAATATAAATTTTTATTATAATTTAATTTGTACTTTTATTTATAAATTTTTTTTTAAATTTTTTATAAAGAAGTATTATGAAATGGCAAATCTATATGATAAATATAATTACTTTACAAAAGTTCTTACAAGTTCTTACAAAACCAACTTAAAAATAATATTATTTTCTAATTTTACTTAAACTATAATTATCACACACCTTAAATTTACAAAACAATGTCACCATTTTTATTTGATGAGTTCAATTGATTTAATTCATTCTCGTTTTCTAAAACTTCATTTTTCGGTGCTGAAAGAAAATTTTAATGAGTTAATTAATATACCACTTTTAAATACCAAACACATATGTGTCTTAAATACTTACGTTTTTGTGATCCAATAAGCACTTTCATTAAAGCTGTAATTGGTAATTCCAAAATAATTGTAATGAAAAAAGCCACAGCATAAATAAATACAACATATCCGAGAACATAAATAAGCTTAATATTAAAAAAATAAAAAAAATAGCATTAATTCTTTACTGTTAGAAAAGAAAGAAATTTCAAATAAAAGTGTAAATATTTGATAATAAAGACTATAACATCATAAAATAAGTAAGTAAGTATGTAATAGAAAAAAATTTATCTTGGTGAAATGTTGATATATCTTAAATTTGAAATATTAAACCACTTTTCATTTTAAATTCAAATTACCAATCTAAAATCTGTTTGATATTGTAGAGTTCTGATTTCTGCAAACATAAAGAAAAGTATTGAAACTTGAATTACTAAAACAGAATATGTTAAACGTCCTAATATTCTGAATACTGACAAGTTACAAAATTCAACTGCCATCCCTGTAAATATATTGAATTATTTTCAAGCATTTAAAGAAAAAAGTATATAATTTATTGTTGTTTCGAGTAGAACTTACATCCAATTTTATCTGCTAAACCAATTACAAAATACATAAATAACAAACCGTAAGTTATTCTATATAAACTACCATGTAATGCAGCTAAAATACTTGGTACTTTATATTGGTAATAAAATTCTTGAGTTAATATTAAAGCAAATGTAAGAGGTATGATTGCATAAAATACGAAAATACGTAATTTGCTATCGCTCATTTTAAAATTTATTGATTTGAAATATAAAAATACTTTGCCTGTTAAAAGACCACATAAATGGCCTACTAAATTCATATGTAACGGAACATATATTTTTTTGAAATCAACATTAAAATATGCAAAATGCCGGAAATATCTAAAAATTTAAAAAGACATAATATTACTGAAAGTTCTACGTTTTTTTTAAATTTTATTTTAATTGAACTTACTCTGCATGATGAAAATATAAACCCGAAAGATCAAATGCAAGTTCTGGTATAGCTGCCATTATAGTTGCAATAAATATTGATGTACCCAATATTAAATTTGCTCTATGTGGATGTCTATATATGTAAATAAATATAAATGTATATACACATACAAAATTGATAATCAAATTTTTAAATTATTTTTAATTACGCTTACATACTTGTAACATAAAATCATAATAAAAGAACATACTATGTATGCTTGTAAATCAACTGAAATATACCATGACTGTGGCATGCACTGAAATTTAAAATAGAAAATATTAAATAAGCATGTAGTTTCATAGACATTTTTAGTTCGTAGGTAGAGTCTTAAGGACACCAACTGTACTGGTTAATTTACATAATTAGAACTAACTGTTTTAGATTCAAATTTGGGCGAAATAATTCAATAATTCAAGCAAGATATTCAAAAAGAAATATTTCATATTGCAGTTTTCACATACCTACACACATGCACTCGCGAGTACAGAAAATATTATTTTCATTAATTAAATATTAAAACATCATACCGTTTTCTCAACATCGACATAATTTTGTAAGTAAAATAATGTAATCCACCAATTTCTGCGGCAAAATACTTTTTCTCTTTCAGCAGCGAATCTCCATAATGGTCCTCTTCCAAGTTTTAGAAAAATCGTTGAGTTAAAAAATACCCCGTAAGCCAAAAGCGGTGTTAGTCTATAAAGAATTTGTATGTATGTATAAAAAATTTTAATGTTGCATAATTTTTTACCTTATATATCTGAAGAAGAGCATCTTAAAAAATAATGGTATGCTTCGAATTTTATATCCTTTTAATTTTGATATATTCTCATGAAAATTTATCATTATTAAGAAACCACTAATTTCGAAGAAGCTTTGCATTAGACCGGTACCATTAATTAAAATATTTTTATCAGGTTGATGTAAAAATTTTTCTATATATTCAGTATTTTGGAAACCGCAACTAATTTGTAATTGAGCCACATGAGTGGTAATAACGGCCAACATCATAACAAATTTAAAACAATCGGCAAAACGAAGTTCTTTATTATAACTTGTTGAATCATATGTTAGTTTTGTTAAACGAAAATAGTTTCTGCATACAGAGAATGCCAGTAATACATGTTGACCTAAAAATATTATAAAACAAATACATTTATGCACATAAGGTTATAAAAGTGCTATAATTAAATATTTGCACACTTTTAAACAAATTCTTAGAGTTCTAAATTAATGCATATAATATGTACATTCATAGATTCATATGAGTTTATTTTTCAATTTCTTCTGTTTTAATTAAAATTAAAAAATTAAAAAAGTTAATTTTCAAAGCATTTTATTCGTTTAATAGTTTAACTATCAAAATATTAAAAAATCTATTTTTGATAAAAAATTTTGATAACATGTGACAAAACAGATTAGTCGGAATAATATTAAGCTTAATGGTAATTGTTACACAGTTATTGAAGACATTTGATCATACAAGTACTTTTTACAAACTTGACTTTGTTAACTAAATCTATTCTCTTCACATAGCATTTAAACTTACGGATATTTTTTATTGGTTCCTTATAATATTGATTTGTTTGTAAATGCACTGGCCGTTTTCTTTTTAGATGCAAATCATATAACGTTGAAAGTCCGTTTAAGGAAAATAAAATTATTGTAATAATTATAAATGCAATGTCCAGATTATCTGAAAAAAAAAATTATTTTTTTTTATAGTTATCGAGATATTTTCTCAAAACAAATGATATTTACCGAATTCAATTTTATCTTTATTTGTATCACAATATTTGATATAAGATGTTACTGACAGGTTGTATTGTTTTTGAAATTTAAAATTAAGACATTGATTAACTATTTTATTATATTTTTTACGATTTTCGTCTTCTTTGAAATATAAATCGTCATTATAATCTACTAGCTAAGCCAAAATAAAAAAAAAATAAATATAATTATATAAAATAAGATATTTAGAATATACTTGAAAAATTATTTTGAATATAAAGAGAAGAATGAATTTTTTATATATTCATCTGAATTTTGAAATAATTATGTAAATAAAAAGGTTCTTGGGTACTGCAATATCTATACGGTCATTATAGTTCACATAATTTCTTCCATTTTTTTTTGAATGTTTTTTTTTTAAAAAGCTTAAGTTTTTACCTTTTTATTTGGCAGCAGTCCATTGTAGAGTTGTTCACGCTCTGAACCACTTAAATCCTTTAACATATTTTCGCACCATTCGATACAAATTCCATAAAACATTTTATCATGCCGAAAGTGACGTAAATTGTCTTCATTAAATTCCTGAATAATTGATACAAATTTAAAAATGGTTGTTGCGTTATTACGTTATATACACATTTCTTTATATTTATGTATATGTGAAACGTAAAATATTATATTTTGTAAAATTAAAAATTAAAATTTAATTGCTTTTTTAATTTAAAAAAACGTTAAGATCTAAACAAGTTTTGGAAAGTCACAGATGTACATTTATTTTTTCTGTAAGTTAATACCAGAACGAAAGCTTCGGAGTTGAGCGCATATTTGTTTTAATATTAGGTTTTATATTAAATATATACAAGTATGATAACTGAACAAATCGCTGACGCAAATCTTAAAAAAATTTTGATTTTAGCGTAATGATTTTTCAATAAATTAAGATTATACTCAACAACTGTTTTTCTAAAATTTTTTAATTATGTTTTAGTCAAAATTTACGTAATTTAAAAAAAAAAAAACAAATCTTTGCTAACAAAATTTAAAAATTAATTGAGAAATTTAAAAATAATCAGTGTAAGAAAACAACCACAGGTTTGCAGCAATGCGTTATCGCTACCGCATATACATGTATGTATGCGAAAAATTTGACGTTTTTGAATTTCTCTTGCTTTTTCTGTTATTTTTATTAAAAAAAAATAATATTAAAAATCGTCGTATCCAGCGCCGTGAAACTGTGAATATTTTTCTGTAAGTTTTTTTTAAATGTTCGATTTTATTTTACTTTATTTTTTACTTTATTACTTTTAAAGAGAAGTTTTTCTGTAAATACAATAAACACTCTAAAAAATGTTTTCAATTCAGTTTAACTAAACTTTTAATTAACTTCAATAGTGTTCAATTAGATAATTAGTTAATTAGCTGATTTCATTTTGAACCTGTTTATCACCAAATAGAAAAAGCCTGCCCTATACTCTAATTCAAAGCTTTTGTTCTGGTTACAATTTTATAGGTTTGTACATAATATGCAACTAAACAATTTCATACAATTATTCTCTTTCAGTTTCTTCGAGTGATTGTATATCAATTAAACTATTTATAGTCATCGTCGAAGAACTGTAGCTGTAAAAATTCGTTTTAAAATTAGTTTTATTCCTAAAAATTCGTATAAAAGTTAACTAAAATTATTAAAGAGTAATTAAAATCTAGTGTCCGTTTTTTTATAATTTTTTGCAATCCCAAAATGGAATGTTGCAGGAATGAAAGCTTTCTTATGTAATTTGAATTTCTTTATGGCTACAATAATTCGATTAAATTTACTCTCACTTTGTCTGTCCGTCGGTAAAATAAAAATTAATTTAAGTTTTTCTACAAAACTATTATTAAGCCAAAAAAAACATTTTGTGTACACTTAAAATCTATATTTTTTAATTTTGATTTTCATATTAATAATAATTTTAATTAAAATATTTTAATAATGCGATTATTTTTCTTTTTTTTTGTATGTATTGCACCTTAAGAATATTTAAAATTTTAAATGAATTTTGTGCATATTTTCACTTTTGTTTTTATTTTAATTTTCTTTGATTTAAAAAAAAAATTGATTGATACACAAATTCGAAATAAAAACCACTAAAGTAGGACGAGTAGGACGACAAATCTTTGCAATATTTTGAAAGGAATTAAATTTATACAAAAATAAAACACTTTTATTTATAACACATTTCTTTAAAATTATTTGTTTGTTTCTAGAAATTAATTTCCTTCCGTAATATTATAGAATTTATTAATTTCGTTACTCATAATTAATTTTGTTAAAGAATTCAATTTTAATTATAAAATTACACAATATCCTGATTGATTTCATTTTTAAAATTAATTATTAATTATTTATTTATAAATTGTTAAAAATAATTTAAGATTTCTAAGTAGGATACCTCAATATTTCTCCATAATTCTGATTGATTATTTGGTATAACTTGTATATCTGTCATACAGTATGTTGAAAGTTTTGAAGGATTTTCATAAAAGCATCGCTCATAATAATCATATTCGTGAAGTGGTGGAAATTTATAGTAGATTGACACTTTATTTAATAAGAGAAATATAAAAAAAATTATTATTTATTATTAATTAAGAAAAAAATATTTTTAATTATTTTTTTTTTCCATACTAAGTTTTACAAAATAATAAAATTTATTTTATTTATTTTACTCACTATTTATATATCCACAATTCACAGAAATCATTTTTAAAAATATTAAAAAAATTCCACAAAAAAATTTATTTAAATTCATTTTTCCTTTTTTCTTTTATTAAATTTTAATTTAACTAAATTAATTAATGAAATTAAATAGATAATTATTATTTTTATTACTACTAATGTTTTCTTCTTCTAACTAATGTGCTACCAATTACAAAATTATTTCATAATCTAACATAACTTTTTTTTTTTGAAAATTTTTAATATTTTTTACAGTTATGTCATGAAGTTCCATAATAGAAAAAAATTTTTTAATATTAACATTACTATTTAAAACATAGTAAAACTTATAACCGTATATTTTTTTAATTCTTAAGTAACTAGGATTCGACTAGTTTAACGTTCAACTATCGTGATACAAATAGTAATTGAAAATTATTTAAACCGATCTATATAGCAAAAAATTAATTTTATAATTACACATGTGTATAAAAAATTTTCATAATACGAAAAAAACAAAACGCATTATCATAGAAAAGTCATTTTTATTATAACTAACTCTTAGATATTATTTTTTTTTACTATCAAGAAAAAAAAAACCAAAATAAAAACTATTCTAACCGGCTATTCTAATAAGTAAAAGGTGATCAAGATTAAGAACAACATTTCTATATTACACTTATAATATATATTTTAATTATATACTAAATGCACTGAAATTAATATGGAAATTACAAAAATGCTTATTACATTTATAATAAATATACTTAATATGTGTTTGTTATACGTGATCGTGTATATAAATATTTAGGATATCAATATTACTTATGTATTAAAAATTAAAATTATGAATGAAATGAATATAAATATTTATAAAACATCTTATAAATTCTTATGGTGGGGACATAAACATGTATTATGCCTTTTTTTGTTAATATTAATTATTCTTACTAGTTAACATATACCATTATTCATCGTCTACTATTAAAACCGTGTCTTTTATGTATATTGTATGCATTAAACTATTGGGAATTAAAAAAAAAAACGTTTACTAAAACAGAAAGTGGTTGCAGAATATTTTTATTATATTTCTAATGCAAAATAATCATGACTTATGAATACAAATACACATGTTACATTTATGTTTGTTTAATTTTTTTGTGTTCTAAATAAGATTTGTAAAAATTTTGTATATTCTGTACTTCGTCTCTTCTAAATGGTCTCTCAAAGTCTCAAAAATATTAATTTTTGACAAATTATTGTATTGAAATCACAAACATATATTAATTTCCGAAGGTACAGAAAAATAATGACTTTTTTGCTTGTACTTGCTGTAGCGAGTTGATCCTTAGGCTTGCTTCTAAAGATTACTTCACACTTAACTTGATTCTCTTGATCTACTGCTTCTTTATACATATGCGAAACAACATATTACATAGGTAAAGTAGCCTATTGTTTTTTTTTTGACAAACGAGTATTATATTTCATTCTGACATGCTTAAATTATGAATTACGTATACATATATATGTACCTATATGAAATATGTACGTTTTTTAAAGACAAGTGCCTTCAATGCAAACTAACCTATACAAAATACAAATTTGGATTATTATTATGAATTAAGACAAATTCTTACTGATTGAGGTGATAGCTATATATTGTTGCTGGCTGCTATTCTTAAATATTCTTCTTGCGCTGTTATTCTGAAATTATTGTTCAATTACTTATTGTAATTGCTGCGCTTAACTTTGATTTTAATTTTTTTTTTATTTCTTTGGTTTCTCTTGTATTTATTGTTGTTAAATTGTTATTCAGTGAATTAGATTAAAATTAATATTATGCCGTATACAAATAATTCTATATACAGGTACATAATTTTTCTTAATTTGCTCTTTTAATAAATAAATAAATAAATAAATTGTTTATTAAAATGTGCCTTGCTTTAAATGATATAATTAATAATTTTTATTACTCTATAATGAAATTATAACAGAATTTATTGAGAACATTTACACAAACCAATAGAAAAATATTTTTTTTGTACAAATATTTTCAAATAATGTTTTCTTTAAAGAAACTTACTCCCTTTAAGCAAATTTAAAGAAAGAAAAATTTCAATAATCAAGAACTAATTTACTTTCGTTTTTAACTTACATAAAAATGTGTATATTAAATTTAAAATATTAAATCTAAAAATATTATACTTGTAATTTTCTTTTAAGGATTAAATAATGATTTACTTAATTAATTATAGTAAGTATACATTATTATTAAAGACTGTAATTCTTAATTTTATCAATCTGTTTTTTAAATATCATTACCACTGCAGTAATAATTAATTAACTTCTACAGCAGTTAAAAAATCCAAAATACTTAATATAATTTTGAATCAGTATTTGCTATAAACAATATATTTGGTTTAGATAAGCAACACAATTCATGAGTTATAAATTTATTCCATTAAAAATTAAATATATACGTTATCATAAATAACAAAAATTTGTTTAGATTATTTTACCAGTACTGTACAAAATAAGAATAAAAAAAAAGATCTAAAGTTTTTTCTATAATTGTCGTGAATGACAATTATATTAAATTCAAAACAATTTAACTAAAATATTTAATTGAAACGTAAACATCGAGTTTATTTTAAAATACTTAAAATGTATTATTAATGGAAATACTTGAAAGTAGAAATACATGTTTATGTTTATACTCACATTTCTGTTATTTTATATGTACATACATACATACATATATAACTAGCCGTAATAATTTTATATTTTGATGTAAAAATTGCATTTAAATGAAATCTCATCGTTCTTGTTGAACTTGACATTATTTTTATCTATATACATGTAATAAAATACAAATTTTCAATATAATTTTAAGTATTATCGCATATTATCAAATTGATAAAAAAACAATTTTTAATTTAATATTGCAAATTTTAATTCTAAACAAACTTAAAATATAGTCAATGCTAACTTCTTCTGTTTAAAGAATGTTGAATGTTGGTAAGTTCAAAAATTAAAGCACATAATGTAATACAAGTTGGCAATAATACTTTATTCACATATGTACGTATATGATGAATAGATATTATGAGTATTTTTGTATAATAGAAATCATTGAATAATTCATTGAATAAATAATTTAATTTTAATCAATAATTTTTTTACCTTATTAATCGTAATACCTGACCAATGGTGCAGTGGTTATTGCACTGGTCCTTTAACTGAAGGGTCTCTGGTTCAAAGCCTAGTCAGGTCACTATAAAAATTATATTCAATATTATATTAGCTTTATACACATTACAAAAAATAAAAAATTAATATTTACTAATTCCCATATTTCAATAATATCCAATATTAAAAAAAATACCAGCAAAACAAACACAATAAATATAAATGTTTATTGTTTTTCAAATATCTAATATAAGGAAAAACTACGGTAGGTTTGTCACCTACCTGGTAAATTCAATGACGTCAGATTCTGGTTCATGGTTATTTACAATAATCATCCACCAGCCCTATGCTTCTGCTATTAGTGAAGTAGGATAAAAAAAATAATTAATTGTAAGCATCATCAAATAAATGAACTTACGCATGTACATGATTGTTTCGTAATATTTGAAATATAAAGCTTGCTTTCATAAAATATCACATATTTATTATACATCTTCTTAAAATTAAATTAATTTCTTTAATTAATTTCTCTAATTCATAAAAAAATTTGATAATTTTCAATAGAATGTAGTTAAGCCAGTATACATTTAGTTGCAAATCCAAGTTAAGAGTTAACATTCAACATTACTATACAGATAGAAAATATACTCGATTGCATTGATGAATAGCACGTTAATAAGTGGTTGTAAATAGTATGAAATTTTAAATATTGTTTCAAACAAAGCTTTTTTATACCCTGCACTTCATCAAGGGTATATTGACTTTGGTATGGAGTTTGTAACCACTCGAAGGAGTCGTCTCCGATATAGACATATATATGCATATTCTTGTTCAGCGTAAAATTCTGCGTCGATTTAGACATGTCCGCCCGTTCGTCCGTCCCTCCCATGGCTTCATTACACTTCACATATGTTCTGAAAATTTTAATGGAATGGTTGCACTGGTTCGGATAGCTGGCATACAGTTCCGAAAGATAATTTTAAATATTTGTCAGACATCATATTCGCCAAGTTTCTATCCAGTGGTTTGGCAGGTTCAAGTAATTGCCATTTAGCAATCAAAGTTACTTCTAAATATTTCTTAAAAACAAATTTTTAAACTCAGATTGTCAAAGTGCAGGGTATTATTCAGTTGGTTTACACCGACTAAAACGTTTTTACTTATTTTTATGATACAATAGCTCCATCTTTAGAAATATTTTAATAATAAGATAAAAGATGTACGTAATTTGAAAATAGAACGAAAGAGAAAAAAATTGCAGCTGTTGACAAACAGTTAGTGTATGAATACCGGTCCATTGCATATACATATTTAATCTAAATAAGAGTTTGAAAAATTTAGAAACGATAATTTAGAAGCACGTAAAACTTAATGATGTAAAAATAAAAATTAAATCATACGAAATCAAAATAAAATTCAAACTTGTAATATTTTTGATGTTAACTTTTTTTTTAAAACTTTTAAGTATTCTCTAAAACTGTCGCTTTCGTTCTGTTAAATGTGCAACGAGTATTAAAGTCGTCATACAAAGGGCAACTACATATTATAATTTTAAAGATTTTGAATTCTTGTTCTACTGAAAATTAAAAATTATTTGTTGTTTTACATTTTGCACACTAAAAAATGTTAAATATCTTAATGTTTCATTTGCTTTTCTCCTCTATAGGAATTCTGAAAATTATATACATTTGTTGAAACTCGTGTCATTTAATTTTTTTAATTAATCGGAATTTAAAAAATACAAAGTTATGCAGGAAAGAAAATTTCTGTAATATTTGCTATTTGTTTCAAATTATTGTTAAATGTTGTAATATAGACCGTATTTTTTCTTATTAACTAATTTACATTAAAAATTAATTAAGCTATTTTTATAGAACATTTATAAACAGTTGAAAAATTAAATTTCAAATTATATCATAAAATAAATTTATAATAAATGAGCATTTTATAAAGAATTATTAACATTAAATTGATTATTACAATTATTGCTTTAAGCTTTCGAATGATATTAAATAATACGAGACTTTTCATACACATGTGCATAATGAATTTGTATTATATTTATTTATTTATTCATATGTATATTAAAAATTAGATAATCTCAAAGTAATATAAGATAATTTATTTATTAAAGTATTACAATATCTTAGCACATGATGTGGTAAAAGTGAATCTGCCAACTCTAAGATAAAAGTACAAACTACCACAATTCTAAAGCTAAACAAACAAATAGTATTGGTGATACAGTTTTCTGATCTTTTGTTAAATCGTGAATAGTAGTTTCATAAATTAAAAATGTGAACAATGTTTAAGTATTTCATTGTTGTGAATTATAAATGTAAAAGTTTTGTTTTAAAAATTTTGTTTATTGTTACTGACGGCAAATACTTGAAACATTACTTTAATATGGTTGGAATTTAAATAGGTTATAAATTTTATTAAGTTTGTTTAAATTGTATTTGATTATTTAAAAATCGAAGTGCGTATGTGTGTTCTGCAATGCAAACGAATATCCAAAAATATACCTGTTTTTGATATTATAAAATAATCGGCAATTTTTGAATATAGGTATACATACGACATCCATTATGTGGATAGTTTACATATATCATCCACAATGTTTTCACTATAATTTTAGGTTAAGAAATAGATGATTCGTGATTAAATTTATTAATTTAACTTACATATTATAAACGTAAAATACACGTATACTAAATGCAATTTCCAGTATAGATATTATAAAAAAAACGTAATAAATTTGAATGCAATATGAATTTGTAATAGTTTTTCTTCACGTCACTAGGAGATTTATCTTTATACGATAATAATGAAAGTCTATCAAATTGATAACAGTATATTGTAAGACATCAAAATATAATTTATTGTCTCTTATTATACGTAGATACATAAACTTAAGACAAATAAAAATAGTCTTGAATTTTGAATCGACAAGTAAAATGTTAAAAATCAAATAAGTAATAACATTTACGTTATCAACAAAAATGGTTTTACGAGTATTTAAGAAGAAAGAAAAATCCTAAATTTTATAAAGTGAAAAAAGTTCTTGACGTTCACATATACGTTTACATTAGAGCTTTCAAATTAAGATAATTATACCTTATAATAATATGTACATATGCTCTAGTTGGCTATAATTGAATTACCTTACGCACTTGAACTTATCAAACAGGTTTTTTTTTAACATGTAAATTTCATAATTTATGCATGATTTCTTGTGCAGCTTTAATCAACATTCTTGCAATCAGAATTAATATAATACGTTTTAAATTAGTTCATAAACGTTTTATAGCATAAAACTATTAATAGCCAATATTTTTCATTGCAAATTTTAAAAACTAAATTATTCAACAAAGTTGTGATAATTTTATATGACTAAATTCGTATATCATTTAAAAACAATACGTATAATTAGCTATAGAAAATTCGAGTTTTCCTTTATAAAATAGGCGATTTTCAATAATATATGTAGATATGTATTGAGAATTGTAAATTGAGTTTCGAATATTTTAAATCTGCAGAACCTGAATATTTAACTTTTGCAGATTTGCAGCAAACCGGAGTAATTCTTTAATACCTAACATTTTTCTATTATGCTCTTTTCTAATATATATAATAATTTTGCAGTAGTTATAAACAAACTTAAAAATTCCTTCAGAACTTGGAGCACAACAGTCATTTTTGAACATGCTATTTTTGCAGATCTTGCAGATAAGAATTATTGAACGTGCTTCATATTTAAACTTAAATTAGAATTGAATTATTGATAATTCCCATACTTTTCGAATAATACTTTTTATACTTTACTTAACGCTTTTTCAGATTTTTAAAATGATTTTATAAAATGTTTTGTTACAATCTTGTAAAATATGTTACAATCTTGTTAAATTAACATATGTACTTCTTTTAATAAACAAAATATTTAAATTGTATTTGATTGCCTACTCGTATTATTATTATTTTAAATTTTGTTTATTTATGTTTGTTTATGTATATCATGGCAATTAAATTATATGTCATTTACATTGCTATTAAATTGTTATTAATTAAATAATCAATAATTGATAAATGTAAAAATATATAAATATTTATTAAATAAAATTTAAACTTTTTATATACACAAGAATACATATATATATTTTTTTTTGTGAAATTTTTATTTTGCTAAAATTATTATAGGGCATTCCGACCAACTATATATTTATAATAGGATCTGTTAAATAAGTTTCCCCAATATTTGACTGCTTAGTTTTCCAAATGAATGTTTTTTTGCAACATCTAATAATTTTAACCAATATATCAAAATAGTCTACCACATTTAATTTCAAATTATAAAATGACAAAGCCAAAGTATAGCTTCATACAATTATCACATTTGTGTACGTTAAATGTCCACAGAGTATTTTAAAAATAACTAAAATATTCTATTGAAATAAATATGATGAGTTTGTAAAGTTACTTTTAGCTAAATTGCAAAGCGACTCAAACAAGATTATTACTACTGGAAAGCAATGATTTCTATTTTAACTGGTTGATTGCAGATTTGTGACATTACAGTGCATCTCGTCCAACTATATACATGTATCCCTAAAATTAAGCTTTAGATATGACGCCTGCAGTACTAACATATATATATTTTGGAGTACTGTCGTTGAAGTGTTTATAAATAATTTTTTTAAAAACTGTAAGTTTTCTTTAAAAATCACCAACACATATTTTTCCAAATCGCTGGATCAACAAATTATAATGATAAATTTTTATCTTAGGAGGAGCAGCTTTTTGTAGAACATCCTGTATATTAATAATATTTAATTTGTAAAATTTGAACTTTCTTGCAAAATCGTTTGAAATAATACAATAAACTTTTGATCTCTTTGAATTGCAATTAAAACGCTTATTTTTAACAACAACCTGTTTTCAAAAAACACGTTTACTTTTGTACTATAAAATTTATTATGGTTTAGAATGACAATTAAAATTGTTCTCATTAAATGCAATTATTGTAAAATTATTTTGTTATACAGAACATATCCAATATGTTTTTACGTATATATTTAAATGTTTTTAAGATATAGAAAAACATTATTAATAAAATGAAATTTTATCAAATATCTAACAGGGGTGAGAAAAAAAGAAGAAAATGGCACAATATTCACAATTGTTTTGATTAAAAAGTTTTTAAATTGTCACCTAAAATAAAGGTGACAATTTTCTTAACATTAAGTTTATCAGCTTAAACAGATATTTTGTCCTTAATTATGTTGTCGCTGTCAGACCGAAGTATTATTAAATATGTTAGAGCTTAAAAGTTAAACATACCCTTTCATACTTACGTGACTTACAAATTATTAAATAAGTTTAATTATTTTATGTGTTTTTTAATAAAAGCACTTCTTGCAAAATTCTTACAAGAGTTGCGTTATTGTTCCAATAAAAAGAGTTGCCAAAAATACATATATGCTGTTAAATTTGTAACAGTAATAGTTACATTGGTTTATAATAAAATATTCCATTATAACAATTTAAATGTTGTTTATTAAAATTAACATGAATTGAAAAGAAATTTAAATTAAATGTGTATTAATTATGTAAAAATTTTTTTAGCAGTTTTGTTTTTTAATTATACAATCTTAGTTCGTATACAATTACCTTTAGACTAAAAGTCTATAATATTTATTTTGCCTTAAAAAATTAGCTTGCAATGCCAGTTACAGAGTCATAAGTCTGCATTTATCGTATGTCTCTACTGTCAGTAAAATAGTACATTAATTTTTTACATTGATATGGTTGGTATCTATTATAAAATATTTTTTCTGTTGTGTATCTTTAATAAAAAAAAAGCTACATCTTATTTACATTTCACATATTTCAATTCAAAGTAATCGGACATTGTTACAACGTACCTAATCAATTGTTTCTGATATTGCTATTTTATTTTTATTCCTAAAACATTCTTACATTCTTACATCTATTATAAGCTTTTATATTTAACTTAAATTAAAAATTTATTATTCTATATAAAATTATTAAACGTAACCACTTGATTCCAGCTTCAATGCAGCATCATAGGTTGGTAAACCTGTTTTATCAATCATTTGACTCATATCTAAACGTAGAATTCCATTATCATTTATTGAGTCCATTGATTCAATACTATTACTACAAATATTAACAACATTGCTATTATTATTTACATTAGAGTGTGTTGCTGCAATTAAATCTATATTTTGACATAAGATATTGTTATTATTGTTATTATTATCATTACTATTATTAGTGGTATTATTATTATCTATATTATTATTAATAACTGCATTATCATCGTTGTTACAGTGATATATATTTTGTTGTTCTTCATTTGAATTTTGAACAGATTGCACGTATCGTTGTAATAAATTAGCATTTTTATCAAAGTTTACATTGTCATCTTTTATTGCAATCATATCACTATTATTATCATTATTTTCAACAAATAATTGAACCAGAGGAACATCAATATCTGGATTTGTATCCATTTGTATTTGACTAGTTTCTGAGGATATTCCAGATGCATTCGAACAATTCATATCATTTTCCTCAGCAGTTAACATAACAGCACCTGATGTTGATGGAACTGTTAATGATGTTAAATTTGTTGAATTGTCAGAAAAAGGCAAATGCTGTTGGCTATTGTTTGTTGAATAACATTCACATGTGTTTGATAAATTATTTGAAGATGATGATGTCGATTTTGCTGATACTATTGGTGAATTTTTATTTACCTGAATATTATTATCATTATTTTTATTGTATATTTGTTGCTCAACATCAACAATGTTATCAATTTCGCTGCTCGACGATTTTCCTATCGTCGTTAATGCCCCTGATGAATTTCGAGTAAACTTATTACGTGATTGTTTATCATAAAATTCATTGCTATCCATTAAATCTGATTTTTGATTAGCATCACTATTTGCAGAAGCTGTATTTAAATAACGAAGTTTTCCGCATAATGGACAACCATGATCGTAGTCTGTAGAACTGATTGATGTAGATGGTAAATTTAATTTACTTGATACTGAATTATTATTTAAAGTGTATCGAGGATTCATTGTCGGTGGTAGGGAAATATTTTCATCTTCTAATATACTGCCGTTGCTACTACTGCTTGAATCCAAAGCACTCGTTCTACAACCACCCAGAGCACGTTCTAAAGAGCAACATGATTCAGTGCGCAACATTCTGAAACGATAATTTTTTTCAAGTGTTGATGCTGAAGCACTTGTCATTGGTGTTGGTCTACGTCCAAAATTACGATAATTGCTGTGATGATTTTTTGACAATGGGTATTTTCCTAAAGATTGGCGATTTCGATAAAGCTGGTTTGGTAGTTGTAATTGATTTGTTGTTGCAGGCGAAGTTTGAAGACGATTATTGTGTAGATTTAATAGTTGTTCGTTGTGACGATGATGTAAGTGATGAGGGTGGTGTTGATTAGATGATGTTGATGAGGACGTCGATGGTGTTTGTTGAATATCGTTATATTTCAAAACATTACTATTTGTTATGGAAGTTGTTGATCTATAACCCGGTGGTGGAGATATGCGACGATTTATAATTTCATCCATTGCTACAACAGCATCATATGATGGTGGAGGCTGATGGCTTAATGTTGGTACTTGACTGGCCAAAGTTTCGTCTGAATCCATAAATAAACCCGATGTTTCGTAACACTAAAATAATACAATAATATTACTAAATTAGGCAACAAGTTTCTTCTTTATTTTTAATTTTTACTTTATTGTTTGTTCTAAATACTGCAAATATCGTAATGTTTTTTTATTTTCAAGGCTTTGTACCAAGCTATAGTAATACTACTGCAACAATAAACTTAGTTGTGTATCAATATTTGTTCTCTTTCCTTTTTCATTTTTATTTTTAATACTCCTTTGTTTTTATATTTGAACTAATATCATAGTAAATATTTACTCTTAATGATTAAACATTGACTAACATTAACTGAAAATCATTCATAATAGCAAAATGGTACCTTTTAACACTTCGTTACAGTTATAAAACAACATTCATACATTGTAATGTGTATAGATTGTATAGGTGATTTATGAATATAGCAGTACAAATTGTATGTAAATAAAGATGTAGATATTGGAATACCTAATAAGTTAACAGCATAGAGAAAAAAAGGATTGAACTTTATTGGATTAAAGAATTTGTAAAATAAATGTAAAAAAACACATACGAGTATACAATCTTCCAATTTGAATTTTATCTTTACACTTTAATTACAATTTTGAAAAATTGAGTAATAGAAATCAAAGGCGATATCAATGGATGAATTTTAAAATCTTTCAAAATAATTTTAATACAGTAATACTAGTTCACGGTAAGAGTTAGAAGCTACGATTTTGAGTTTCATCTTTCTGCTTTTTTCAGAGCTGAAAAAATGGTTGAAAAGATTTTTACACAATTAGCTGTTAAAAAATGATTTTCTTTTCTTCTACGTGTTTCTGTACCACTTGGGTGAGAGAGGCACTAAAATTATCTCGTTGTCAAATAGATTTTTCGCAAAGTTTCGATTTGTATATAAAACGATTGCTTTCCATATTAAATACTAATATTAAATTAGTTTTAGGAACAGACGCATAGATGAACAAACGGACGAATGAAATAAACTTAATAAGTATGATTTTTAGTTTAGTTATAAACATGCTAAGAAATTCTAAAGAGCTATTTTGAGATAACCAAAAGAGGAAATTGTAATTAAGTTTTCACATATTATTATCATTTCATTACTTTTAAATAAAATAATAGCGGGCTTATTTCAAAAAAAAAAACAACGTGGACAACACTTATTATTATCAAAATAATTTCAAATTAAAAAAAAAATTTATTTTCATGTTGATTAATAAATTAAATAAATTTTTCTGCGATATTGTAATATTTATTCAAATATTTGATGTTAAGGCACGTATTTTTCATTTAATTTGTTTTAAAATTTTCTTTTTAATTATTCCATTTCTTATAGACTATTCATTAAAATTCCTGTTCTTAATCTATTCTATGAAATTTCAATGTAAACAAATTATTTACTTTATTTATAAAATCTTCTTTTCGTTTTCATAGTTTCATTTACATATTCAAAGAATTATTTTATTATTATGCAAATTAATTGAAAATTTAAAATATTATTTTTAAGTTTTTCTATAGAACATTGAAATATTGCAACCGTCCTTTATTGATTAATGTAAAATATATTGAGTGGCTCAGAAACAGAGTGGCGTAACACAACATTTATGTTTTATTTCAATGAAAACATATAAAAAATACCAAATTTTAATTGAAATGCTTATACATTTTTTATATATAGATGTCAATGGTCGACTCGTTGTTTATGGCTTGTTTGGGAACTAGGTTGAATAAAAGTAACATAAATACTTAATATATAATATTGTAATGTAATCTGCACTTATAAAACTTTTGAAATTTTAATAGAACAAAAATTGCTTATAGCTACAATGTAAAATTTATTTATTTATTGGTATCACTTTGCATTTTAAATGTATTAAAAATTTTAGGCAAACAATATTATTTTTATGATAAATAAATAGAAAAATTTGGAGTCAAGAAATCAATATCACTATGATTTAAAAAGATTTACACGATTGGTTACAACAACAAAAAAAATATGATCGTGATTTGTGCCATTTCGCTTCTGAGCACCTCAAAGTATGTTAAAACATTTAACTTCATAATGAATAAAATTATTTTTAATTCTAAAATTCAAATTGATTATTTTTAATTCAAACAATAATTTCTTTCGAACAAATTTTTTTCATGATGCAAAAAAAAAATTTTGTAATTATGAGATAATCATAAATAGATGTCATTCCTCTAAATTTTAACTGATTCTTCAAAAAAAAAAAATACCCCATAATTGGTTTTAAAAAATGGTTAATTAAAGGAGTAAATTCGGCTACCTGGCATTTGTTTTTATAAAATTTTAGAGAAAATAAGATTGAGGAATACAGTATTGTTTTTCAAAAATTTGCATTATAACTTTTTATACGTCGCAATTCTAAATGTTTAAAAAAAAATTTCGATACACACCCGAAACCGAAAGCTGAAATTCTTTAAGCGAGAAACCTTTATAACTAGAACGAAATTTCCTTAGAAATCTTATTACTGCATTACAATAAAATTGTAATCACTTTAATTAATTTTTAATACGTATGAGAAAACAAACATGAGTCGCAAAGTAATAGAACTAATTTCATTCTAATTGCCAATAATATGTGCTTGCGTTCAAATAAATAATAGACGTACGTTTATGCAAATTTCTTATATATAAATTCTTGATACTTTTACGTATATATTTAAATTAAATTTGTATAAAAATTAATTACGGTAATCCAATTATCACGTTTCATAAAAAACGCTATTATACAAAATTGCTGCAAGAAAGATATTATATAATACGGTCTGATGTCATAATATTTATGCTTGTATACAAAATCATATACAAAAACATTGCCTGCAAAAAAGTGGTCGTGAGTTACCGTGTAAATTTACTTGTTCTACTTACATATAAAAATAAAATAAGTCCATTTCACGCTACAAGAATCGAATAATAAAATATTTTAAATAATTTTCTTGTGCAGAAAATAAAGAATAATTGCAAAAGTTTATGTAAATGTTTATTTTTAGACTAATGGTAAGATTTACAGATTTTTAAAACGCCAGAAATTATTTATCGTATTGTAATTTATTCACAAGATAACTATAAACTAAAATAAAGTGTCCATTCCAATTGTCAAACTATTACTATACTTAATTTCAGTTTACGCATTCATGTGCAACTATCGTACCTACATACGATTTATATATGTATAACAAAGTTGGAAGGAATTAATTGCCAGACTGCATATCACTAAGTAATCAGAGATATGAACGAACATTCCTATTTTAGAAATAAATTAAAAATTCAGTAGCAATAAAGTACTGCATTTCATTAAAACTTACATTTTCTTTATTTATTAATGTCCATTATTCTTGGACGACACTATAAAATTCTATAAATGACTTACTTATGTTTCTTTTGTCATACCTGGTCATTTATATACATTTTTATATAATAATTTTTCTGTTCTGTATTCTTATTATTATTAAAATATTAATAATTATTTTTTATGGTTTCCACGTTTTATGAAGTTTTATTTCCTATATTGTTATACGCATACAAGTTTAATTACCTCGATTCTATTTATTTTGTCAATATTTGACGTTGTTGGGCATGGATTGCAAATAAAGAATAAGTTCAACATACATGTGTACACAAAAATATATGCATACACGTAATAATATTAAACCGATGGACAGATGAACGGACAGAATAAAATTTATAAGCACTTTTTTGTCCATTTCTTTTAGAAAGTGCTGAAAATAATTGTTTATACAAAGTGCAGTTAATTACAAAGTTTGTTTTTCTATACTGTCATTTATATTGAATATATCTAAATTATATTATTTTTCCATAATCAATATTTATGGTTGTAACTTAACTATTACATAACTTCCAATTAATGTAAATTATTTTACAAAATATAGGCTAATTTAATATAAAACATAGGTCATGAAAATTTAGCTGGCTTCACTTGGTGTCAAAATTTGAATTCATTTGAGTTTTTTGCCAATTTTATTTGCCTGTGACAGTTACTAAAGAGTATTGTTATAACACTCGGTAAACAAAGTTTCTTTTGAAATCTCGTTTTTCTGAAAATGACAAAGTAACAAATGGGCATGACCAAAATGGCAAAGGGTCACTTATACTGCATAAAAAACGTGTAATTTTTAGTACGTATTTAAAACAATTTGTTTTACTTTGTCGCTTCTTGTATTCACCTATGGTTGCATTTCTTAACAACATCTATACTGAAGTTGAAATTTTGAACACATTTGTATTAACTGAAAAAAAATTTGTTTTACCTTTTTATCTCTTTTAACTACAATTTATAGAACTCTCAAAAGACAAAAAATCGTTCAATAAATTATAAATAATTTATTTTGTCCAAATTACAATTATTTTTCCAAAATATAACATTAATGTAAATGAACACTTACGGATTAGTTTATACATTAATGTTTTATTTGATGAAAGTAAAATTTTTTTCTAGTCTCTCCCCCAATTTATTCACTTCAAATTCGAAAAATTATAATTTTTTTCAAGTTTTAAATCAAAAACTCTCAACATTAAGATTTATATTATCAAATTAAAATAAGATAATTAGAAGGAAAAGTGCTATTTTGCAATCCGTTAAATTTAGCCAAGTTAGTTTTTGTATTTTTGAATATGAAAGATTATGATTATAAAAATTGATTTATTTTTGATTAGTTTTTTTTTTCTTTTCTTAATTGGCACATACAATTGGAAAAAAAAGCTTCAGTAGACTAAAAGCAAAGTGGTGTTTAATATACCATTTCTATAGTTTGTTCGTGATAATTAACTCATATATACAAGTATTGTGTAAATACAAACGAAATAAAAATTAATGTATAAGAGCTATATAGAAAAGAAAAGGAAATTAAAAGAAGCTAAAAATGAGCAACCTATTCAAAACACATACACATATTTCATTATATTTAAGTATATTGTTTTAAGATTTTTATCATGAAAGTATTTTTAAAACAGTGAAAGTTTCAGTTCATAAAAATAAAAAGCCATAAATAATTGCTGATGTTATATAAATCATAATTAAAAGTGTGAAAAAAAAAGAACATGTTTTTTGTCTCCTTTATATTATTCTATGCCGGTGTTGCTTCTTTTTGTTATAATTTATTCGAAATGGCAATATAAAAACGTTTATGGATATTAACTGCAGATTTCTCTTAATCTAAACTCATAACTACTATTTTTTTAGTACCTACATAATGAAAAGAAAAATTAAAGAAAGACGTTTTTGCGATTTATAAAGTTTAAGGCTATACTGAATCTTAGCATGACTGACAAATTGTTGTTATGTTATGAAGTTACAAGAGTTTTTAATTTTTGTTTTATAAAATATTCCAAATAATTTCAATTGTATATTGTTCAATTGCTAAATTTCATTTGCTAAAGAAGTTCTCCAATTTTGATTCGATTCAAATCTACACTCTATTGGTACTGAAAGCATTCCGGCTGTAACTGAAATAAACTTTGTAGTTTCTTTATTCGTAATTCTAAATTTGAAATTTCGTAAATCTCTGATAAAATTATTAAGCAAACAAACATTGTATTAAAATTGTTTATTGTATTAAAAATGATTTTGTTACAAATTTTGCAGAACCTAATAAATTTTGAAAAATTTTGGAAATTTGAGAAAAAATATAATAAATTTGCACCCTATATCGCATGGTGTTATAAATGGCAAGGTGAATTTTGTAGTATTACGACAAAATTCATCATTTTATCTTCAAAAGGATTAAAAAAAAGTACATATAGTTATTTCACTGTTTGTTTTTCCACCTTTCAACTCTTTATCTCATGGTCTTTTGAAATCTTTATTAAAAAAATATACAAGTCATTTAAAAAGTACTTTATACGCTTTTACTAATTGAATTAATTCTTAATTTTTATTATTATTTATGAGGTTTTTTAAAAAAAATTAAGTTGTATTCCATTTTATGCTTCCAAAAGTAAAATATATTTAAATAAGAGTATAAAAAACTATTCTTAATTTCACTGCGGGTGTCAACTTGATGCATATATATACAAGGTGTTCAGCGCAATAATCAATTGTTTTAAATTATCGTTTTCTTACTCTTTCCCTTTTTCTCTTCAATAGATTAAGGAAAAGTAAAATTAATAATAATATCATTGATTTTCTAATATATATCCATTAATTTGCTAATTGTTTTTGCCACATCTCCACAGATATTTGTTTACTTTTAACCAATCGGATACAACAAAATAATTAGTTCGATTTATATAGTGAATTGAAATTTGGTGCAACATAGCAAAAAAAAATAATAATATTGGACACCAATTAATTTGCAGTATTAATTTTATGTTAATTTACAGTTTTAGAATAAGTTTGAGATTGTCGTCAACTGATTATAAAAGTTTCTAAATTAGTTATTGAAGACAATGTGGCCTATTAAATAAACCAAATGCAATTATGAAGCAAAATCGGAAAAAATTGTAAGAGAACAAAAAGTATTTGAAAACTGATACAAATTACAAAAAGCAGCATTACACAAAGTTAGTATACACCCTATGACAAGAAAATAACAGAGAATAGTGGTTTGTAACTTTATTTCTAAAATGGGTCAAATATCGCTGCAAGACAAGGTTATTTAAACCCATTTCTTACTAATGAATCATTAATGAATTAATTTCTAATCTTTAAAATATAAAATAAATTTCATTTTCAAATTGTTGATTTAGGACCAACTATAGCTATATACTTAGTAGTGTATATTTTTTTTTAAAGTTAATTAACATCATTTAATAGAGTAGAGGTTATGAGAAAGTAGCTTCTGCTATATGACATGTAAAATGAACTTTTAATATTGCGCTCTATATTACAGAATATACACTTGTTTGAAATACAAAAAGATCCCATAATGCATATAAGTAGTCATTATCACATACAGGTATAGATACAATAGTTTCTTTTAAGCTTATATTAAACAAAACGTCATAATCTTCACCCATCTAAAGATAATATTAAAATTGTTGTAAAAAAACGAAGGTTTTTTTTTTTTAAATTTTATCCTCTAAAAGTGGTTTTTTAACGAGATCCTTAAGTTTTTCTATTCATTATTTTAAAAGATTTTTATCACATACTTTTATACATACGTATGTATACATAATATGTGAATGAACATTTTAAAATAATTGGACAATAAAAATTATCCAATTATTTTTTTTTGTTTTAAATTTTCTAACAACAATAACAATATTAAAATAACAATTTACCTGTTCCACACTATAAATTTCCATATTAGGATCATTTTCTAACCATCGTTGTCTATATGCAGATTCTGTACGTTTTTTAATATTACGATGACAACAATAACAGACAACACATAAAACTGTTATTACAACAGATAGCATCGCCCTAGAAGAAGAAAAAAATTAGATTTTAGAAGAAAAAAGTATTGTACATATTAAATTAAATATAGAAATATTGAAAAATATATTAAATATCAAAAAATTTTACTATTTCGTGAGCAAAACATTCAATTAGTAAGAATTTTTTAATTGTCCGTAATCGAGTTTTTAAAATCAAAGCGGTTTCTAATAATGAGTGATTATACATTTGTGGGAGATAATTATTTTAATTTAGAAATTCATTGATATTGTTTATTTGTGTTTAGAAAAATTCTTTTCTAAAACAACAATATTTAAGAAATTTCAATTTGATTATGGCATATTAAAAGGGCATAATAATAAAACTACCCAAGAAGGGTGATCCAAAAGAATGTAGAAATTGGCGTGGAATCACCATACAAAACACAATAAATAAGGTTCTGGCTCTGACAATTCTCGGAAGAATTGAAGACAAGATCAAACTACGAGAAGAACAAGCTGGTTTCCGCAAACAACGTAGTTGTATAGATCAAGCAAACACATTGAGAATCATCGTGGAACAGTCTATTGAGTGGAACTCACCATTGTACATTGCATTTGTAGATTTCGAAACAGCTTTCGATGCAGTAAAACGAGATAGTATATGGAGTGCTTTAAGGAAAAAAGGAATTCCAGAGAAAATTATAAACATAATCAAAGCGATGTACGATCAGAATGAAACAAGAATACTACACAATGGCGCACTAAGCGAGCCAGTCATTATAAACAGTGGAGTTAAGCAAGGTTGCCCACTTTCACCGATACTCTTCAACTCTGTCCTAGATAACATAATGCAAGAAGTGACAAGCACACCCAGAGGAATAAGATGGTCATTAACCGATCGTTTAGAAGATCTGGATTACGCTGACGACATTGCCCTGCTTTCCCATACTTACGAAGAGATGCAAGCGAAACTCGACCTCCTACACAGTAAAGCAAAAAGTGCTGGACTCCAAATAAATACACGAAAAACAAAGTCCTTAAGATTAAACTGCCGCAACACGAACACGTTCATGATAAACAACACAACTATAGAGGACGTCACTAAGTTCAATTACCTCGGTAGTATAATAACTACAACGGGGGGAACAGAGGATGATATCTTGAACAGGATCAATCGTCCAATCTCAGTAGAAAAACCAAGCTGAGATTGTTTGGCGCTTGTATAAAACCAATACTCTTGTATGGAAGCGAGACCTGGCACGCAAACCAAGCCAGTATAAACAGCATTCAGGTATTCGTCAACAAATGCCTCAGAAAAATATGTAGAATCTTCTGGCCGAATAGAATCTCCAACCTAGAGCTGTGGGACCTCACAGGTGAAGAACCTATAGCCACACAAATCAAGAAACGTAAATGGCGCTGGTTGGGGCACACACTAAGAAGACCACCGGGTGCGATTCCACGTCAAGCGCTAGAGTGGAACCCCCAAGGGAAACGAAAAGTGGGTAGACCAAAAATGACATGGCGTAGAACCATAAACAAAGAAATCGCCGACAGCGGCAAGTCTTGGTCACAGATAAAAACATTGGCAAATAACAGAGTGCGATGGAGAGGCTATGTGGAAGCCCTATGCTCCTAAACTGGAGTGAACAAAGGAAAAAAAAAAAAAAAAAAAAATTTGATTATGGATTGGGTACTTGAAGAAGTCGTCTCCGTTATTAACATTTGTATATATAGTCTTGCTCAGCGTAAAATTCTGCTTTAAATTAAATATGACCGTCCGCTCGATCATAAGTCTCTCTATCTTTCTCAAAAAGAAATAAAGCAAACGCAATCAAACTGCCCCAAGGACGGCTTCTAATGTTTTCGGGTATGAAATTTCAAGCCCTCAAGTTTTACATGCTCGACATTGTATATTATGTTATATAAAAATGTTTTTGCAATTTTGAAATACAAAAAAACACATAGTTATACTGTAATATTGGATTGCTTTATTTGTTTTTGTATTTGTATTAAATTTTTAAAAATTATCTAAGATATTGCCAAGAATGTATTACTTTGCAACTTATTTGAAATAATAATTCAAATAACCTTGTGCTACATATATCAATTAAAAAAAATCAAAACCTAATAATAGTTGCATTTGAAATAAGAAAAAAATGCAATTTCACTGTTTAAGACAAATTTTTAATTTAAATAACATTTATAAATTTAATTTTATATTATAATTACTACTCTGCTATTTATAATATATTCATAGTTCAATAATAATTTAAACATGAAAAATATTTTCTTTACAAATTACTAAATTTCTTTGAGAAAATTCATGTTATGTTCTACTACATAGTAGATTCAAATTAATACAGTTTCGATATAAGTAGTAGGTATTTTATTGTATTGAGCCTACTTTAAATTTGTATCCCACACAGAATTTTGATTCGAATAATATGACCATCATCCACAAACACTATGATAAAATAAAAGGATTGCAGTAGAAATCAAAAGAATCTCAGTTAGTATCATAATATGTAATTTATTGCATACTTTTAGGTTAGGACCATAATGGTGAAATTATACCCTTAATCAGATTACTTATAAACACTTATTAATATCAATTACATACATTTTGATCAATTTTCGATGCCGAAAATTCGGAAGAGAAAAAGGACCTGCATTAATTGTTAAAGTTTATTAACCTGCATTAATTGTTAAAGTTTTAAAATGTTATAACTTATCGCATGGTCCATTTAATGAAAACCTGCAGCTATTTTATGAATTTAGCTTTAACAAAAATTTTCAAAATAACTTACATAACTTCAAAGGGACTTATGAGAGTGAGTTTATATAGAATTAATTATTTTTTATACAGTTAAGTTGTAGCAATAAATTATTTAATACAAAAATATAAAAATTGAATGCCATTTTCTAATATTAATGCAGAAAAAAAGAGAAAAGGTAATAAATAAAAATTTATATCCTTATGTTAATAAAAATTGATTTTCTATGAATAATTTTGGTTTGAATAATTAAATAAAAATTTGATTATCATAAAACGAACATAGAAGGACTTAAATTTCGAGCAATGCTGTTTTATATATTAATTTCATGGTTTACATACTGATTTTCAAATACAAACATTTCTATATCTAAATAAATGATCTCTTACATTATTTTTTAATAAATTTTACTTAAATAAGACGAGAAAACCTTATTTATTGTAAGTCAAACTAAATCATTTAAAAAAAATTAAATAAAAATTAAAAACTGACGTTTCATGCTCAAAACTGCAATGATTTCGGTTCCAACACACAAGTTGGTCAATTTGTAAAATTTGTCCATAAAATGAAATAAAAATTAGAGGCGAAAGCGTATAAAATGCCAAATGAGCCAACAAGGTTTCAGAAATAATAGCTTCAATTCATATACTTTGTTTAATTAATGAAAATTGGAACGAATCAAAATTTTAACTACTATCGGGGGCATTTAGAATTTTATGAATATTTTCAGAAAACGAACATGTCGTCCAAGCCTACTGCGATTGTTAATGTATAAAACTCTAAGCAAAAGCATAATGTGTATGAAAAGTATAGCAAAAGAATAATTTTAGATCTTATAACAAATTTCCATTAAAATCTTTTAAAGACTTTCAGTTGTTTAATCTGGATATTTTTTATAGGAGTTTGCATACAACGTTCAAGCTCTACAAACCTAATACTTGACGAAATTTTGATTACCATCTTGGAAATTCTATAGTACCTATTTAAAATAATGCAAATTTTGAATATTTAAGATAAATTAAGGTCGATTGAATAATAAGAAGAGTAAAATAAGTAAAAATTAATAGAGAAATTTGAAATAATTGATATTTAAAGAGAAACTTTAGTGCACATTGAAACAAAATATTTTCAACAAGTGAACTATTCTTACCTAACAAAATATAATAATACAAACATAGAGTACTTTATTTTACTATAAATACACGCACAAACATTATTAATAGCCCACTTTTCACTTGCCTCAAACATGTCCATAAATAAAATGTTAGATAAATATAAAAATAATGAAGAAAATAACCTTGATTGAAACTATGAAAAAATTTTTATATATTTTGATATACAAATTTATATGATATGATAAAAAAAAACTTTTATAAAATTTCAAATATCATGCGAATAGGTGGTTCCAAAAAGTCAAAAAAGTCTATATGTACTTGTATAGAAAGAAAATAAATAAATATTTTTATAGTATTAAAAGCTTGTAAAGGTTCTGAAAATAGAAATACCCGCTAGTAAAATAAAATTATCATTCATAGATAATAACTGTATAAATACATAAAGAAATCTATATAGTTCTAAGTTTAACCAACAAAAGGTTTTATATTGTATAGAAAATTAATTTTATATTGTATAGAAAAGTATTTTAGAAATATTGCTAAAAAATCTAACCTCCGCACAATTTGTTGGAATTACCTTTCTTTGATGGAAAGAATATTGTGCAGTATTAGTTGTAAGAGGCCTTGGTTTAATCTTGATTTGTTCATAGAGAAGAAATCGTGATTGATCTTTTGAAATTAAACTGAAATGTTTATTAAAATAGCTACTCTTTTTTCTTATTCATTACAGTTGCCCATTCCCATGAACAGTTTTTACTATTTAACTACTTAATTTCTTAAAACTTCTTAAAACTTATAACCGATTAAGTTCCTGCATTTCAAAAGTTCCTTTATTGATAAATATCACTTTCAATTGACTCACTTGATCTTAAATCTAAGGTCTGTTTTAAACAAGAAAAAAATTTACTTAAACCAACAATCGGAGAGTTAAATTGAAAATTTTACCGATGATCTGTAAATTAAGTTTTGAGTTTTGTTTATTTTGCGTTACTTGTTTATATTGTTACATAAAATCAATTGCAATAAATTTCCTAAAATTAATATTTAAATAATTATCCTAATATATAAGTTTTAAATAATACAAAAATGCTCATAAATAAAACTTTGGAATGCTTGCAATATAACGGACAGACAGCGATTCCATTAAGTCACATTTTCCCATTAATCATGAAATTTATAGTATTTCTCCATGAAAATTTATAACTTTTGATATTCAGTAGTTGCTTTTTAAATGATTCTTCAAAAATATTACTATTAAAAAAACAAAAAAGGAAGTTGTTGTTCGCGTGTCTAAAATTCACGTATGTACATTTATACACGAAAATTCTTTCCTTTATTTAAAAGAACAACATTAAAAGCGTTAGTTTCAATTTGTTCTTCAGTAAAAGTAAAAAAGAAAAAGAAAAATCAAAACTTATATACTTGTGTTCTAAATTGCTGTGTCTAACTTGGCCTTGGAATTCATTTTTCGTATAACTATGTTTGTTGTATATTTTGAACCACTTACGAATCGATTTAATTTCTTTTTCATTTTATTTATAATTAAGGAAATAAAGGTAAAACATATAATATATTTTTAGTTTCGTTTTTGATTTATAAAACTTTCCACAAGACAAGTAAAAGTTCCGATTCCAAAAACTGCTTAGTTCGTAATTGAGAAATATCAGAAGCAATTCTGTTTCATACTCGTAACTTCCCTTTTCTGTTTATTATAAAAATAATTGGATCTAATTGTGAAAATAATGTAATGAATTTAAAATTCAGCAAAGTAATCCGAGGACCTAATTATCTTTTTAAAAATTTAAGTACGTTTCTGTTCAATATTATAAAATTTACATTTAAATCATGGTTGTTCTGACAATTGAATATATTTTTTATTTTCAATTTTTTTTAAAATTTTTAATATTACTTTAAAACATGAAATGTCGAAAAATAAAACGGAAGTGTTTTAGTTTTCTTTGAATTTATGTATTGTTGTGTATTATTAAATCTATAGTTAAGTCTAAATTGACCACACTTTTTAGATAATGAAAAAAAATTGCAATTTTCTTTTATAAAGTAACTATTTTTGGATTTATTATTTATTGTAAACATATGTACACCTACATACAATTTGTCTTTAAGAGCTTCCGTGATAATTCTTTTTGTTTGACTGCTGCTTTTAATTCACAATAGCACTTTATTGAACAATTTTGACAGAGTCAAATTAGAATTTTGTTATTTAAATTGAAATTTAAAATTAAAGCCTTCACGATTATTTTATTTTTTTTACAAAAAACTGGAAAAAGTAACTCTTTTTGCATTGATCATACGTGTAAGTATGTGTAATAAATTATGATTATTTTTACGTTTAATGCCTTTGTGACATTAATTTTTTATCTTTGAAAATTTTGTGTCTATAAAAGAATTCGTGTTATTAAGGAATTAAAAATTAATGTTTTTTAGGGAAATCAATAGTTTAAAAAAGTTAATTTTGAAAATTGTTCACCATTCTACAAAAAGATCTTCGATTTACTTTTCTGAAAAACATTTGTGAATATCTTGACAGAATTATCTTTGACAATTACAATTCATTTTTAGAATAAATATTTTTGAAATTTGTATAAAAAATAGAAACCTGAAACTATTGGAAATTAAATTTTAGTTTTTTTGTTGTATTTACGAGCCCTAATTCTACACCTTAAAGTATTTCTAAAGCAAAGAAAAATTTTAAGTAAAACATCTAAACACGCTCGCATTTTATTTTTTTTTCATTTATTTTTACATTTTCATTTTTTAGTTTTTATAATTAATCTGTCTGCATTTTTTATAAACTATTTATTAAATATATAAAATGAAAGTCAGATACGGTCATATTAATTAAAAAATAAACTATATTTAAGGTATAACACAATTTTTAATATAGTAAGATGATGTGATATATTGATAAAGATCAGAAGAAAATGAATAATGCGCGAAAAATAGAAAAGTTAAAAATGTGGAAGCACGCAAATTGCCATATTCATTTAATTGTTATTACAATGATTCACGTAAACCAAAAACATAACATTTCGTCTTATATGTATATATTTCATTCACTTGGAATTTTGCACAAATTCTATTATATATTTGTACAAAATATATGCATGTATGAATATGTGCAAAATTTTGATACAAACCCATAAAGGTACAACTACAGTTGCTTTCAAAAGAAAGTTAACATTAAAATTTGCCGAGTTTTTTTATTTAGATTTAAATTTATTGTATATATCTGAAATTTCATCGAAATTTCAAAAGCGTTAATGTACAGAATTATAAAATTAGGAAAAAAACTTTCACTTTTTATTATAGAGATTAAAATATGATTTTTTTTTTCACCAAAAAATTAAATCAACTATAAAAAATAAATCAATTTTTTTAAATGTGAACATCAACTCAATTTAGAAAAAATTAACTTAAATTATTCATGATTTTCTATAATGAGTAGAGGATAATGATTAAAAGCTTAAATTCTATCCAACTAGATATTCAAGTCGAAGTTGTTATCTCGTAGCCTCCTATAAAAAAACACGTCATTGCCAAAATCGATAATGATTAATTTCGGCAATTCCATCCGTCAGAAAAAGAAAATTCAGATGAAATATTGTGATTATAAATAAGCTTTAAAATCGGATATAAGTATTTGTGTTGTTCTATAAATGTTTCTGAATCGGAACATGGCTTAACATGTCAAAATATATAGTAATTTTAGCATAATTAATTTCTTTTAAGTCTTATTCAATAACTACTTTTTTTTCCAAAAATTTTAACAACCATTTTGTTTAAATCTAACATGTGAGAGTATGTAAAAAATTTTTTAATTTTTATCTACACATGTACATTAACATATTTCAAGTATACAATGTTGCCATATAGTTGTACAAGTGTAACTTTGTAAAATATTTCTAAATTGTAATTAAAAAAAAAAACAAAAGAATAATATAAGAAATAATTAATCTTGTTGACGTAAAACTGATGATAACCGCCATCACAAATCTATTTTTAAAATAAATTTTCATGTAAGTAATTTTCTCCATTTTTGTTTTTGTTCCCGCCTGTTCTTTAACATGCTAAAAAAATTCCTTTAAGAGTTTTTGACTGAATGAATACGATAAAATAAAGGTTTGGTACTATGATAAGATTTATTTTTAATTGTCATGATTGTAATTTCTTTAAAATGTACTCAAATTGTGTATTATTGTTATCTTTTTTGTTATCAATGTTTATGGTTTATTGTATATTGTGTACATATATAAATAGATTAAAGATATTGTATATATGTAATGAATTGCATATAAAACAATTTGTGTGTTACAATAGAAAAGCTTACATACATATACATACATTCATATGCATTTTTTTTTATAAAAAAAAACTAAGGTAAAAGTACCATTCACTCTTGGTTCAAATTTCCTTCAGAAATATTATCGTATAGGGATAAATTGTTTAGAATATTTTGCTTTTCAACATTTCACTGAAAATTTGCAAAAATTATTTTCTATATTTCTTGAAATATTTGAAAGAGCTCTAAATTTCGTTTAGTGGTCTTATAATATGGTATTTTTTTTAAATTTTATTTGTTTTAGTTCTGATGTTTGGTTAAATTAAATATAAATAAAATAGTTTTTAGCACTTTTATTATGCTCAATCAATTTATTTGAATAGAAAAGAAGAATTTAAACTATACTTAAATTAATTGCAAATTATTCGTTATGCGTTAATATCGAAATTATTCTTGCAAATTATTATTTAACAATTAACCTTTAAATATTCAAAATTACTGTAATTTTTAAAAAGTGTTAAAGTTTTTATTTCGTTCCACTTATTTAAAAATACTAACAATATTTTAACTATATATTCATACAAATTCATAATAATTAATATAATATCAAAGATTGCACATTTTTTTACATTGTATTTACACACTTAAATTAGAAGCAAGTAGAAACCTACATGTAATGTGTGTAATGCATATGGTATCATGAGAATATCTTAATATTGATCCCAAAGCTACACTATTTTTTTTTTTTAATTAGCATTAATTATTCCACTTCAATGTTTTGTGTTAATTAAAATAAGTTAAGTGTCAAATATGTTTCTTGTTATACTTTGTACCGTGAGCAACAATTCAACTTAATTGTTTTAAAATAAATTGAAATGGTTGAGTTAGTACTAAATTATTATATAATATATATACGCTTACATACACATGATATGCAAATACATAGTATGTATAGGTAATCCAAATTAAATAAGATGTACAATATTGTTATACAAGTACTTACATATGTACATATGTACAATTTTTTTTATTTTGTTTTTTATTACTTAATATTGAACTACTTATCAAAGGGAGTGCGAACATTAAAACGCATAACTTTTAAATTTCCACGACTTATAACATTCTAATGATAATAGTGCTTTTGGAAATTAAATTGAAGAATTACAGAAACTTCATAAAAATGTTTGTTTTATTATGATAGTATTTATGTATTTGTTGAAGGTTGAGGAGATTTTGTGTGTCTGTAACGCATACGCAATTGCAGGGGAAAATTTTACTGTCAGTAGATATTCAGTAGATTTATGGGTTGGTACGCACTGACAGAGACTTTCTAATTCTGTGTCTCTACTCCTCTCTCTCCTGTGTCTAAGACACTCCCTAATTTTCAATTGCCGAATATTTTTTTTAGAAATATTAAGTATATTGAAATAGATAATATCATTTACTTACCCGCCAAGTAATATATTAACATTTCCATGTAATGTTGAATTATTTCCGCCTAAGCTAGATCTCATACTGTTATGTTGTCCTTGATGAAAAAATAAACCACCATTATTTTGAAATATTCCAGCACTATTATATCTGTTATTATTATTATAATAATTATTATTATTACTATTACTACTACTGCTACTACTACTACTGCTAATACTACTACCACTTACACCACCTCCAACTAAATTTGCATTAATATGAAAATTATAAAATCCTGATATTATTTGATTATTATTTTTATTACTATTATTATTATTATTAGTATTTTGTAATGATGATGATGATAATTTAATTGGTTTTCTACTTAAATTTGCACTTTTAATTTCATTTGATGATACTATTGATGAATCATCATCTGTTATATTATTGAATATATTATCATCGTAAAATAATGATAGTAATGATATTGTTGTTGTATTGTTCTCTGATAATATATTATCATTTGTATTGTTATTGATATTTTTATTGGTATTATTATAAAAATTATTAATTTTGTTGCCATTACATAATATGTATTGAGATTTTAATATTAAAAATATTATATTTATTGAAAATATATATTTAATAATTGACATTACGTTTTATTTATTTTATTTATTTATTTTTTATTTTTCTAAAAAAATTAATCAAATTGAAAAAAGATTTTTTTTGTTTTAAATATTATTTGGGCTATTATTAAAATAAATTTGACTTTCACAAAACATTCATTTCGTAAATGACATTTTACATTGAAATTTTGAAACAGTTACGAGTACCTATTTTTTTTTTATAAATTATATTTGTTCAAATTTATAAATATTAAAATTTATTTTTCATATCTTCCTAATGTGAAATAACAAGCTTTATTAATATTAATTATAATTGACTTTTGTCTACCGTTAGTATGCTATTATGTGTGTATTATACTATTTATGAAAAAAATTATTAGTAACCCTAAAAGTATGCAAATTTTTCAAAATGTTTAATATTATTTTTATTCACTGTGTGGTGGCAGCACGTATAAATATTTTTTTTTTAAATTAACCAAGTGCATTTATAAATATTGAGAACATTCATTAATTAATTTGATTTTTATATTCTTTAATAAAATATAATGAATAATAGCATTGAAAAGAGCCTATATGAAATGTAAGTGTGTATGAACGTTGCATTTATGTAGCGATTTCAATAAAAAAAACCCTTTTACTATAATAAATTTCCTTATTACAATAATTGCCAGTATAAACTCGCATTTCATTTAAAAATGTGGAATAAAAAAAAACAGAAGTAATTTTTTTTTATTTCCTTATTAATTATTCAATCTTTTCACTTATTTTTACATAAAAGCAAACTATACAACTACATAATTTTTTATTTTATTTTTCCTTTTTGTTATTGATTTTCAATAAATTATACACAGTTTGGAGCAATATGAGTTCCTTAACTTTACTGCTTCCCCACTTTCGCTCTTCTTGATTTTTTTATATCATGTAGTTTTCAATAGATTTTAATGAATAATCAAAGAGTATTTTATTATTGACTTTTATTTAATTATTTATGTATTTCAAAAATTTTTGTTATTTACTACATTAATTTCGAAATGTTAAAAAAATTATTTTTGCTTTTATAAAATATAAGAGCACTTTTATTTTAAATATTTTTATTTAGAATTTTATTTAAATTTATTGCAAAAATATATAGGAATTTTGTGTACAAGGGCTTTTCATTTTTTTTTTTTTTAATTACGATTTATTTATTAAAGACTACTGTTATAAAATATATATTCAACATGCAAGGATAACACTATATAAAATTTTGTAATTAACATTTAAATTTTTTAAAGAAATTCATATGATTTTTTTTTATTATAATTTATAATTGAATGTTATAATTTAAATTCAAAACTAAAATTATAACACACGCATATCCTTTTGTATCCTTTTTATTTTTTAATATTCTATTCTATTGTTTTTTTTTTGTAACGGAAATTCAATCTTAAATTTAAATAAATACGTACTATATTTTATAAAATTTATTTATATATGAAATATATTTAGTAGTTTATTTAAAAATATATTTAATTTAAAATAAGAAATTCATATAAATATTTTATGGAAATTACTCTAATGGTTATAATAATTATAGTTATAAAATTTTTGAATTTACAACTAAGCAACGTGATACGTAGAAAACAACTGAAAAAACTGAAATAATTTCAAATTTGAAAAGTACTACTTCGTCTTTTTCTTGTTTTTTATGTATTTTTTTTATTTTTTCATTTTTGTATATTTCTTATGGTTATTTTGTATTTTCCGCCGTCGACGCCGCTTTTCAAGAGTTGAATTCAAGTGACGACGTTTAACGTCAAACGTCCTTGTTACCAAATTCTTCTATTTTATTATTCTTATTTTTAATATATGTATATAATATATAGATTACACATTTTATATTATTAATACACTAGTTTATTATCCTCATATAGTGGCACTCCTGTTTATTGATATTTCATACATTCATATGTATGTATATATACATATAATATTTTACATTCTTTTATTATAATATCTACCTGTTCAAATATTATACCGATGGTAAAGTGAAAAGATATGCTAAGTAACAAATATTTCAAAATACATTTTTTATATTAATACTAATTTTGATTGGTCCCATTTGTGTGGTATAGAATTTATAAGCGTACGTGTATTAGTTTTCCAAATCTGTGTGATTAAATTTGGTTAAGTTCGATAGAATGTGTGATAAAAATCACACACTTAACCATCACAATCACATTTATCACACTGATCACAAGATCAGTGTGGTAAAAATAAACTACGTGCTTTCTTAAGATATTTGTATTACAAAAACTGATATAGTGATAAAAGACAAATATGCTAAGTACATCAGCTGGTATTGATAATTTTAAAACTTTTAACTATATTTTACGTTAAGTGGACGACCAAAAACAATGAGATGTGAAAAAACTTAAGTTTAATTAAAAAAAACTTGTTTGAAGTCAAAAATTAATTTAAGTAGATTAATTAGAAAAAAAAACTAAGAATAAAAATTAAATTTTAAAACGCTATTCTAATTAACTGGCTTCTTTCCGCAAATTTGCAAATTTTCAAAACCCTCCCGTGTAAAATTTTAAATTTACTACTTAGCATATTGTTGCACTTCACCATCGATATACGATTAAATATATATGCATAAATACATTCGTATAATTTCTATATGACATACTATTGTTTTATACAAAAGATTTAGAAAAAAAATAAGAAAAAATAAAAAAAAATAACGGCATATTACTATAACGTTTTACCGTTAACCTTTTCATTTTCAAATGCTCAAATCATTTAAATTAGAGAATAAGTAAGATAAAAAGGGATAGAAAGACAAGAGAAAAAAATATAGTTACCTATAAAATATAAAAGCCGTATATACTCGAAATTTTAAATAAATATGCATATAAACGGTCATAACTATATTATATTATGCATACATTCATAACTACATAAATATATAATGACATAAAATAAAAAAAATGGTGTAAAAATACAAAACAAAAAGAATAAAGGAAAGCTAAATGAAAATGAAACAAATGAAAAACAAAACGGAAAATAGTGTAGCACTTTTTCAAAGAAAATAAAAAATAGGAAAGAAATAAAAGTGAAACGAAAACAAAAAGAAAAAAGGATAATAACAAACATAGAAAAAAAAAGAAAAAATAAAAAAACAATGTAGAAAAATTTTTTTCTAAAAATTATTGTAGGTAAATTTAAAAACTTTTCTTATATGTATATGTATCTATATATATGCACAATTATCCCTATAAATATATGTAATTCATAAATGTATGACAGTACATCAGTAAATTAAATAAAAATAATCGTATTATTAAATATAAATTTGTTGCTATTTCACTCATCCTTATTATATAAAAAAATTTGTATGGTTTTTTCTTTTTTCATTTTACATAAATCTTTATATATATACACACCTATATGTATATACATATATTAAATTTTTAAAACTTCTGTTAATACATTGCTTTATACATGTGTACATATATTTATATGTATACTCGTAAAAGTTTGAAATATGTGTGTATGATTCGCGTGACCAAAACATTTAATTATAATTGTTATAAGTCCTTTAATTTTGTTTTCTTTTTTGTTTTCGTTTCTACTTGTTTTCCCAACTTATAATAATTTTTATGTTACTACTTATTTCTGTGTTGTATAGCTTAACTTTATATACAGACATACATTGTTTAAAAGTTTTATTGTAAGTATATATTTTAATATTAATAACAAAGTAACTCATAGCAACGTTAATAAAAACCTTAATAATATTATTATAATGGTAGTCATCATTAGGGCTTCAGGTCAATTAAGGTGATTATTATATATATGATTTTTTGTATTTGCATATGTATATATACTTAATAAATAAGGATTTATTGAAATATATGCACATAAGGCAGATGTTTTACGATATTAAAGAAATTGCTTTTTTTGTCAACAAGTTCGTTTGATTGCAATTTACATTTTTTAATTTAATTTTATATTATATATTTTAATAGTTTTAATAATTTTACGAGTTTGTAATGTTAACAAAAATCATAGTACACTAATAAAGATATACACAAGAGTGAATTCGAAAAATAATGCTAAAATAATTTAAACAATTTAATAAAAATGGTATAAATTTTTAAACATTTTTCAAGTTACTTGTCTAAGTATAGACTTAGAATTTATTAAACCAAACCCGTAAGCTTAACACACAAAAAGAAATCCAATGTGGTTAGCACATAATCAACTGCAAGGTATACTGTTTAGTTAATCGAAAATGTTCAAAAGTTCCTCAGTAGATATACTCAGACTTTAAATACAAGTTACTAAAGGTAGTAAATAGAACTCAAACATTAAATTTCAAGAAATCGTGTCAATCAGTTCCTAAAATAATAAAAAAAGTAAAATAGCTCCTAATTAAATGTTCAACAAGCGAATATTAATATTTCCAAAAAATTTTTGATTTCATACCTTTAACACTTTGAATTCAAATATTAAATTTCAAAGAAATTGGACCCGTTATTTAAGTCCAGTTCCAGTTGAGTTTATGTATGAAATTTAAAGTTAATCTACAGAAGATTTTCCTAAAATAATATATTGGAATATATGTCTAATTGCGTAACATATATTGAAATGTGTATCTAATTACGACTTCTTAAATTTTGATTAATGAATTTGTCCACCCATTGCATATAAAA